GTTTTAATGTCATCAAATGCTTCTTGTACTAAATTTCCCTGCCACGTTTCACCCCAGTACATACCAGATAGACTTTAGTTGCGGTTTGAAGGGAGTAAAACAGATGCACAATGAAAGGGCTTTTACTGAGAGCCAGAGCATCTCTCTCAGCTCTCATCTGCTCAGTCATGTTCTTATCCACCATTTCTGCTTTCTTCACCACCTGGAAAAAAAAAAAAAAAAAAGTTAACTAATGTTTACTGATTAGGCATTTTGTAATTAAATGGGTGCTATGCTAATGATTTACGGAACAGGAGGTTTTGCAGACATATTGAGTAATGGATTTCACAGAAAGAATTTTGGCATCCATTTTTATAACTCACACATTAGTTACTGTCAACAACGAAAAGGAAAAAAATGTATTCTTAGGAATTTTCAAAAAAAAACAAAAAAAACATGAAAATTCTATTTGAACAAACCAATATGTAATATATACTTTTACTAAACTGTATTATTTGTACTACTTTTACTACACACTACTACTGATCACACTGTGTAAAGAAATGTGTTGTACTGTTGTTTCAATCAAACATCTACAGGTTTTGAAGATTTCACTTGGGGGGAAATGAAAAAAAATAAGTTGTTTTATTTTCTGTAACTGAAGTGCAATGCAGTTTTAAATGATTTTTTATAATAAGAATAATTTATTTAAGCCTGTTTTTACTGCTTGCTCATATGTATATTTATTTAAAGAACAATTGCATATACATTTAGTATAAACATACCTCATACAAGCATAAAGATTAGATAAATTTACAAACAATAATATTTTCAAGTGCACAAGGCTTTTTTGTTTAAATAGTCTCTGATTTTGGAAATAAGCACATTTAAGTGAACAATACTATAAAATTAGGTTTCCTGTAAATAAATTAGCATTTATAAATGTCAAATTTGGTTAGCAGAAAAATCATATAATAACAGTTGTCCCCTGGGATACTCGGTAAAACAAAAAAGTACATTTTCTATTAATAACGATGAAGTTTTAAAGAATGAGCAATACATTTTTAACCCCACAACATAATGTAACGTTAGCGGAGTACGTACAATACCAAAATAAATGTAAAGTTAGTCTTCTTGTATTAATTGTAAAAAGTATAACTTATATTAAGAATATAATATTTATAAATGATGTCTTGCTGGATAACACGTTACCTTGATGGCATAGAGTTTGGAGTTGCATTTCTTTCTGGCGAGGTAAACCTTCCCGAAAGCTCCTCGACTGATGGGTTTGACGAGCACGAAGTCCTCGATGGAAGGAGCTTTCACTGCACTGTTTGAGCTTTCGCATGCCAATCCACGAGCTTCCATCTCTAAAAAAATATTAATTTAATACAACTGGCTGATGGTAAGTCCACTAACGTAAGTGGTCGTTTGTGTTTCCGTGCAGTCAGGCGTTCCTCATTCAGATACACGCAAAAACGTTTTAATGGTGATTATTGTGTTGGAAATCAAACACAAATCACCATGAATGCATGTAAAGGCTACATTTATTTAGACTGTTACGTTATTTGTTTGTTGAGTCTTCCTTTCAGTCCACCGCATCCATTCTCACTTGTTGTTGACAGCCGCGACAAGTTTGTTTTGAAATTTGAAATGTGGCACAAAAAAGGGTCCTAAAACGAGGTGCTTTGGCCGCCGTAATACGAAGAAATTAAGTAATAAACAAAGTTAAACGAGATGTTTATGTTTATTCGCGATTTTTAAACAGCTTACATTAGTTTTATAATGTCATACTTTTAATTTTAATCTTAAAAGAGGCAAGTACTAGCTACGTTTGCGCAAAAATAAATCAGGCAATGTTTCGGTCTCCCTACTCTTTCTATCTGACAAGGCGCCCTCAGCTGGTTGTGATGGTTAAATTCTTAGTATGTTGTTAAAAAGGTGTAACATGTTTAATAACAAGGATTTCGAAAATATCACAAATGTAATTCTGGGTTAAAATTCTGTATAATCACAATTCTTAGTCTCGGAGATATTTAGCACTGATTTACAGTGGTATCGTTTGGGTTATAATAAATTAAGATAAACAGATCAATGAAGCTGACATATTTGAATCAATAACTTGCTCATTCTTGGGGATTTCAACCTTTTAAATGCCACGAAACCCAAAAACATAGACTAGTTTATTGTATAGTAATAGTTTATTGTATGAAAATAACTATTAATTAATACTTTTTTTTTATTAATATTTGTTTTTATTATTAACCTTAATCAACGTTTTTAGTATTAATTCAATGTTGATTTATTTATTTCAATCACATTTTGTTTGATTTATTATTTTGAATCCTTATTTATGTGAATCTTATTTCACCTATTATATAATTATTAGTTATTATATTCACGTAATTTGATTAATTTCCTTGTTTTTAATATTGTTTTTATTCATTACAATGCACATGCATTTATTTGAAGAAATAATATATATAAAGTAACGATTAATTTGAATCTTAGCTGTATTATTTTATAGTTTGTTCATTCCCTTTTTAATTTAGATGCTCATATTTTCATGCTTTTTTTTTTTTTTTTTTTTGGCCTAAACATTTCATGGACCCTCGGTACTCTCATGCACACCCGAGTTTAAAGACACAAACATCAAACAAACATTTGAACATGCACAAGCAGACTAAGGACAGTAGACTGTAGTTTGTCTATACTTCAGCCGTCCACCAGAGGGCTGCAAAATGTTTAGGCTTTATTTTTTTCAGCTAAGTAATACTATATAGCTCAAAATATTAATTAATATAGCTCAAAGAAATACTATATTGCTCATAATAATAATTAATATTTATTTTATTTTCGGCTTAGTCCCTCTTAGTCCCTGTAGTCCCTTATTAATCAGGGGTCACCACAGCGGAATGATCCACCAACTTATCCAGCACATGTTTTAGGCAGCGGATGCCCTTCCAGCTGCAACCCATCACTGGCAAACACCCATACACTCTCATTCACACACATACAATACTGCAATTTAGTTTATTGAATTCAGCTATAGCGCATGTCTTTGGACTGTGGGGGAAACGAGAACTCCACACAGAAATGCCATCTGACCCAGCCGGGACTCGAACCAGTGACCTTCTTGCTGTACGGCGACAGAGCTAACCACTGAACCACCATGTCGCCAGGATAATAATTAGTATAGCTCAAAATAATACTATATAGCTTAGAATAATACATAATGTACAACTTCAAATTAGAAAAAGCTGGGACAGTATGAAAAATGCTAACGAAAAAAGGAAGAAATAATTTCTAAATTAACTTTGACTTGTATTTCATTGCAGACAATACAAAAAACATAATGTAATGTGTTCCTCATGATTTTTATTTTATTTTTTTAATAAACACATATTCCAATTTTGGTTCTTTCAACACATTTAAAAAAAAAGTTGGGACATTAAAGCCTTTACCACTTTGTAATGTTGCCATTCCTTTTCACAACACTTAAAAAGACGTTTAGGGACTGAAGACATCAAGCGATGAAGTGTTTCAGGTGTCATTTTGTCCCATTCATCCTGCAAACAAGTCTTAGTGTGGGCAACAGTACAGGTTCTTCATTGTTGCATTTTGCGACATTCTTCAAAATGCAACACACATTCTCTATTGGAGACAGATTGGGACTTCGGGCAGGCCAGTCAAGTACCTGTATCCTCATCCAGCACTTTTTAATGTATGAAATCTTTCCATTTGAATAAAAATTGGGGGGAAATATAGCCTACAGAGTTGATGATAATAGAGTTGACGGTCACAGAGTTAAGGATAACAGAGTTGACGGATAACAGAGTTGATGCATAACAAACTTGACGATAACAGCATTGATGGATATCAGAGTCAACGATAACAGAGTTGAGGATATCAGAGTCGACGATAACAGAGTTGATGTTAACAGTGTCTACGATAACAGAGTTGACAGTAACAGAGTTGACAGTAACAGAGTTGACAGTAACAGGGTTGACAGTAACAGGGTTGACGGATAACAGCGTTGATGATAACAGAGATTAGATTCAACTTAAATGTCATTACACATGTGCAAGTACAAGGCAACGAAATGCTTAAGGTCTAACCAGCAGTGCAATAGCAGCAAGTGCAGGATACAGGTATAAGTTATAAAGTGCAGTTATAAAAAACTACTGTGATATTTACTGATGGATGTACTATGAACATCATAGAATTAAAATTTAAAGTTGACAATAACAGAGTTGAGGATAACAGAGTTGACACAGTAACAGAGTTGACAGATAACAGAGTTGACAGTAACAGAGTTCATGGATAATAGAGTTGACGATAACAGAGTTGAGGATAACAGAGTTGAGGGTAACAGAGTTGACGGATAACAGAGTTGAGGATAACATCGTTGATGAATAACAGAGTTGAGAATAACAGAGTTGACGAATAACAGCGTTGACGGATAAGAGTTGATGATAACAGAGTTAAGGATAAGAGTTGACGAAAAAAAACAGAGTTGATGATAACAGAGTTGAGTATAACAGAGTTGAGGTTAAGACTTGACGATAACAGAGTTGACAGATAACAGAGTTGATGGATAAGTTGATAAGATAACAGAGTTGTGGCTAATAATTCAGAAGTGCTAATACTTATGACTTCAACAGTATAGAAAAATAAACGAAAGAAAATGAAACAAATGATAATGAAAGAGAAAAAATGTATTAAAATTTAATAATATAAATGATACTACTGTACATTCGTTCAGATAGTTTGTAATAACAATGTTCCAGTTTTGCCTATTGGTTTACTGTTTATGACAGGCTATTGAAGCTAATACACACTCTCTCTCTCTCTCTCTCTCTCTCTCTCTCTCTCTCTCTCCACCACTGTATGTCTTTGATCCCAGGTTTGGAAAAAGGCAGCTGTACTCTTGCTGCTCCCTCCTACAGAGCAGAACAAACGCTATATTCATCTGAAACTCCACCCGAGCAACTTCAGGACAGACGGAGTGCAATAATACCATTGATGCGGCGGGACGCGGACGCGCACACACCGGCTGACTGATCGGCTCCTCCGCGGTCACTTCAGCTAACGATGTGGAAGATCTGCGGTGTCCTGCTCGTTTTGCTCCGACTGCACGTGCAAGCTCAGTCCCAGAGCAGGTAAGTTTTCTCCAGTCACCATCATTCACGTTCACCGGTAAACACGAAAAGCAAAGTTTGTTTCCTGAAGAGGCTGTGTTGCGGGAGAGTGGCGCATCGATGCAGGTGTTGATATTTTTTTTTTTCTTTCTCTTGTCTAGACAGAGCTTCACGTGTGGTGGGAATATCACAGGAGAGTCGGGTGTTATCGGCAGTCAAGGTTATCCTGGCGTCTATCCGCCCAATACGAAATGTGTGTGGAGAATTACTGTAAGTACTGTTACTGTATGGAGCAATTCCAGCGTAGTGGATGTGACATTTGCAGTAAAAACCTCAGAGCATACATTCACATAGGAAGTCAATGTTAACATTATATTGAAACATCTGTTGATATTTTCCAAAACAACTAACCATGCAGTTATGGCATCAGAAAAACATCCATATAAACATGTTTTAATTTTTAAATGAGGAAAATAAACATGAGTCATGGATGTAACCTGAAAAGTTACAGATTAATATTAAGTTTACATTATGCATCATACTTTGTACAACTTCTGTGAATTAAACTGCACAATCACAACATAAATGATGCTAATAAAAAAGGATAAAAATTGGCTATGATAGAACCAAAATGATTGATTTGATTGTTTTTAAAATGTTTGCATTCATTATATATATATTTATTTATTTATTTGTTTATTTATTTTCTATTTTCTTCTTTTTTAAAACAGTTCAGAACAAAACAAACAAACAATCCAAAAAAGCCCCTTTTCAAAGGAACACGGAAACAATAAAGACATACAATATAAGTGTCAAAGGTCACCGAATACAATCTTATTTACATTCATATTTATGGTTGATAAAATGTTGCTCTAACATTTTGTTAAGGGTTACTTATCAAAGATCAACAGGCTCCATATATACAGTTGAAGTCAGAATTAATACACCCCTTTGATTTTTCTTTTTTTGATTTTATGTTTCCCAAATGATGTTTAACAGATTCAGGAATTCACAGTATGTTTCATAAAATTTTTTCGTCTGGAGAAAGTCTTATTTGTTTTATTTCGGCTAGAATAAAAGCCGTTTTAAATTTTTTTAAAACCATTTTAAGGTCAACATTATTAGCCCCTTTAAGCTCTATTTTTTGATAGTCTACAGAACAAACCATCATTATGCAATAACTAATAAATAATAATTACCCTAACCTGCCTAGTTAACCTTATTAACCTAGTTAAGCCTTTAAATGTCACTTTAAGCTGTATAGAAGTGTCTTGAAAAATATCTAGTCAAATAAGATTTAATGTCATCATGACAAAGATACAATAAATTAGTTATTTGAGATGAGTTATTAATTATGTTTAGAAATGTGTTGAAAAAATCTGCTCTCAGTTAAACAGAAATTGGGGAAAAACATAAACAGGGGGGCTAATAATTCTGACTTCAACTGTATTTATTAAATAAAAGCAACACGATAAAATTAAAACATTACATTTCATCTCAACCATTTACCCCAGTGTGCAGAATTTTTTAGAGGCTTGTTGTCTCAAGGAAAAGGTCAGTACTTCATATCATACACCTCTTTTACAATATCATTCCATTCACCTACAGATGGAGGATCTTCCTTGAGCCATTTCTTTATAATAGCATTTTTGCTAGTTGTAAGTAGTGTATTAGGAAGATTTGCATAATTTTTTTGGTATTTTTGAAGAGTAAATTCTCAGGTACATAGTTTTAAAATTGCATTCCAGATTAATCCCATTATTGCATGTATACCTTTATTCAATTCTTGCCAATAGGTGTGAATAATATTACAATCTCAAAATACAGGAAATGATCAGCCAACACTTTTGCACATTTTCTCCAGCATTCACCATTTTTTAAACTCTCGTTTGAAAGTATTTTAAAATGTTTGCATTTATAAGCTTTGTTATGGATATAACACCTCTCCGTTATAGTTATGACAGATGTGAACTTTTGTGATTTTGGTAAATCCAATATAATTGTTTGAAAACATCGACAGAGACATTTTTGAGTATTTTTAATGTACTGTAAAATATTTGCTATATTTCTAAAAAACTTAAAAACGGTTTTGCTATTTTGGTTAAAACTTAATTTTATTCAATGCCAAGGTTGACGTTTGCATCTAATGGCTCTATGACTGATTTATTATTCATCCATGTAACAGGAATGCTTACTGTAAATGATTTGCGTCTAAGAACTAGCTGACACAACAAGTGCTTGGTTGTATTTTTTTATTTATTAATGCTTGAAAGGACATACAAAATACTAGGTTACAATAGTATGACGCATCTTAATACAATTCCAAAAAAGTCCAAAAAGCAGAAAGAAAGACAAATAACAAGTGCTTCGTTAAATTTAGTCTAACTACTTAAGATTCCAGATACCTGTTGCTGTATAATGTTTTAAAATGTACATATTTTTTAGGATATTTTTAAGGATTACATGAATGCAAATTCACACAAAGGTAAATTACTAATATTATCATCAGGTTATTTATTCTCTCCAGTTCTTATTTATTATAGTTTTAAATTTTATTCTTTCCTTCATTCATTTCCTTTTTGACTTAGTCCCCTTATTTATCAGGGGTCACCACAGCAGAATGAGCCGGCAACTTGCATATGTTTTACGCAGCACATGCCCTTCCAGCTGCAACCTAGTACTGGGAAACATCCATACACACTCATTTACACACACACACTACAGCTAATTTAGTTTACTCAATTCTCCTATAGTGCATGTCTTTGGGTAAAAGACATGAACACGAAGATAACATGCAAACTCCACACAGAAATGCCAACTGACCCAACCGGGACTCGAATCAGCGACCTTCTTGCTGTGAGGTGACAGTTGCTAACCACTGAGCCACTGTGTCGCTCTTAAATAGACTCAATGATTTGCTGAAAATCTGCAGATTTCTTCACTCGCAGATTCCATGTGGGCCGAGTTATGAGTTATCTTAATAACAGATTGCCTTTCTGTGTTTCCCGAGTATTTGCATGCATGTAATTAAATGTCAAGGGAATAAAAAGTGTAGTATAACTAACCCCCTGTTAAAATAACAACTAATTCCATGAAGCTCTGCTAATTATGCAGTCGATCAATTTAGAAGTCTTTGTCACACTTTATTTTAATGGTCTGTTTGTTGAATTTAAGTTACATTGCATCTACATGCCAAATAATTCTCATTAGATTATAACTGTTAGGTTGGGGTTAGAGTTAGGAAGGTAAGTTGACATGCACTTGCAAAGTTTCTTATGGTCAATTAAATGTCTGTTGATGGAGCAGTATCAGCAGATATTAAACAGACAGTCTACTAATACTCAAATGGACCATCAAAATAAAGTGTTACCGAAATCTTACTAAAACATTTACGAATAACAACATGTAGAAAGTACCACGTAGAACTGTTTCAAATGTCATCTGTCAGATGTCCAAACACTGTCATCTTTTTTTTACAGGTCCCAGAAGGCAAAGTGGCCGTCCTCACATTTCGTTTCCTGGATTTAGAGAGTGACAACCTGTGTCGGTACGATTACGTGGATGTTTACAGTGGGCACGGCAATGGACAGCGTCTCGGCCGCTTCTGTGGGACGTTCAGACCGGGAGCCCTCGTTTCCACAAGCAACAAAATGCTCATGCAGATGGTGTCCGATGCCAATACAGCTGGCAGCGGCTTTCTGGCTGTGTACTCTGCTGCCAACCCAAACGAACGAGGTAATAACATCATAAAGTGAACCGTAAAATTGGCAGTTATTAAGACTGACTGGCTCTGATCAACTCTGTAGGGCCAAAGGAGTTTATTAGAGGTTTATTAGAGGAGTCATGTTATTAGAGGTTTCATTGATCATTATTTTTGCTGCCATCATTCCACCAAAATATGGTTTCGTTCATACTTTTGGTTGTTTTTAGGCACTAAAAAAATATCTGTTAACAGTTTGAGTATTCACAAGTGTTTTCTGCTTATTTACGGTTGTGAATTGCATTATGGGAGCTTGATCTCTGCTCTGTCGACTTTTAATGTTAAATATTCAACTCTACAGTTTAACAAAGTGACATTTATTGACATTTTAGTCATTTGAAATAATATGTGTAAGACATAATATATAAAGGAATAAGTCTGTATAGTACGTTGTGTTACCACTATGACATCTATCAGACGTTGGATATTGGTCACTTTTCAACACAACCTGAAATCAACCAAATAACAACGTAATTTGACGTCGTTATTGGAGGTCAAAATAACGTCCTTAGACGCTGGCTAGACTTTTAATTTTGGTCACCTAACATCATGACTTAAATCTAACCTAATATTATCGTCTTATGATGTTGTGTGCCTGACACTGAGTATTAAAGTCGACCAGTCAACTAGTCAATTCAACCCCTACTGTCCATTAAAAAAGACCCTTACCCCTGTATACGTCTGATATTTTATTCAGAGTTAAAGCCTTGTATAAGTCTGAAATTTCATTCATTATGGTGTTAAAAAGGTCTTAAAAAGTCTTGAATTTGACTTGGTGAAACTGGCAGAAACCCTGTTAAGAGAGCAAAGGTCAACTTTAATGAGCAGTTAAGGGCTATTTAACTGCTCCTAGAGAGGTCAGAGGTCAGCATAATGTTGGAGAAGAGAGGTTGGATGTTTAATACCCGACAGTTTCCGTTCAGTAAATCACAGAAGGACCTTGTCGATGCACACAAAAGGAAGAAAAATCTGGTTTCAATTCCGCTTGTAAAAAATACAATGGGATTTTCTCTGCAGGGTCTGACTGTTGATTTACGGCACGGATCTGGATGCTGGAGAACATTGCTGTGTATTTCATGGCATGACGTGGAATTTCTCACAGACGCACTTTGGGGTTTTTTTTTCCAGTGAATCAGTGGTTGGTCAGACCCCCAGAGGCTGTCCTGCTCGTAGAGTAACTGTATAACTGTCCAGACGTCTGTTTGGCAGGAGCCGTTCAGCTGGAATTTTAATGATGTAGATGTGCATGCCAGTTTTTTGAGTTGATGGACAGCTGGAATTATGCGTATTGGTGACAATGGAAGCCAGCAGTTATTATATCACAGATTTGATCAGGTTTTAGTTTGGTAATAACAATAATAATACTAATATTAGCACTTTCTTTGCACTCTCCATGAGAACCAGAATTGAGAACCACTGCTTTAAGAGGACTTTTCACTCGGCAGGCATTTTTGAAGGGGTAATTTCAAGAAGTAGTAGAATTTTAAACTCAACTCTAAATGGAACAGACAGACAGTGTAAAGAGCGTAGGATTGGGGTATTATGCTCCTTCTTTTTTGTCCCAGTCAGGAGACGGGCTGCTGCATTTTGGACAAGTTGTAACCAGGAAAGAGCTGTCTGGCTAATCCCTTAAAGTAAGTTGTAATGAACAGCCTAGATAAGGTGTCAGAAAACAGAAGTCCTTAAAAGAAAGAAAGGACTAAAAGTACAAAAGATATTAAAATATTTGAAAGTTTTATGGATTTTAAATGGCATGTGGACAAATAATCGATGAGAGAACACTCAATAAGTAAATCAACCCAGGCTTATTCTGAAAACGTAATCCAGTGGACGTTTCTGGAGACCGTGAAATACGTCCCGGGAGGTTCATATTTTTGCAGTTTTTGTTTTCGCGAATCTGCGAGAGGCTGCTGTGTGTGCGTTTTCGCATCTTTAATGTCTCTCGTGAGTGCCGTTCGCGCCAATGCTGTTCCCGCGTAAACCCACCAGCGGCTGCTGTCGGCCTACTGAATGACTGAATGATTGACTGGGCGACCGGCCAATCGACTGACCCACCCTCCTTTACCTAAACAGAACCAATTTTACAGATGGACACAAAAGCTGTCCAGAATAAGAAAAGCCCTCGTCTGATTTTTACCACGTTTTTAGATTTTACCACATTCTCAACCTGTTTTTCACTTGTTCATTTTATTTTTTGGATTCTGTTTTTTGTCTTACCTGATTTTTGAAACTGCTCTTCCCCGGACTCGAACCCGGTCGTTGTCAAGCTAACTGGCCAAACTGGTTGCGACAGGAAAGCTCTCTACACAGAGGTAAGCGGTCAGCCGGTAAGCGCTAAAAGGAACGGCGTCATACCGCCCCATAGCATTTGCTTAAAAAAAAGAAATGCAGCCATACACACCTCTGGCTATATAATTCGCGGTCTCCGGAAACGTCCACTTGACTACGTTTTCAGAAAGAGCATGTGTTGAAATAAATAGTTGGTCTAACTTAATTGAATTAGTTACACACATTTCTATACATTTGAATTGCCATTATTATTTAATTTAAATTGAATTTCATTTCAATATATTTAGTATTTTAACTTCTGTCATGACCACTTTCACCTTTTAATATGTTAATGAACATGTACAGTTGAAGTCACAATTTTTAGCCCCCTTTTGATTTTTTTCTTTATTTATTATTTCCCAAATGATGTTTAACAGAGCAAGGAAATTTTCACAGTATGTCCGATAATATTTTAGTTCTTGAAAAAGTCTTATTTGTTTTATTTAGACTAGAATAAAAGCAGTTTTAAATAAAAAAAAAAAAAACAATTTTGGGACAAAATTATTAGCCCCTTTAGGCTCATTCTTTTTTGACCGTCTACAGAACAAACCATCATTATACAATTACTTGTCTAAATACCCTAACCTGTCTATTTCACCTTATTAACCTAGTTAAGCCTTTAAATGTCACTTTAAACTGTACAGAAGTGTCTTGAAAAATATCAAGTAAAATATTATTTACTGTCATCATGGCAAAGATAATGAATCAATAATAAATAAATCAGTTATTAGAAAATAGGTTTCTAAAACTATTATGCTTATACATGTGCTGAAACAATCTTCCCTCCATTAAACAGAAATTTGGGAAAAAAAAATAAACAGGGGTGCTAATAAGTCAGGGGGGCTAATAATTCTGACTTCAACTGTATATGGTAATGTTATTGTGTTTGGTCTTGGCGGTATAGATCTGCTACGCTGCTGCTGCTTTGATTATTATGGCAGAGCAACTAGTGAAATCTGCTACTGCAGTTTATACACAGATATGCTATCTGTGAATAAGCCTAGGATCATTCTGAAAACGTAGCCCAAATATATATTTCTGGAGATCGTGAATTACGTAGCCAGAGAAACATATGGCTGCATTTCATCTTTAAAATGAACACTACGGGGCAGTATGACACCATTTCTTTTCACGCTAACAGCTGAACGCTTACCTCTGTATGGATGGCTTTCCCGCTGTTACCAGTTTGTCGAGTGGCTCACAGTGTACGTCCGCAGATTTGAGATGCACAGCAGTGTTTACTGCATTGATAGGGTTCGAGTGTGGCGAAGAACAGTTCCTGAAAGCAGGTAAGACAAAAACAAAAGCCATAAAATAAATAAACAAGTAAATAACAGGGTGAGAATGTGGTAAAACCTAAAAACATGGTAAAAATCAGGTGAGGGCTTTTCTTTTTCTGGATTGCTTTTCAAAACACTGTGGTTGGGTTTATGGAAGGGAGTGATTGGGTCAGTCGGTGCTTTTGAAAACACTATTGCATGGGTTTAGGGAAGGAGGAGGGTGGGTCAGTCGATCGATCAATCAATCAGTCAATCAACAGCGACCTCTTATGGATTTATGCAAGAACAGCAGGCGCAAATGACACTCGTGAAAGAAGAGCCTACACAGCGGCCTCTGGTGGATTTGCGAAAACAAAAGCTGCAAAAAAAGTATCTCCTGGGACATATTTGGCATTCTCCAGAAATGTATATAGGGGTACGTTTTCAGAAAGATGGACAAGTTGGTTGGACAAGTTTGACATCCCAGAGATGTTTAATCTTTTGTTTTTTGATTTGAAATTACATGCAGTCATTTTTATGCAACATTAGGCTTATAACATGGACACATAAATCGATACAGACTGCTTTTCGACAGCAGCCACTCCGGACTAAGGGCTTTGGCAGCTGTCTTGAAGGATTAAGTCTAAAATGCACATGATCTTCCTTCCTCCAGCGCATTTCAGAGAATCACGCTGAGACCAACAAGTCTGTAAACTCTCTCGTAATGACAAGACTGTAGGGAAGCACATTTAAGAGTCTGCCAATGATGGTGCTGTGCAATTATCTCATGCATTCCTTTTAATTAGGGGTAAACGATCTTATGCTGGATGCTTGTTCTATGTTTAGTGTTCCTCTCATGGAGTTAAAGGAGGAACTGTTTCCTAAATGCACGTCTAAATGGATGTTTACAGGAGATCAGTACTGTGGTGGGAGATTAATGAAGCCATCAGGATTCTTCAAGACCCCTAACTGGCCGGAGAGAGACTATCCTGCTGGAGTCACATGCTCTTGGCACATAGTAGCACCAAAGAACCAGGTAAACCCATGTTTATTGAATTTTAAAGGGATGTTTTACTCAAAAATGATCATTTACTCACCCTTTTACTACTTCCAAACCTGTTTTGTCTTCTTTTGTTGAACACAGATGAAGATTTATTAAAAAATGTTGGAAAGAAGCTGCCATTGACTTATATTGTATGTTTGGTTCCTACTATGGATGTCAATGGATGCTGGTTTTCAGCTTTCTACAAAATATCTCCTTTTGTGTTAATCAGAATGAGTAAATAGTGACAAAAATTTATTATGGGGTGAACTATCCCTTTAATAGTGACTAAATAAATCCTGCTAAGCAAATACAGTTCATTTTTGCAGATTAACACTCACCGGCCACTTTATTAGGTAAACCTTACTAGCACCGGGTTGGACTCCGTTTTGCTTTCAGAACTGCCTTAATCCTTTGTGGCATAGATTCAACAAGGTACTGGAAATATTCCTCAGAGTTTTTGGTCCATATTGACATGATAGCATCAAGCAGATTTGTCGGCTGCACATTCATGATGCAACACATCCACCACATCCCAAAAGTGCTCTATTGGATTTAGGTCTGGTGACTGTGGAGGCCATTTGAGTACAATGAACTCATTGTTTGACTGGCTGATTAGAAATTTGTGTTAACCAGCAGTTGTACCTAATAAAGTGGCAGGTGAGTATCTTGAATGTGAATTGCATGTATCTTTTTTATTTGACAGATTATAGAGGTGAAATTTGAGAAGTTTGATGTGGAGAGGGACAACTACTGCCGTTATGATTACGTAGCCATTTTTAACGGTGGAGAAATAAACGACGCTAAAAGAATTGGGAAATATTGTGGAGACACGCCACCAGCGTATGTATCAATGCATCATATTTCAAAGATGTTTGGCTTTTCATTGAAGACATAAAAACCCCACTATCAGCAATACGTCTTTACTTTCTGAGTGTCTCTCTGCTTTAGACCCGTATTCTCCGAGGGGAATCAACTCTTCATTCAGTTCCTCTCAGATCTCAGTTTAACAGCGGATGGATTTATTGGTCATTATAAATTTAGACCCAAAAAGTTTCCCTCCACAACCGTTCCACCAACCACGACAGCTCCACCCACTACCACCAGACCCACACGTAAGTACAACCCACAAAACCTGCTGCTGAGGGCGATGCTCCTTAATCATGCTGTATGGAGAGTTTAATGATAGTCTACATTATACATCATACCGGGACTTCTGAAAGCCATGTTTAATTTTTCTACCTATTTTTTTTTTTCATTTTTTTCTGTTCTGCTTTCAAAACAGAATGTAAACTAAACAATAACGTGACTTCTAATTGATCATTTGGAAAAGTGGCAGAAGGTAGATTTTTTCAATGAATCATCTGTTGTATTGCATCCCAATCATCCCAACTCAAGATTCTCACAGCAATCAGTCAAGGTTGGTAAAGGAAAAATCATGGTTTAGGGTTACATGCAGTATGGGGGTGTGCAAAAGATCTGCAGAGTTGATGGCAACATCAGCAGCCTGAGGTATCAAGACATAAGTGCTGCCCATTACATTAAAAACCACAGGAGAGGGCAAATTCTTCAGCAGGATAGCGCTCATTCTCATACTTTAACCACCACATCAAAGCTCCTGAAAGCAAAGAAGGTTAAGGTGCTCCAGGATTGGCCAGCCCAGTCACCAAACATGAACATTATTGAGCATGTCTGGGGTAAGATAAAGAAGGAGGCATTGAAGATGAATTTAAAGAATCTTGATGAGCTCTAGGAGTCCTGCAAGAACGATTTCTTTGCCATTCCAGATGACTTTATTAATAAGTTATTTGAGTCATTCCAGAGATGTATGAATGCAGTCCTCCAAGCTCACATGAGTCATACACAATATTTATTCTTTCTTTACTGCTCCATGACTTTATATTCTATACTGTACATTATTTTCTGTTAAGTGCCAAGACTTTTGTCTAAGCAAAGTCAGACCTTACTGTCCTAATTAAATAATTAAAAATCAAGACATGATCATATTTTATTTAGCTAAAATAAGCATAATCTAGAGGCCTTTTCCTTTCATAGAACATGCAGCGACTTTTGGAGGCTTGAGACACTCTTTTGGAGCACAGGCAATCTGGGATTCGCTTCCGAAAACCATCATTAGCCAACTAAAGGCACAAGTTTCATCGTTACAAACATAGCTCATGATTTGGCATTTTCCGAGTCCATCGTAATTTCTGAATCCAAATGTAATTATGTAATTATTGTTTGCATTATGTGACCATACATCTGATTTAAAGTCTATATGAGATTAACCTTATATTCTATATGAGACTAGCTTTATTTGTTAGCTATTGTAATTTGTTTTATGTTTTAGAATAGAATATGGAATATTCTACATAACATTTGTAAAATAAATATTAGCCCTATTTTGGGTTGTTTACTTTATAATGGCAAATGAACCCATGTTTTTACCAATAAAAAATGTAAAAATAAAATAATTGGATTTTCCCTAAAGAAGTCGTTACTCATTACATCATTACAGACGTTTTACGCTCTAACTAACGTGGTTTAATTGACGGATCTACAACAGAGCAACTGCAACACTCGTCACTACATCATTCATTTCCCAAATATGCACTGTTCTATGGTAGTTCAGCCATGACTTTGTTTGGAAAACACATCCCAGGTCGGTTCTGGGAAGTAATAATACTGAACCACTTTAATGACGAACTATGGTTAAAATATTTTAGAATGACCAAAACAACATTTCAGATGTCGCACAATGTGGTCAGTAGGCTGTTTTGTCCATTAATATTGTCCCGTTGCGCCCCATTTTTACTATCACACAATCTGTTCAAATCAAATCACATGACTTTTTGATGCACATGCTGGAATTTACTCAGTAAAAGTGTTTCCACTGTAGTTTATGCACCATTATCCTACTCAGTTGTGCACATATGTGTGGACAGAAACATAGCTAATGTTTTTCATCATCTGTGTATACCAATATACACTGTGAATATTTCAAATCACAAAATTGGCAGGCACAAGTTTCAGGCAGGTTTCTATGCATTTCTTCCATGATGTCGGCTTCGTTCATATACTGCAGGTTGTGCCTTACACTGACTTCCTCACTTTTTTGCATGCACACACAGTACTAAAAAGGCTGGCTCAGCTTCAGTAGACTACAGTAAAACAACTTTTTGAAGTGTTTTTTTCTGCTATCTCTGCTCTCCTCTCCAGCTTTGAAGTATTCTGCAGCGCTGTGTCAACAGAAATGCAAACGGAAGGGAACCCCTGAGAGCCACTACTGTTCCAGCAACTTTGGTAGGAGCAAAACTTTGCAGTTAATACCAACTTTTTCTGCTGATACATGAAGACCCACACACACAAACACACACACACTGCAAACTTAGGTGGGAGTTGTGAGCAAGTGAAAACAAGCGGAGATTGTTCGCAGTTTGTCATACGGAGCATGTTTTTATGTCTCTTTTTTTCAGCATGCTATCTTTGGCCTGCTGGTTTGTGTCAGTTAGCTTTTTTTTTGCCACCAGTACAGCGTATTTGTGTGTGTGTGGGATACAGTGCTCTAGTGTAAATAGACTGCAGTGAACTGTGGGTAAACTGTTGGTAAATGAGCGTGTTGATTCAGTCAAGCTCTTTGGCTGCTGGAACAGCTCTGCAATGTTCATGTTCAGGAGCGAGCAGATATTTCATTATGATTTCTGATGTTTACTTGGATTTGCATATGGGAAATCGTGTCGTTAGTAGAGACTAGAGTCACGTTGGGAATCAAGGCCTGAATGTAAAGGAAAGTGGAAAATTACTGGCACATCCTGTCAAATTTGGTTAACTGTACTTTTTATGTACTACAGAAATGGATAAAAACAAGTTTAAAATGAAATTTTATTAGGAAAATTAAATATATTAAAATGTAATATGTATAATGTTTAATTATGTTAATATAATCAAAAGTGAAATAAAATGTTTCCATTTTAACTCATTAGTTTCAGAGTAAAAAAAAAAAGCTATGAAGAAATTCATTGCAAAAAAGTCCAATTTACATTTACATTCAGTCATATAGCACAGTGGTCCTCAACCTTTTTGTCACTGAGGACCGGTTAACGCTTGACAATTTTACTATGGCCTAAGGCAAGGGTGTCAAACTCAATTCCTGGAGGGCCGAAGCCCTGCACAGTTTAGTTCCAACCCTGCTCCAATACACTTACCTGTAGGTTTCAAACACGCCCGAAGGACTCAATTAGTTTGATCAGGTGTGTTTAATTAGGGTTGGAACTAAACTGTGCAGGGTTTCCGCCCTTTTGGAACTGAGTTGGACACCTGTGGCCTAAGGGGTAGACGGAGAGTGTGTATCGCTCTCCTCCATTGGAAATAACAAATTTACATGTGGAAAAGACGCCATATGCGAACGGCCCCTAAGGCCACCGTCATTTGTGATCTCCAGCAGTTGATCTTCTTGCACAGACATGGTGGATTCATCTGATTTGTTGACAAATGGGTTGTGGATTTATTCCTTGGCAGTTCGTGGGTCCTTCCTTGGGCCTTTTCCCCTTTGCAAAGAAACATTTCAGAGACGTCTGTTTCTTACTCATTTTGCTAGCTTGTGGGTTAAATTTCGGCGCTCAAGTGACCGAGATGTAACCAAGAGAATACGGTCATTTTTCAAAACAGAAGATCATTCAGACTCAGATAATAAATAAAACAGAAATAATTAATGATTTCTTGTGCGGCCCGGTACAAATTGATCCATGGCCTGGTGGTTAAGGACCACTGATTTAGCAGACGCTTTTGTCCAAAGTGACTTACGGTCGGTTAAAGTGTCAGAGAGATGAGAGAATGTGTTTTCGACAGGTGGTTTGTCAAACCCACTCACCTGTGTGAGGCACACTCAGAATCAGGGGTGTCGTAAGTGGAATCAGGGCTCTAAGGTGGGCTGTGCAAAGGGCCCGACATTCCTAAACCCCTCCTCCCTCTAATTGGTTCCCAATAGATGAAATTAGCACCACCCTACATTTTTTTTTACATGAACCACAAGTTGCTCCTTTTATTTCAGTATGTTGATGTACTTCCAACCGAAACGGAATATTGAGTTAGGGGCGTGGCTTTGTTTTGCCATCATTCCCTCACAGCAAACTAATGGTTAGAGAGGGTATTAATATGCAGTTGCTTAAAAAGCCCTCAGGTTTACATCAACAGAAGGACCGCCACTCCAAAGATGGAAGCAAATGGTCAGACTTTCATCGAAGATTACCAAAAGAAACACATTTTTAGTGGATTAACTTGCACTGATTAATTATTGGGCACCTTAAGAATAACAATGTGAACTAGCAAAATAAACATTGTAAATTTTGATTTCAAGTGCACTTTAGGAAAACCAAACAAAACACGATGTTTACTCCATTTTGCACCTGCAGAGTATCCTTGACACATTTTCCTGTCTGTTGATGTCAGCTTTTATGACAATATTCCAAAATCATCAATGCAGACTCATGGTATTTTGTTTAATGCCATAGAGAAATGCATTGGCTGTGGTTAATTGACTTCTGCTGTACAGTCATTTAACAGTGATGGTCTCTAATGCTGTTTATTTGATTCTGCAGTGATTACTGGAACTGTTATCACTGCTACAACCCGAGGAGGTAGCATGTATGCCACTATCTCCATAATCAATGTCTACAAAGAAGGTAACCTTGCTATCCAGCAGGCAGGCAAAACCATGAGCACAAAGATTGTCATCCTTTGCAAGAAGTGTCCGTATGTCAGACGAGGTAAGCGCTTATTTTTTCTTTCTCTAAAACTAATGTTTCAACAATTTCTTTTAAATAATATGGAAAAAAATAAAATCTTGTTTTAACTGAGTGCTACAGTTGAGTAGAGTACAATACTTTAATGCATTTGTCTTTATTTCCACTTTCAGAAGTACCTTAATAGTAAACCCTAGCAAATGACTTGTTTTGGGACCCTTTCATAGAGGTACCTAGCACAGCAGTACAATACCAAAAGGGTGGAGCTAGAGCAGGAATGGGCCTTTGGTCCTGTAGATTGTAGCTCAAACCCTAATCAAACACACCAGCCTGTAGCTTTATAGTGATCTTGAGCAGTGTTTCTCAACCATGTTCTTGGAGGTCCACCAACACTGCATGTTTCCTTGGCCTGTCACACCCATTACAGGTCTTTCAGTCTCTGCTAATGAGCTGATGATCTAAATCAGGTGTGTTTGTTTAAGGAGACATGGAAAATTGGCAGAGCTGGAGGTCCTCCAGGAACGTGGTTGAGAAATACTGATCTTGAGGATACTATTTAGCTTGTTCAGGTGTGCTTGATTAGTGTTGGAGGGAAAAATCAGCAGGACAGTGGCCCTCCATGACCGAAGTTGCCCATCCATGAGCTAGCCTTACTGCTAAATGCTATTGGTTTGCAGAGAATTGTCAAATGCACGTGCAACAAGGCAGGAGAACGATAGCACAGTTAGCTCCATTTTTTTTAAATACACAGCCAAAACACAACACTGTAATGATAGGATGATGGCGCGGAGTCATGAACCATGCTCAAACAAAGCTTGTCTCTTCTTGTGCTGGACATCCAAATGCTAAGAAGCAAGACTATGGTCTTCTGTGTGTCCTCCATTGTTGTTTACGTGGTCGTTCACATGTTGTTTTGAAACTTCTGGGAACATAAGATGCGCAGCTTCCTCTTTCAATTTGTGCAAGCAATTGATTTGTGGTGAATTTAAGCAAACAAATCAAATTTAGAAAAGTTTAACTTAATTTGTTTGTTTAAATCCAGCCCAAACTAATCGATTACAACCACTTAACTTAAAATATTTTAGTAAATTCAAGGAATCATCTTTAAATAATTTTTTCCAGTGTATGGCTTTCTTTTTTGAGTCAGAGTGACATTGATCGTTACTTCTGGCATACATCATTCCTACTGAGTAAGGGTTCTGTTGGCAGTGGAAACTCGAGGCTCAAGGCGTAGTGTACTGTAATTAATTGTACCATGCCACTCAGTGGAAATGAGGCATAATTGTGCTCCTTTTAGTACTGCTTGTTTGTTTGTCAGTGTGCAAAAATGAAGAGTATCTCAGGTTATTTTCCACTTTGTTGCTGAGAACATCCTATTTTTGTGCTTTACTGAAAGTGTAGCCTTAGTACCCGTGTGGTTCTCTGCTATTGTAGCTCATCTGCTTCAATGTTTGACGTGTTGTATTGTCAAAGGTGCTCTTCAGCATATCTTACTTTTTACTATTTGAGGACGATGTGGCCTACCGGTTAGGACCTGACAGGTTTGAATCTCAGTATTGGCATGAGTTGCTGATGGATGGAATGAATAAACAGTAACCTCTTCCACCCTCAACAACCACATCTGTGGAGTTCATATGTAGAGAGGCTTGTTACATAGTTTTGTTTAGTGACGGAAAGTGTGTAAAATAGAGAAAACACTAGTTTTCTAGTGAAATAAATTGAATACATTTGAAAAAAAGAGAACAAAGATGAAGTCAGAAGCTTTAATAGTGTTACAGCTTTAGTAAGAAGATGTAAAACAGACAAAATCCTGAGCAGGTTTGTTGGACAGGTAGAAGGATTTATAGTGAGTAGACCACTCTGTAAAACTTGTTAGCATTAAAAACCTACCAAGCCACCCTTTCATGAAAAAATACTATAGTAACTTATAAGTAAATACCACAGTGTTTTTAAATCATACTATGGTAAAGTACTTGAATTAATGTGCTGTGGTAATTTTATAGCTGCTGTTGTAATACAACAACTATATTAATATAAACAAATTACCCAGTAGTGTTTTCCACAAAAGACACCAGAGATTACTCAGCTAAAAACTAAAGTATCCTGAACAGTATTTAGATCAGTTCACAATAGTTAATACACAATGAGCATCCATTAAGCTCTAAATACTGTAATCATACAATCTATCATAGTATGTTTCCAAAAAAACTGACGCATTTACTTCAAATTACTATAGAATTTTTTATTTAATACTGGGATACTTAGGATTGTCCCCTTATAATATGATTAAAAACCACCCTGTGTGTTGTTGTATATAACAATGTGTTCTTTGAATAATTGTGTATGCAATAAAATGCAAATAGGGCAAAATTAGCGCCCTAGCCCACCACCTAGGTCGCCTATGCCTAGAAATGGTCTCTTGCTGTCACAATCTGTGTAGTCTCCACAATGTGATGGCATGTGCCCAAAAGTTTTAATCAGAATGTATATAAAACACATAAACAGATATTTGAATCATTACAATGTTGAAAGTACATCTAAACAGATCTCCAATCAGATTCAATGTATTCGGATTGATCAAAATTGGTGAATTCAAAGGCTGATTTATACTTCAAGTTTCTTCACGGGGTTTTGTTATTTCTTAACCAGCAGATGTGCAACAACTTTAATCGTAATTTAAACACAAAACAACCCTTATGGCACTCGACACTTGTAAACACTTGCTTCAATGGGTTTGCTCGGTTCTCAGTCCCGCCTACATGTGTCACAGATACCAAGCCGACCAATCACAGAGCTTACGCTACCCGTCATCGCGACATGTAGTTACTTTTTATGAGAGGTGTGTTCATCAGTTTGGCATCAGCCACAGTGAGGGCTATGTGACTGCATGAAGGAGCCCCAGAGCATACACATTCGCTTGACGCAGAACTATAAATCAGCCCTAAACATAGCCAGTGTAATTCAAATACAATACAGAAGACGACCTTCATTGAGATCTAAATCCACATTGACAAATGATTCCGAACTCAAGAAAATAAGTTGCTGGCGGCTGCAGTTCACTATACAGCCACTAGTGTTGCTAATAACAAAGGTTATTCAGTTCTGCATACACAATCGTAATAGTCCATTAAACAGAACTTGATAGCTGTTAAGCCAACCAGAGTCAGTCAAACCTTCAGTTTTTATGCCGAAATCTCACTATCATATGTTTATGACAGCATATAAACATATGGAGTGAATAGGCCCCAGAGAAAAGCTGATCCAAAGCCCTTCCTGAATGTCTCTGCCGCTCCGTCACTGCATTCAGGTTTTGTCTGTGTGGTGTCGTTAGGTTTGAACTACATCTTCATGGGCCAGGCGGATGAGGAGGGTCGAGGAATGATCGCACCCCATCATTTCATCATGGCTTTCAAGGCCAAAAACCAGAGGACCTTCAACTTGCTGAAGACCAAACGCTGCTGAGCTCATAGGGACAATCTTTGGTCTCAAAGTCCACACATGGTTGTGTGAGGTCTTCATATTTGCCCTGCATGTCCCAACATCCTTCATCGCCCTTTCCAGAGGAGGTCGAGGACTGTATGGCTTAACGGTTGGGCTCTTTTTGTTCCTACTTCTCTTCTTACTGTTGGGTTGAACATCAACATAGCAGCAAGAGCGGAAGTGTTCATGACAGGTGAAGAAAAATAGAATGTAAACATTAAGATTATGATCGCAGGTATTTGTAAGATATTTGATCCCATAGCAAAGATAGACAAGCCGAATGCAATAAACTGGTAGCACGCCTTTGCTGTCTTTTGAAATGATGTTGGATGAGTTACTCCTTGTCTATAAAATATTTTGATAGAAAGGGATTCCTAGTTGTGAATGTTAAATTATAAATTATTTGTTAATGAGATGAAAAATAAATTTCATCGTTTAAAGTCTTGGACGTTGTCTTTATTTGTATTTTTGAAACACATTTTGTTCCACAGAAACAAGTTTCAGTCGATTAAGGACATTTCAGAGTTCATGTACAGAAGTACAAATGGTCATGTCAGAACATCTGTTGCTAAACTTGCCTAGGGCTCAGAGTGCTCGACTGAGAAAAGGGCACTGTTCAAACATTTAACTCCTTAGGAAATTTAGTACAAGGGTCATAATCTACAACTGCAGAATTTTTAGATATAGGCTTCTTGTTCCAGACTGCTTCTAAAATTAATTCCGCAGTTAAGAATACTAAACTCTGATTGTTCTGATATTGATACAATACCATTACTAAATCTCCTGCTTTTTCCAGTTATTCAGCCAAAAATAAGACAGGTAATGATAGTTTTAAAGCCTTCCTGGTAATATATTAACTGACTGACATTCATAAATAGATATATGTAAAGGATTGTTTTGTTCGTCTTAGAACCATGAGTCAATTAGGCTAGAAAGGAGCAAGAAGTCAGAACAGGCTGGAAATTTTTCTAGCTGATCCAGTCTTTATGTAATTAAATCTTCGAGGCCCACTGTCCTGCAGAGTGTAGCTTCTACCCAAATTGAACACACCTTCAGCAGCAAATCAAGGTCTGCAGATTTAAGCCGTGGCCACACTACAGTTTGAGCATGCGGAATTCTGTTAGATAGGTCTGCGAAAAGGGATAAAGGTAAAACAAGATCATGCAACGCTGCTAAAATGAACAATTGCTTCTTATTTTACATTTCTGCAACAGAGAGTTCATGTTTTGATCCTCTGTTGGTGTCACACATTCACATGACGTGAATTTTCAGGTCAGAGTTCATCGAGCTTGAACTTTGGATTGAAGTGACATGCTAAACTTGTTGCACGAGCTTGCATTTATGGCCTGGTGCAGTCGCATGCATATGAATCGAAGTCAGTGGGAAGACAAGTGCAGTGTGACCACTTGGAACTTCTAGGCAAGTGTTTCAGAGCTGATTGAAGCTAAAATTCACGAGCAGGATTGGACACCTCTGGTAAGCAAGTTCGGTCCTGGACTGGATTTGATCCAGCCTTGAAAAAAACTCTCTGGCTTGTTGCGTTCTAGTAACACTCAGACCTTGACTGGGTTGTTTAGGTGTGTATTGTTAGGGTTGGAGCAAAGCTCTGCGGAACTTTTGCTTTCCAGGACTGAACTTGCATACCTCTGATTTAAGTCAAGGTCAACCCTGCACCTGGAGAGCTACTCCTGTAAGTTCTCCATTCACAAACAAACATGCCTCAATCAGCTAATAAAAGTGTTAAGGGTTACTCGATAATTACAGTCAAGTGTTGCAGGACATAAGCTAAAGATGACCAGGCTAGCAGATCTACAATTTAGGTCAGGGGAACCGGAGACCCACAGTCCTGTAGAGTTATGATCTGGCCTTTATAAAAAGTTCTCCGTCTGTAGGTTTCTATTAACTCCCAAACCTTGTTTAGCTTGTTCGAGTGTGTTTAATTAGGGTTGGGGGAAAAAGCTCAGTTTTGAAGAACTGAAATTGCCCACCTGTTTTAGGTGAACTGGGGAGACAACTTTAATTTATGCCAAGGGAACTCAACTCTGGAACTCAAGGTTCACTTTCCTGCAAAGTTTAGATTTACCCATGACAAGCTAGGACCAGCTAATTGAGATCTTTAGGAGTTGCAATTGAAGGTTAAAGCTAGATCTTGAGGGTCAATGTTGAGAATCCTGGTTTATCAGAATTCCCCTCAGCTTCAACTGTAACCCTACAATATACCTTATTCAGATCATCTTCCTGTTAGCAAAGAACTCTATGTCTGATTACATGTGTCAGATATTAAAGTCATACAAATGTGGTTGGACACCAATACTGGAGTTAAGAACTACAGTCCTTAAATATATATTCAAATACTGAAAAGATGCAAAAGTTACTAGGTATTTGCCCAAGTTCAGTATATAATAGCATTTCTGTATAATAAATGTTATTCATTTGAAAAGAATTAAACTTTTAGAAAACAAGTAGGATGCAAGAATATTACATAAGTTATGGTTCTGGAGGCTTTGGTGTAGAATAAACAGAGCTTAATACAATTCCAGTAGAGTCCCAGGACTTTTTTGTCACTTTATATCTTCCCAAGAAAAAGAAGTGGAGCATTGCTGAGCATGCTGGGTCACTTTAAATAAACAGGCATGGCTTAGCTTCTGGGGTAGAACATGGCATATTTGGAAGTGCGAAAGCCCAAAAGGTCTCTCATTTCATTGCGAAACTTGGAGAGGTCTTGCCGCAGATCGTTGAGATTCTCTACTGTGGCCTGGTCCATGCTCTGCATCTTCTGCCTCGTAGAGGTCAGGTAACGGTGCACTAGACAGCACATAATCTTCTGGTAATTCTGATCTCTTTTCTGCTTCAGGTTCGTCCATTCCTGGAAACAAAAGGTTATGAGTAGACTGACATATAAGAGAACCCTTCCATGGTGCAAATTCTGTGTAACCCCTTTTCTAATGACAGAGCTCTGTTTCATGTTCCTAGCCTGTGTTTGTTCTTAAACAGTTTCACACATTTGGACTGCACTAAAGGAGGTTCTAAGTTTGGAAGTATCAGTTTATCTCTGGCCCTAAAAACTTAATATCTCTAATGGAGCCAGGGAATCACTCTTGGTACCCTTTACAGTTTCTTTGAGCAGTGCTCGAATACCGATCTCTTTAGTGAACAGTAGTACACTGAAGAGGGGGGCAATGCAATGGTGGTTCTTTGCCTCCAAGTAATGCATTTTAAAATCCTTCAAAGCATGGGTGCCCAATCCTGTTACTGTAGATATACCTTCCTGCAGAGTTCAGCTGCAACCTTGATCAAACACTTACTTACCCCCTGGGTCGGTTTACATCAAAGTTGATATTTAGCCGCACCAAGTTGGTGTTTTGTAACATCTAATTTCTATGAGGTAGGTCATTAGCCCAATGCTCAACCCCCAACCTGGAGGACTAGAACATACACTACGGACAATTTAGCTTACCCAATTCACCTAACGCATGTCTTTGAACTTGTAGGGAAAACAGCAGCACCTGGAGGAAACCCATGCAAACACAGGGAGAACATGCAAACTCCACACAAAAATGCCAACTGACCTAGACAGGGCTCAAAGTAGCGACCTTCTTGCTGTGAGGCGACAGTGCTACCGACTGCGCCACTATGCCGCCCTTGATCAAACACACCTGTCTTTAACAAGTGCTCCTTAAGGTCCTACCTAGTTGGATTAGTTGTGTTTGATCAGGGTTGAAGCTGAACTCTGCAGGAAGGTTGACATACAGTCCTAGGATTGGGCACCCCTTCTTTAAAGCATAATAAGTCTTGATTATTCCTATATATACAGCTAACATCTTTTTTTGGAAACAGTCAAAGTAGTTCTTTAAAGAGTTATTCTTACATACCCTCAGACTATTCTGCCTCTTGACCTTGCCTGTGGAGGTGTGGGAACAGATCCATTTGCTCATGCTGATCACTAGGTAGCACACGGTCTTGGGTGAGGGAAGGACGTTGAAGGGTGGAGGCAGTGTGCACTTGTCATCGAAGTAGCTGAGCCACAGCTTCGCCCGAGCAAATTTCCACTCCTTATCTTCATGGTTCTGCAAGCAAAGATGATCAAGGTAAAACAATTCTGCACTTTATACCACATGCTAAGTTTAATTTAACTTTAATTGGAAGTTCAGAAAGCAGTTTTTGAGATTTCAGGAGCCCCCATTTATTTATATAGGACTTTGGTCTTGGATGAACATTGCAAATATGGCCAACGAGAGAATAGACTTTGATTCAGGTCACATATTTTCTACCTCGCCAAGCTACCTTCTCAAACGCTGTTGAAATGAATGGGACTGCTAATGGATAGATCGTATAGATGTCTACTGCCCCTACCTGTTTGAGAACCATCACTGTTATTGGACATGGGGATGGAAATTGTGGGTTAATTTCAGTTCATTTCAATTTAATTTTTCTGTTGCCTATGAAAGAGTTACTGAATACCAGTGGAACATATTCTACAACCCAGAAACCAATACATAATTCTGTCTTCTCAAGGCTCACTTACAGCGATCTGTCTGAAGCTCTTATGCAGCATGGCCACCAGGAGTTTGGTAAGAACGATGACCACAACGATGTTGTAGGTTCCGACGATAAGAGCACCAACAAACGACCGCAGCTCCTCCGTGTAGCTGATCCTCGTCACAAACAAATTAACATGTGCCAAAGAGAAGATGTACCAGAAGAGTGCGTAACACGTCCCCATAAACCTGGAATAATAAACATAAAAAACAATTATTGTGACAAAAAATCAGATTTTTTTAGTCTGTCAAATACTTTCCAGTATCAGTTTCCAAAGGGACCCTATTTCCAAAGGGTCAAACTTCATAAGGAACTCGATAATCGATTAAAAATTGACGCTAATTTATAAACCTGTGAAATAAGACTCTTATCTTTTACTTTACACTTTATTTACACACACAAAATCGAATTCTTTAATTAGAGTCAATGAGATGAAGCAAAGTACGTGTGAAAGGTGTCGTTGCTCTGCTGCTGACAGTAGATCCCCTCACAGTCCTTGTTATCGTCTTTGGTCTTGGATGGATCTTGATCTTTTCCATACAGCTGTGTCAGGCCGATGGTGAAAGAGATGAGCACTAGCAGGAATAAGCCAAGAAACTTGCCAAACTCTTGTAGCATTTGACCCATGGAGATCTGCAATGACAAAAACACCAGACTTTTCACATCAGCCATTCAACTGACTAACATGTTTAGCTACGATAAGGATCCTAAGAAATGGACCTGATGAAATATATTTTGGGTTTCATTCTTTAAGGAACACTCAAAGTCCCCTAAAGTTATAAAGCTGAGTTTTAATAATTTTCAATCCATTCAGCTGATCTCTGGGTATCAGCACTTAGCTAAGCACAAATCATTAAAACTACCCTGCTGAAAAATCCAGCTTAAACCAGCCTAGGCTGGTTGGCTGGATTTAGCTGGTTGACCAGCCTGGTTTTAGAGGAGCTTTAGCCATATCCAGGCTGTTTCCAGCCATTTTCAGCCTGGTCTTAAAATGGAAAATGACCAGCTAAATCTAGCTAAAACCGGCTTGACCAGCCTGGTTTAAGCTGGACATAGCTGGCTAGGCTGGTCAAGCTGATTTTAGCTGGTCATCTAAAACCAAGGCTGTTTTGGAAATAGTAACAACCACCGCATTTTCTTGACTCCTTTGGAAAAAAGCCAAATATTTCGAAATATTCCTTTAAAATGTAAATACAGTACTGTATTTGAGAGCAGTTATATGGGGTTGGTGGAAATCAAACATGTTTTTCAGTTAAGAAAATATGGTGATTTTGTGAAATGAGTTTATTTTAAGCGTTGGATTCCATTTTTAGCTAACTTCACATATTGAATGATAAACATGGCCCAAGTAAATATTGGTTTGGCCCATTACAGGGGTAATAGCAGAGGAACATGTCTCCGTAGATACATTAAGCTGTACCTGCACACATACAGCAGACCAGCTCTTTATAGACTCCTGTCTCTGTCGGTGCTTTCTAGATTCCACTGGTCTTTCCAGTGAGGGCTGAAATAAGGGATGAATTCCTTGTTTCAGGTCTGACCAGTGAACCAGAATGTTCTGTACTGCATGTTTACTCTGAAATGAAGCCAGGATTTAGACCCCCCCCCCCTCCCCCTACCTCCGCCCCATTAGTCTAATTCATTTTCTTGTCACTCTTAAACCCCTAGCAGGCATTTTCCAGATTACATTTTTTTAAAAACTTTGTTAAACCTGGGTAGTTAGTAGTCAATTGACATTGCTGCCTCTGATATGAAGCCACAGTGCCAAATCCAACCATGAAGTGACTGTTTCAAGAGTGCTGCTATTATGTGCAATGGACTGGAATGTTGCATTTCATATCACATTATTTCCCGACCATGTTACTAGTTAAAATGGATTACTTGTCTGAATAATTCTCTGGATTTGAACATTTGGGATCATGTAAATACACAAGTCAGCAAAATATTGAACATTTTCTAGAGATTTTTGGATATTTTAATCAACAAATTTTGCATGCTGTGCCTGTAAATCCATTTTATCTTCAATGTTTGTACAGTGCCATACTGAATGTGATCATCTGCACGAGGATAAGACCACTGAAAGAGAATTTCACATTGTTTTAAAACCCTTCCGCAGAATCGCTTCCACATATTTTCCAACATATCATAGCAGAAAATGGGAAAAAGCCAACAGATTCCATCTGGGCCTATAATGACTACACTGTTTCTTCCAAGCAAGCAAGACAGCAGTCATTATGTAAGAGATTAGGACTTTACACACTTCCATAGAAAGTTAAAGATATACTCAAAGTATTTGGGAAATTAAAATGCTTATTTTGTTAGCGCATATTGGTATTTTTTAGGTGAACAATGAATCCATGCAAGCTCATTCGTTCATTCATTTTCCTTTGGCTTAGTCCCATAATTCATCAGGGGTCACCACAGCGGAGTGAACCGCCAACTTATTAAGCATATGTTTTACACAGTGGATGCCCTTCCAGCTGCATCCCAGTACTGGGAAACACCCATACACTCGCAAATTCACCCAGAGGAAACCCACGCCAACACAGGGAGAGCATGCAAACTCCACATAGAAATGCCAACTGCGGCTCAGCCGGGACTCGAACCTGCAACCTTCTTGCTGTGAGGTGACAGTGCTATTCAATGAGCCCTCGTGTCACAATACATGCAAGTTAATCTACTAAAAAAATTGATCCGATCAAATCAAATCCGATCATTTGCTTCTGCATTTGGAGTGGCGATCCTTCTTCTTCTCCCAGCCACAACATTCTTAACACGCCCCACTTATTGTTAGTTTACTATAAGGGAATGATGCACTTAAAGAAAGACCCGCCCCCTATACAATATTCTGTTTCAGTTTGGGCGTCACAGTGGCACAGTGGGTAGCACAATCGCCTCACAGCAAGAAGGTCGCTGGTTCGAGCCCTGGCTTGTTGAGTTTGCATGTTCTCCCCATATTTGCATGGGTTTCCCCCACAAGTCCAAAGACTTGCGGTATAGGTGAATTGGGTAAGGTAAATTGTCCGTAGTGTATGTGTGTGAATGAGAGTGTGTTGGTGTTTCCCAGTACTGAGTTGCAGCTAGATGGGCATCCACTGCGTAAAAAATATGCTGGATAAGTTGGTGGTTTATTCCACTGTGGCAATCCCTGATTAATAAAGCGACTTAAAAAGCCGAAAAGAAAATGAATGAATGAGTTTGAAGATCAACAATCTTTTTTTTTTTGTTGCAGTGTTCAAATTTGAAATGCACTTTGAACAAAATCTGCACAAACTCCATATTAATCTCAGAACTACAGTAAGGTTCAGTTTGACATCTCAACTCCTGCCCTCCAACGTTTATCTAGAGGTGATTCGGTGTTTTTTCCACTTGCTAACTTTATTTGGAGACATTTACTGGAGACTCTTAAGCAGACAATAAAGCAGTCGGGGAGTAAACGTCTGACTCTGCCTCCTCAGTGGAGGTCTGTTTTGTGAATACTTCAATCTGTTCCTTGTCATTCCTCTATCTGTACATCACATGTTTTTTTTAGAGGGACTAACATGGCAACCATTTAAAAGGATAGTACACCCAAAAACAAAAAGTCTGTCATCATTTACTCATCCTCCACCCTGTAAAAATGTCCGTTAATTTGCTGTTTTCTGTATTTTGTGATTCATGTTTTTATTTTTCCTCATTTATTTATGATTTTGAACTGCATTATGGAATCTTAGTTTTTCTTTCAACAACTTTAAGCCTTAAAAAGTTTGAAAAAGTGACTTATGAACATTTTAATAGTTTAAAGTGATATAATGTCTGGGTTGATGTTGTATATTACAGTACAAAAACCTTGTAATAGACTGGCAGTACATTTTCAGTTGTTTAGAGACTATTTCTCTCTATTTAATACTTCTAACAGATTATATTGTTGTTACTAAAATGTCAATAAAAGTCACTTTGTTAAACTGTAGAGTTGAATTTCCAACATCATAAGTTGACAGAGCCATTTATGCCATTTATGACAGATAATAAACAGAAAACAGTTGTAAATCACAAAATACAGAAACTGTTTTTTTTACAGTGCAAGTATTAAAAAATGTATTTCTTCTGTTAAACACAAAAGAAGATATTTTGAAGAATGTTAAAAACAATTAACTTCCATATTAGTTTTTTCCCGACTTTATAGATGTCAATAGCAACCAATTTCCTATATTGTTCACCTTTCATGAACAGGACATTAGAGAGTATTTTCAGGATAGTGTGGGGTCGAGATCCCGAAGCACAAGTGTTTCGAAATGATACACGAAGCATGATCCAAAACACCCAGATCATGTGGCTAAAGTGTTTTGAAACAGCCAGGTCATGTGACTAAAGTTTTTTGAAACATCCAGGTCACGTGACTAAAGTGTTTTGAAACATCCAGGTCACGTGACTGAAGTGTTTCGAAACACCCAGGTCATGTGACTAAAGTGTTTTAAAAAACCCAGGTCATGTGACTAAAGTGTTTTAAAAAACCCAGGTCATGTGACTAAAGTGTTTCGAAACACCCGTCATGTGACTAAAGTGTTTTAAAAAACCCAGGTCATGTGACTAAAGTGTTTCGAAACACCCGTCATGTGACCAAGGTGATTCGAAAGACCTAGGTCACATGACTAAGGTGATTCGAAACACCCAGGTCACGTGACTGTGTTTCGAAACACCCAGCTCATATGACTAAAGTGTTTAAAAACACCCTGGTCATGTGACTAAAGTGTTTTAAAAAACCCAGGTCATGTGACTAAAGTGTTTTAAAAAACCCAGGTCATGTGACTAAAGTGTTTCGAAACACCCGTCATGTGACTAAGGTGATTCGAAAGACCTAGGTCACATGACTAAGGTGATTCGAAACACCCAGGTCACGTGACTGTGTTTCGAAACACCCAGCTCATATGATTAAAGTGTTTAAAAACACCTTGGTCATGTGACTAAAGTGTTTTAAAAAACCCAGGTCATGTGACTAAAGTGTTTCAAAACACCTAGGTCATGTGACTAAAGTGTTTCGAAAGACCTAGGTCATGTGACTAAAGTGTTTCAAAACACCCAGGTCATGTCACCAAAGTTTTTTGAAACACCCAGGTCATGTGACTAAGGTGATTCGAAACACCCAGGTCACATGACTAAGGTAATTAACTAAATCACTTGAAACCTTGAAAATGTGGGGTTTAATACCTTAATTTGCTTAACTGTTTCTTTGCTCAAGCTGTTCGAGAGCAATACATATAAATGACCACTAGGTGTCACTGTAGAGATTTTTCGAAGCTTCGATGCATTTGATTCGACTGTTTCAGTGTTTTGTGAAGCCTTGCTCTGCCCACCACTAGCACCGGAGTGCATGTGTCAACGCACTAACCACTGGCGCAGACAACTATGCACAGTTAAAGTCAAACTCATTAGCCCTCCTTTTTTTGTCAGTATTCACAGTATTTCCTATATTAGTCTTATTTGTTTTATTTTGGCTAGAATAAAAGCAGTTTTGTTGTTGTTTTATTTTAAAACATAGTTAGCATAGTAAAACATAGTTGTTTTATTTTAAAACATATTTGAAAACATAGTTACCCCATAGTTAGATAATATTTAAGGTCAATATTATTAGCAATATATATATATATATATATTTTGTATGGCTACAAAGCTAACAACTGTTATACATTGACTTGTCTAATTATTAACCTTGTCCAATTAAGTATTACTTGCCTAATTAACCTAGTTGTGCCTTTAAATGTCACTTTAAGCTGAACACTAGTATCTCCAAAATATCTAGTAAAATATTATGAACTGACATCATGGCAAAAATCAGTTATTAGAGATGGTTATTAAAATATTTAGAAATGTGTTATCTGCGTTAAACAGAATTTGGAGGAAAATATAAAAGAATGAAAGTTTAACAGGAGGGCTAATAATTTTGACTAACTGTAGGTTACAAAAAAAAAGCGCAGTCTCTCACCAGTATAAATTGCATGTGTTCAAATGTAAATCCATTATAAGCGAGTATGTGTGTGTGTGTGTGTGTGTGTGTGTGTGTGTGTATGTATCATTCCGACCGCACTTCTGGAGAAAATGACTTTTCCACACTGCAGTGCCAGACACTGATGTCAGTCTAAGAGCACGTGCAGGAGAGCAGAGAGGCGGACATGGTGTTACTCATGCCAAATACTGGAGTCCTCAAGAGCATTGTTGTATTATGCAACCTCCCTGAAACTACTGCAGCAAGAGCACTGCTACACAGCCTTACAGAACCATTATGCTTTAAACTAGAGATGCTCAAACTAGGGCCCGTGGGCCAAAGTTTCCCCTTTGAAATGTAAAAATAAACGTTTATCAGATTTTTAAATGTAATGACTGTCACTTAATGAATAGGGGACTACGCAGAAGACATCAAGGTGCAAATCAAGGCAAAGGCAGGTTCAGTAGGACTAGTGTATCTGGCATTGAACTCCATTGTTTTTAAAACGGTTTTATTGCAATAAGTTGTTAAAATAATATACTTAATTACTCCCAGGGCCGCTTATATCGAATTGATATTTAGCCGCACCATGTTGGTGTTTTGTAACATCTCATTTTTACGAGGTGGGTCGTTAGCCACTTAACCTGGAGACAATTTAGCTAACTCAATTCACCTATAGCGCATGTCTTTGGACTGTGGGAGAAACCAGAGCACACGGGGAGAACATGCAAACTCCACATAGAAACACCAACTGGCCCAGCCGGGACTAGAACCAGCGACCTTCTTGCTGAGAGTTCTAACCACTGAGCTACTGTGTCACCTCCATTTAAGATATCTTAAATATTGATCCAAAACAGATATACTAAGACTAAATGCTATATAGCTAGGCTTGAAAAAACATGCCACCTCAGCAAGTTCACTGGTTCAGTCTGGCAGGGAGCTTTGAACAAACAGATTCGTGCTTTGACAGCATATTTCAGCGGTTCTTCATGATACAATTAAATCCTAGATCAACACGAATATGTTATAAACTAAGTTATAGAATCAAAGTCAAAGGCAAAATCCAAGACATGTTACAGACTGCCCACCACTGTGGCTGGGAGGCACAATTCCAAATAAATGCGGAAAAAATTCCTGTATGTGGCAGGTGGTTGATGTTGCTTTGTGAGTTTCACCACTTAAAGGAGCACTCCAGTTTCAAATATCAAAAAATTATTAAATCAAGAAACCTTTTCTAGTCAAGCAAAAAATATCGACTTGCTTTAAAGAAACAACGTGCCAAAATTAAGTGAGTTTTTCCTTAAAACGAGCCAAATAATCTGCCAACGGGGTAAGCAAAATAATCTTGTTTTTCTTTTTTGACACATGATTAAGTTGCTTACCCCATAGTTAGATTATTTGGCTTGTTTTAAGGAAAAAACCCACTTAATTTTGGCATATTATTTCTCAAAACAAGAAATATCACCATTTTATATCTCCGCTATATTTAGACAGCTGAGTTTTACTATTTTCGAATCCATTCAGCCGATCTCTGGGTCTCCACTTTTAGCTTAGCTTAGCATATGTCATTGAATTGGATTAGACCATTAGCATTTTGCTTCAAAAATAATAAAAAAGAATATCAATAATTTTCTTGTTTAAAGTTAGACTCTTCTATAGTACGAAGACCAACAGAAATAAATATTTTCTAAGTTCTTTCATTCATTCACTCCTTTTCTTTTCGGCTTAGTCCCTTTATTAATTAGGGGTTGCCACAGCTGAATGAACCGCCAACTTATCCAGCATATGTATTACACAGCAGATGCCCTTCCAGCATCAATCCAACACTGGGAAACACCCATACACACTCTTTCACACACATATACTATGGCCAATTTAGCCAACCCAATTTACCTGTTGCGCATGTCTTTGGGCTGTGGGGGGGAGAGGGGGATGGGGACCGAAGCACCCGGAGAAAACTCACGCAAACATGGGGAGAACATGCAAACTCCACACTGAAATGCCAACTGACCCAGCTGAAGCTGAAGCGAACTTCTTGCTGTGAGGCGATCGTGCTACCTACTGCACCACGTGATGCCTTACTAAGTCAATATGGCTAGAAAACAGATTCTCATTCTGAATTTTCTGATCAAGATGCTAATGGTTTAATCTGATTCAATGATTTATGCTAAGCTAAGCTATAAGTTGTTCTTCCATACCCAGAGATCATTTGCATGGATTCAAAAAATGGTAAAACTCAACTCTTGGGTAATTAAATGATGAGGTAATTTCCATTCCATATAACCTCATAGGGCCTGAGTGTCCACATACGTGGACGGCACATTTTAGCTCTTAACCGGCTATTTAAAATACTTTGAATGTTTTATATTTTGTTACAGACATACAGTGTCATCCTGCAACTGTTTTGCAGCATATAAACAGTCCCAAACACTATTTTTAACTGTCCAAAATGGGAAACAAATGTTGCTTTTACTCTTTGATAGTCAAAGCAAATTCCAAAAATAATTCGATGTTAAATATGCATTAAAATATTAAGAAAAAAAGTGTTTTATGTAAATTCGGACCACGAGACCACATATATGGACATCATTTTTCTCTAAAAGTACATCATATTAAAAGATGATACTTGGATTTTTATTCTAATTAGGTTCCAATAAGCCTAAATAGCAAAGAAAAATAAAAAATGGATGTAAAAAAACACCTTGGGCCTTGAGAGGTTAAAGGGATAGTTCACCTAAAAATGAAAATTGATTCATTATTTCCTCAAATTAAAGTGGTCCCAAACCTTTATGAGTTTCTTTATACTGTTAAACACAAATGAAGATATTTTTGAAGAATGCTGACATCCATAGTAGGAAAAACAATGGTTACAGCTTTCCAGCCATCTGCAGAATATCTTATTTCATGTCCAAAAGAAGAAACAATCTCAGGTTTGGATCTCTTTAACTAGTGTGAGATTTCACCACATCACAGAGGTGAACAAACAGATCCGGTAACACAGAACTGGCAAAGAAGAACAACCGAGAGGAAAACAAACAGACACTTGATGAGAAATACAGGAAAAATGAGAGAACTCTGGCGTTATTGGTCTGACCGTTGGGCATTATGTAAGCAAAGAAAAAGAGTGGTTAAACACTCAACAGGCTCTAGCAGAGAAGGCTAAGATGGAGGATGACGTGATTACCTGTAAAGGCCCCAAGATGGAGCTTGTGGTGTACATGAAGAAGAGGCGTAGATAGCTCAGAACTATGGCGAATGCAAAAAGACCCTCGGCGACCAGGGTGGGATGGAAGGCGTCCCATTCTTTCCTTTCCTCTGGTTTGATAATTTTGCTATACTGAAGCAGAAAGCAAAGAAAAAGAGGAGATACATGTATTTTACTTGTCCTTGTGTTATTCCACACTCTTCTTTCATTGGATGTCTTTGCATTGACTTAACATGTAAATCACTCAGGCTTGACACTTCTTCCACGTCTGGTGTAAACGCAGCATCAAGCTAAAATTATTCACTGATTCAAATGATCCATTTAGAGTGAGTCTCCAATAAATGATTCACTGATTCAAATGATCAGTTCAGAGTGAATAATCTCCAGTTAACAACTCACAGATTCAAACGATCCATTCAGCAGTAAACGATTCACTGACTTTACAAACTGATCTGAATGGGGTTCAGTGTGTGAATGTGATTTCACGTTATCAGTGGGCTGTTTATAGAGTATCATTACTTAAATAAATCAAGTACTTTTATACTGTGACTCATTTGAAGAGGACTTCATACTTCCACTGAAGTAAGACTTTATTTGGATATCTTTATTCAAGAGCCGTATTTGTGTACTTTCATCCATAACTGCTACATAGTGTGTGTATGAATCATTTAGGAAGACAACAAGATGACTACTTTCCATTCTCCAGGACACTAAAGGGTTTGTTAAAGAAGGAAATGTTCTGTGCAGAGTCTGTACCTTGTTGTGAGCCACTATTTTTAGGGCAAAAGTGGCCAGATAAAGCGAGTTCATGACGAAGCTCAGCTGGTTCCGTGACTCTTCCAGGAAATCCTCTAATCCCTCATACCAGAGACGCTTCACATCCGACCACACCATGCCTGCAGAGAGAGGAATTCGCCATCAGCGCAAAAGAAGCGTCCAAGCAGCAAATCAGAAAGGCCTTATTCCTGACAGATTTCAATCACTCCCAGATTCGAGTTACTCTCTCTGTCACATCTTAAAACTCATGACTATGATCTATGAATACTATTGAATCAAAGTGTAGAGAAATAAGCAGTGGTGTAAAGTAACAAAATCAGTATCTGGATGCAGCCTTTATGATGCAAGCTGAGATTGCATCACTCAGCGATGCAATGTCAGACACAATGCACTCAATGGAGTGAGTGACATCACTGTGACGGGTAGGGTTTGGTGAGCGCATTTAAAAGCATTGGATGCAGCTCAGATTGCACTGCACCGAGTCTGCAGCCAGACCCCTGTCAACAAATTACAAATATTTGAACTACTGTAATTGAGTAGTTTTTTGTTTCAGAAATTGTCACTTACTAAGTGGTTCAAAAAAATTTTTACTTTTGCTTTCCATTGAGTACATTTTTAGTGCGGTATTGGTACTTTTACTCCACTACTTTCCTTCAACCTGCAGGCACTACTTTATTTTTTCTTGTTTTTGGGGATTAGAAAAATCAAGTCCAATTAAATCACACATAGAAGGTAAATTGCATCATAATGAACTACCTCAAGACATGAAGCAAACTGTTTAGAAGCATTAAAAGTGTCCAAGAAGATGTCCAAAATGTTTACACGCATTGACCCTGAGGCTGTTTAGATGCATGTGACTGATGAGAAAATGACAGATGTTTACTGTGTGATGACCGAAATAGCCTTAAACACACAGCAGACACAGGATGTCAACATGACGTCAGATTGACGTTGTACCCCAGTCTTGTGGGCACATTGCATTTTGTTTGGAAATGAAAATCAGGTTAACATCAGAACTCAATATCATACCTCAATGTCCAACGTCTAACCTAAAATCAACCAAATATCAACGCTTAATGATGTTACAGCTTGATGTTGTGTGGATGTTACCACTATGACGTCTATCAGAAGTTGCCATACCTGACGAACAAATGTTAGTATTTGACGTTAATAAGATGTTGGTTTAAGATTTTGACTCGACATTGGACTTTGGTCACTTTCTAACACAACCTAAAGTCAACCAAATATCAACGTAATTTGACGTTGTTATTGGACATCAAAATATGATTGTCATTAGACGGTCACCTGACATCACAACCGGAATATAACCTAATAAGAATGTCTTATGACGTGTGCCGGGTAGTGACTAGATGCACTACAGAATGTTACGTTTACACACATCCACAAGTTACATGTAAAAGCATCAGCTTTTCACAGCGTAATACTCACTACTCACTACTCTTGAGTACTTCCGAAAGGCCATTTTTTCTCATACTTTGAGTAATAATTAAACCAGATACTTTTACTCTACTTGCACTACATTTTTAGGCAAGCAATGGTACTTTTACTTGATTATGATTTTTCAGTACTCTTTCCACTTTCCATTGAGTGATAATAATGATATATTATATGTCTTTAAATACTATGTAAATTTTAATTATGTGACATATAATATTTTGTAGTACATTAGAAAACAGTACGCAATAATACCTGTATATTTACCTAATTTCTGTTTATTGGAAAGATTTCTTTCAACACATTTCTAAATATAATAGTTTGTTTTGTAGACAAAAGTATTGCTTAAGCGGGTTAATAGTATTGACCTTAAAATAGTTTAGTATTTAGTATGGAAAATTACAACTGCTTTATTCTAGCAGAAATAAAACAAATGAGACTTTCTCCAGAACAAAGATTTATACATTTATAACCCCTAAAGACGACCACTGCCTTCAGATTTTGAAGAAAATCATGGAATTGATTGGTGGCAAGCATATGAGCGTTTTTCCATTAGTAAACATGCACCTCTGTCTCCCTCTAGTGGTCTTCCTGCAGTCGTATCCTACTCTTTAGTCAGAGTCCACAATAATCCCAAACAAATCTTACATTCAACAGCATTTCAAAATGGCTCTTTTACATTATTCATGATGGTTAAGTCTTAATAGAAATAAAACAAGTGCCATTAGCAACCAATTACCCGGTGGTATTACTAATGTGATGCTGAGAGATGATAAGCGCTAGCTGTGTTTCTCACTTCCGCATCAAAGAAACATGGTGTGTCATTTATCAGTCATATTAAAGATTCTGCGGATTGATGCACTGCATGCTTTTAGGTCAAAGGCTGTTGGGTTCATTTGACTTTAGAGATGTAGTTTTAAACAAAGGTTTTCACTGCATGTGCAGTACAGAATTTGCGAATAAGAGCTGACAATAACTTAAAGGTACAGTAGGTGACTGTCTTCAGAAACATTTTTAGTTGTGCTGGTTGAAAGTCCCTTCACATTCCAATTTTTATGATTAAAGTAAATTATCTAAATGTATTTACATGTATTTTTATATTCTGGGTAAAGCATAAGACTCAAAATGCTTCATACAATAAAATATTGATCAGGCCGACATCTCCCATAATTCTGATAAGTAGCCCAAACTGGTCAACAAATGTAGATTTGTACATCTGCGCACCCCTGTTCATGTAGACAGATCATGTTCACACGAGACAGTCACAGCGGTAAAAAACAAATGCTGAATCAAAACTTTTTAAAATCCAAAATCAGTATTGGAGTTGCTTTGGATGGCAGGAGAGCGACTGTGTTTCCAAAGCTATTATGCTAATGGTTAGCATTTTAGCAGATCACCTACTGCACATTTAATCAACACGGATTTAAAGATATGAAAATGTATTAAAGGCCCCAGGACATTAAAATAAAGTTTTTTAGATGTTAGTAGGTTATCTTTACGGATATCTATAAGCGTAAGTGCTCCAAAACAGTGAAAAAATTCGCATTTAGACAATATAGACAAGTTTGCAGGTTGTTAGGTTTTTTTACATCAACTCAAACAGTGCATCCTGAAAGTATTCATAGCGCTTCACTTTTTCCAGATTTGTTTTGTTACAGCTTTATTCCAAAATGGATTAAATTCATTTATTTCCTAGAGCTAAATTACAGATATTACTTTCTAAAAACATAAGTGACATAATAGTTTTTAATAATGATGTGTAATAATCAGGTTTTACCCTCTGAAGGTTTTTACTCTGGCAGTTAAAGTGTTCATTTCAGTAAAAACTACATATTCAAATACATTTTTTAATGTACAATAACATTTTACATGGTTTCTTTTGTAACACTGTGATCAGTCAAATGTATGTAGCCTTGGTTTTACAAGCTAGACTCATACAAACTCCAATCTTCTGAACAGAAATGTAAATCAAACTAAACATATTCATTATGTTAGATTTAATAAACAGCAAGGAATAAATTCAGACCATCAGGCTTTTTTCTTAGTTTTTCTTATTCTATGTTGTCTTTCAAGAAAGCAGAATCGCATACAGCATAAAACCCCCCAATATAAAATTATTATTAAACTATAAAATCTAAATATGAGATAATAAAATGTACAAATTACAATTGTGATCAATCTGATTCACAGCATATGTTTCATTGACATGCAGCTATCCAGCTTTATTACATCATTAAAGTGTGGAGAGCCGCATGGCCTTCAGGATGATTTGATGCCAATTTATGATTTGTTATAATAAAAAAAAAATAAAAAAAACAGCTCTTGTTTTGTTTCTGCTTGTGTGATAAAAGCATAGGAGAAAGAGAATTGCTAACATCTTTTAATGGTACCTGCATTAGTAATGCGTTATAATGCAAACGCCATGCTCAAAAACAATTTCATTAAGTGTTTTATAATCTCATGAATAATTGAGAGAAACATAAATTTATCCATTTACATTCTAATGGATTATATAAGATATTGATTACAAACTAGTTTCAGACAGTTTTCTGTATTATCTTAAGTTTCTTTACTGCTTAAAGCAGAGATGCCCAAGAAGATGTCCAAAATCTTTACACGCATTGACCCTGAGACTGTTTAGATGCATGTGACTGATGAGAAAATGACAGATGTATTGACCGTAATGGCCTTAAACACCCAGCAGACACAGGATGTCAACATGACGTCAGCTTGACGTTGTACCCCAATCTTATGGGGACATTGCATTTTGTTTGGAAATGAAAATCAGGTTAAGATCAGAACTCAATGTCAGGCCTATGTCAGAAGTAGGGCCCGCGGGCCAAAGTTGGCCCATTGGAACGTTTGATTTAGCCCACCATCCCATCTGAGAGGAGAGTGAGAATGATGGAGAGGATTGAGGCGGACGCCTTTAACACAGAAATCATCATTTCTAATTTGATGTGAGCTTTTTTGTTAGTTTTATAGTTTTTATTTTGTTAGTTTTTTTAGTTTAGCTATAAAAAAGCCAACTAAAATTAAATGTTTCAATTAAATGTTGTAAATGAATCAGATTTTTTTATGCAGAAGCAAATCAAGGCAAAAACTAGAGTAATTCTGTTATAAATGAGATTTGTACTGTAATAAGTTCATTGTAAAATGTAAAAAAATACTGTATTAATTAATATGCAGCAATGTGTTCTAGTCATATTTAAATATTATTAAATAAATTACGAAACTCTCCACAGCAACTGTATTTACCACTAATAAATCACTAGCCACAATCAAGGCTAAAATTAAGGCTGTATATAAAATGCCAAGCACACCACTAGCCGAAATGATGCCACACATAACCAAAGCAAGCTTTTAAATATACTATTTAGTATTAATCTGCAATATATATATATATTTTTTTTCTCATTAATGTACACACAGCACCCCATATTGACAGAGAAACACTGAATTGTTGACATTTTTGCTGAAAAACTGAAATATCACATGGTCCTAAATATTCAGACCCTTTGCTCAGTGTTTAGTAGAGGGATCTAATACAGCCATCAGTCTATCTGGAAAGATAAGGGTTCCTATCCATTCCTCTATGCAGATCCTCTCTAGTTTTGTCAGGTTGGATGGTAAACGGGGTGGATTGCAATTTTTAGGTCTCTCCTGAGATGCTCAATTGGGTTTACTTCAGGGCTTTGGCTGGGCCATTCAAGAACAGTCACAGTTATTGTGAAGCCACTCCTGCATTATTTTAGCTGTGTGCTTAGGGCCATTGTCTTTTCCCAGTCTGAGGTCCTGAGCACTTTGGTAAAAGTATGCCACAACCCTTGCCACAATTCTGTCTCTGAGATTTTCAGGCAGCTCTCTTGACTTCATGATTCTCAACTGCTCAGACATGAGGTCATATATAGACAGGTGTGTGTCTTTCCTAATCAAGTCCAATCAGTATAATCAAACACAGCTGGACTCAAATGGAGGTGTAGAACCATCTCAAGGATGATCAGAAGAAGTGGACAGCTCCTGAGTTAAATAGATGAGTGTCACAGCAAAGGTAGAATACTTAGGACCGTGTCATATTTCAGTTTCTCTTTTTTAATAAATCAAAAATGTCAACAACTCTGTGTTTTTCTGGTTATGTGGGGTGCTATGTGTATAATAATGAGGAAAAAATGAACTTAAATTATTTAAGCAAATAGCTGCTATATTACAAAGAGTGGATAAACATGCTGGCAATGCTCACCTATGATCCAGAGAATGAGAAGGTAGTCTATGAATTGCAGCGCAGGAGCCATATTCTTCTTGTCGTTGTAAATGAGCGAGTACAGGTTCAGAAGCAGCAGGAAGGTGAAGTAAGAAGCACTGTGAATGATAAACTTGATGAAAGGAGTGTGGATGACCTGGCCGACGCGAGAACGGGGACCCAGCAGGTAACAGATGGACAGCAAGGGCCACAGCAGTGCCACGCTCAAAACAGACACGATCTTTAAGCAGGTGTGTTTGCGGCGGTAGCTCGCCATCTCGCCAAACCACACCGTATTCAGAAACTGCTGACAGTTGGATTGGGCGACAAACTGTGGAGGAGGGAAGATGACAAAACATATTACCAAAAAAGAAATGTATCGGGTGTTTTCTTACAAAAGAAAGTCGCTTGTGGCCACCAGGACAATATTCAGTCATGCTTATAATCAGAGCTTATTGGCAGTGCTTATCAAGACGTTTTTCGACATTCATATCCAATTGATTTTCACTGGGGATGAGCAGAGATTTAAACTTCTGACACGCACTTGCTACACAACAGCGTTTATGCACAGCTAGGGTTTTTCCTCTTTTGATAAACTTCCAGTGAACGCTTTATGTGACTATTTTCAATTTCAGAAGGTTTCTTAAACAGCATCAATGTTCGTTAAATAGACTTTAGCGTTCATTAAGTTGTTCAAGTGTAAAACGAGATGAAAGACTGTGTATACACAAGCACCGTCAGGAACAGCAGGCGAAGGCTGAAACTCCATGGAAAATACTGCAGTAAAATACATTTTCAAATTTTAAATACATAGTGAAGAACAATTTAATATAATGCAATGCTTTTTGTACATTCTGAGACCCACTTTGTACTGTATATCTATCAGGCAGTGAAAATCATGTTATCATTAAATGTAGTAATTTTGTAATGGGTTGAACTGGGTTACTGAAAATGAAAAGTCCTTCTGCATATACTCTATTGCTATAAACTATCCCTTTTAATATAAAGTCACTACCTGACGTTATCTTTTATAAATTGTATGGTAGTAAAGTAGATTTACTGCTATATGATAAACGCACGTCATGATGTTGAGAAGTACAATGAGATCCTGGATTAACACCTATGTTGAGCCTTGAAAATGTACCTATTCCCTACCCCTAAACCCAATCGTAAATTATTCCCAAAATCAGAGGGGAATAATAGTTGGAAAACAATCATTTAGATGTACATACAGTATACCTAACTGTAAGCCTAAACTTAACATATAAACATTAAACGTATTCTTTAATTCTGATTGACTGATTGGAATGTTGTTCCAGAATTAACATGGATATTAATGGCATTGTTAGATATTTTTTTTAGCTGGAAATACTGTTATAAAATGTTAAAAAATACCTTGCATATCCCTTAAAAATGGCATAACAGAAAATTGACCTTGAAAACAGTTATCATCCCATGCCTATAACACAGGCACACACTGTAAAAGATGCTGGGTTCCACACAAATATTTCATGTTGTCCCAGCCCAAACTGATTAATTACCTTAATTGTTTTTTACAAATTTAAGTGGATTGAACATAAAAAAATTAAGTTGTCCCCTCAAAAAAACAAAAAACAAAAACAAGAATGGTGTTAATTCAGCTGATTTTAAATAAGTGGTTTAATCAAGCAGCAAAACATTTTACTGAGTGCAGTGTGTGTTCGAAATCCTCAATCACCTCCTTTTGGTTGTATTTGATGGCCAGTTTGAGGCGGCTGAGGTTCATGCGTTCCTCCAGAAGGCCTCTCTTGTCTACGTGGTCCTCGCTGGATGTGTGGTTTAGTATGACTTCCAGCTCACGAGAGTTGCGGGCCTGAGCCAGCAGGTCCTTGGCAAACATCTTGCACTGCTTGGCAAGTTCTTCATAATCGTTCCTGTGGTTCGATGAAAAGACCAGAATGAGCTGTAGAAGGAGAATGCTTCTTATTTACACTGTTAAACAATGCTCCTTATTGGCCTTTCCTGTGATTAGGTTCTTTATAATGGAAATAGGTCATACACTTTTTTGCGATGAAAAAAAAGAGTTCTTTATGTTGAAGCAATATCAAGCAATATCTTAGTGTGAACTCTTTAAATTACCTGTAGATTGATCATTAATGTGACCATGAAAAGAGAAACACAACTTTTAATATTGAATATTGAAAAAATAACCGCTTCAATAATTTACTATTTGCACAAACAACTAACATTTGGAGCTAACCATGTGACACAGTCCTGGAATCAGGTGATATTTGGCAGCTTCATGACGGGTTGCATGCTGAATGTGCTGTTATAGCCTGGAAATCAAACGTTTTCAGGGCTTTGAGAAAATCGCTTTGTTACTCTCATCCCCCCCCGCCAACTAACACTGAAGTACCAATTCCATTATTAACAACTGGATTGTTACCTGCATAAATAAATAAGATATTGGTTGTTTATTAGTACTTACAAAGTATGAACTCTTAACTATTAAGAAGAAGCAAATTAGTGGTTTGGGCTAAAAGTCTTAGTTAATTATTTGTTGATAGCATGAAGTGTACCTCAATATAAATTATGACCATAAATTATTGTTTATTGCCTACTATATCCAAACAGCAGCAAATGACACTCCATTCAGCTTTTGTTTCTAACCTTCTCAGGTTCTTGACAACACAACACCTTTGTAAAATAAACTGCCATTCAAATATGTGCATCTGTAAAATGCTCAATGCTCGACACGAAGAGAGTATTTGCTACTGTTTAGCTTTCTCCATTCAGCGGCGATCCCCATGAGACCGCTTTCTCTAATCACTCTTCCATTACCGAAACTCCACTTCCACCAGGCTCAGCTCTTTCAGATCAGCGCTGAGCTCAAACGCCCTCAGAATGGGGTCTTCTTCTGTCAGCATGATCAAGGACGGGCTGGCGAGACATCGGTAGATATCTAGACGGAACCTGCAAGGGGTACAAATGGGATAGGGCTCAAAATAATGCAGTGGAATTTTTACTCGACATAAATATTCTTCAAATGTGTTAGTGATTTCTGAATACAGTCATTGAATCTTTAAAAAATGTAACCTTGGTCTTTCTTTAAATAAGGCTTTTAAGTGTATTCTAGTATTTGTTAACACACTGATAATCCATTGGTTACCGGTGACACAAAGAATCAAATTTAAAATCCTTCTCTTTGTGTTTAAAGTCCTACATGGTCTTTGCCCGCAATATTTATCCCAACTGATTGTTATTTACACATCCATTTTTTTTTGGCCTTTTCTTATTGTTACACTTTCTATGTTCTTTCTTATTATGTGCCTATTGCTGTTTCTGTTTTATGCCCTTATCGTTAGTTTATTTTTTCTCTGTAAAGCAGCTTTGAGCAGTCTTGTGGCAGTTGGAAATGTGCTATATAAATAAATTGAACTTAAACTTGATAAAAAATTATTCATTGGATTTGCTCATTTTAAGGTAAGCGCTTGCAAACCATTTATATGGGTTGAATTTAAACAAATGAAGTTTACATTACTAAATTTTGTTTGTTTGTTTAAATTCAACCCCTATAAATTGTTTGCAACAACGTATCTTATGAAAACAGCTTATCAAAATTAGTATAAAATCCAATGAATTATTTTTTTTAGTGTACTGCTTTTGCATAAAAAAGGACTTGAGGTTACTTGAGAGTTAAAAATGTTACTCAAGTGAAACAACAAATACTGAATGAACATTTCATTAAATTAAAAGTAGAATTAATATATTTTAAAGGTAAAAAACTAAACAACAACAAAAAAACATTTAAATTGTAATTGAAAAGTATCAGTACAATTCAGTTGGCTTGGCACTTCAATAGAATCCAGTGATCTCCAAAAATGAGTACTTTTCAACTGTTAATAAAATTTGAAGTAGTTTTTTTCTTCAGAAATGTGATTATTTAAAATTATTTAATTTTCATTGCACTCCATTAAAGTACATATTATACTTTACAGTAATATTATATTTTAGACAGTAATCAAATCTGGGCTTTTTAGAATAAAAGGTAAAGTTTAAAATTTACACAATAGAAAATTGGAAACCAGACCATAAAAATCGAGACAACATATTCACTGGCTTCAATTTATATTTAAATGTATTGATTTTAAGTATCCTTATTATTTACAATAATATTTTGTATTTTTTGTTATTAAATAATCAAGTTTTTTGGTCCACGTTTTAAAAACCTATTGGTAAAAGAGCTTTTATGTTTAAGGGTTCAATAGACTGGAATAATTAACCTTGGAAAACATTCAATCCATTGCATCATTTAAGGTTTTTAAGCAAACTTTGCTGTCATATCTTACTTTGGATTGTACTTGTTTTTCCCGAGGATGTTGTTGTTTATGTGGTGATTTGATTTACTGATCTGTAAATTTTTTTTTACTATATGTGCATACAAAATTGCTTACTTCCATACTACATAGTACGCTACAAACAGAATGCGAGCCTAGTAGTATCTCCGAATTCATAGAAATCAGTATGTGAGAAGTACCCAGATGACCTACTACTTCCTGCGAGATTCTGAAGTGCGCATCAGATGGATGCTACACTATCCCATGATGCACCGCGAGAGAATTCATGAACGGGAGTGAAGTGACGCAACTGAGGTGGGTACACGTGATGATGACAAAATGGCAGATGTAGTATGTCCAAGTTCCATTCATACTGCTCACATTCATACTGTATAGAACGTACTTTTCTAATGGCCAAGTAGTACGTTTAAATTCAAATGCAGTACCTATTGAGTAGTAGGTAATTCGGATGCAACCTATGTATGTATGAATGTATGTATGCTACTTCCCCTTTTGTTAAGGTTTGTTTGGATGATTGTTGTTGTTTTATGGGTGTTATGTAATTTATGTTTTGTTTTTGTCTTCTTGTGTTATCATTATTTGATTCCAATTAACTGTGGGACCCCCTTCAAAATAAGATGGTCCATCTCAAGGGGTTAATCCTAATGAATAAATATAATACAGATCCATTTGTTCTCCTTCTATGATAGTCTTTTGCAGCTTGTTTTCAAAATATTACAAATGTTCTATTGTTTCTGGCAGAAAATTTTAACTTTTAAAGGTTTGTAACCACTTGAGAGTGAGTAAATTATGAGAAAATGTCAATTGGTTGACGAATTATCCTTTTAAATAAAGCATTTATGATTTTTGACTAAATAAAGATGTTTGCCTTGAATGACGAAGACTGTCCTTCTTGTTCTTGGCATTGCAGAGAGTACACTCACACCCTACAGCGTGGGGTCGTGGCAGAGAGATGTCTTGCTTTAAAAGCATGGTCAAAATCTCGTAATTGTTCCTGTGGGCAGCAAGAATGACTGGAGCAACATCCATGGTGGTGGAATACTCTGGGTTCTGAATCTTCTGTATCAGTTTCTGAAAAAAATTTAAATCGTGGAACAGAATTGAAGTTAATATTTGAAACATTCAGCATTTAACGATATATTAATTTAAAATACTAATATTTAAAGGTTTTAAAAGAGTCATGAAATGTAGTTTCAGATTTTTCAACCCAGGCTCATTGTGGATACGTACCCCTGTATACATTTCTGAACAGCGGGAAATACGTCCCAGAAGGTACAGTATGTTTGTTTGCAGTTTTTGTTTTGGTTCAGTCGTACGAAATTGTACGATTTTAAAAAGGAGGCGTGGCACATAACCCCACCCTTAAACCCAACTGTCCTTGGGGGATGAGCAAATCATACTAAAATGTACGAATTAGATCGTACAAATTCATACGAATTAGCCACTAAATGAAAAAGTTACAAATTGCCGTGAGATTGTGTTGGTAATTCGGGCCTGCTGTCCTCATAGGCCACCAGAAGCTGCTGTCGACCAAGTGACCAACCCCTTCCCTAAACCCAACCGATAGCATTTTTAAAAGCACCGATTGATCCAATCCCCCCACTTCCCTAAAACCAACCAACAGTGTTTTCAAAAGCAATCCAGGAAAAAGAAAGCTCTTGTGAGTCCCTGATTTTTACCACGTTTTCAGATCCTACCACATTCTCACCTTGATATTTTACTTGTTTATTTTAGTTTTTGCCTTTTGTTTCTGTTTTACCTGCTTTCAGAAACTTCCCTGGAGTAGAACACCATAGTCACGGTCAACTCTCTGCATCTCAAGTCTACTAACATATGTGGTGAGCCACTGGACAAACTAGTTCCAGTGGAAAAGCTGTCCACATGAAGGTAAGTGATCAGCTGGTAGCGTGAAAAGAAACAGAAGCCGTTGCCGGCATCATACCGCCCCACAGCATTTGCTTCAAAGATGAAATGCAGCCATAGGTAGCTCTGGATACATAATTCGCGCTCTCCGGAAATGTATACAGTGGTACATTTTCACAATAAGTATGTGTTGAGACTTTTATGTTCGGTTCCTCAATGGTTAGTTTATAACGTTTAGAATATTTTCTTCTACAAAAGTGCAATATTTGTCCATCTTCATTTTTTTTTTTTATCAACAATCAAGTTCTTACCTCTTCTAAAAACAAAAGTAAACACTCACTGGTTTGATTATTTTACGATGTGTAATTTTATCCAGATACTCTTTTAAAGTATATCATATGTTTTGATACTCAACACTGTTACAGAGCCATATATACAGTTAAAGTCAAAATAATTAGCCCTCCCGTGAATTTTCCTGTGAACTATTTCCCAAACGATGTTTAACAGAGCAAGGATTTTTTTCACAATATTTCCTATAATATTTTTTCCTTCAAAAGAAAGTCTTACTTGTTTTATTTTGGCTAGAGTAAAAACTATTTTTTATTTTATTAAAAAACATTGTAAGATCAATATTATTAGCCCCCTTAAGCAATATATATATATATATATATATATATATATATATATATATATATTTGATTGTCTACAGAACAAACCATCATTATACAAAGATTTGCCTTATTACCCTAATTAACCTAGTCAAGCCTTTACATTGCACTTTAGGCTGAATATTATAGTGTCTTGAAAACATGTAGTTAAATATTATTTACTGTCATCATGGCAAAGATAAAATAAATCAGTTATTAGTAATGAGTTATCAAAACTATCATGTTTAGAAATGTGTTGAAAAATCTTCTTTCCATTGAACGGAAAATGGAGGAAAAATATACAGAAGGGCTAATAATTCAGACTTCAACTGTATATTTTAAAAGGAAAAATAAATACATATATATTAAAAGAAAATATGATTGCATAAGATACTAACCGCGATAGAAGGCTTGGAAGAACGCCTGGGCCGATGGTTTAGCAGGATGTCAACTGCTCCTACCACTTCTGAATCAATAGCCACTAATAATGCATCTGTGGCCTGCATGTATATGCACACACACACACACACACATGCGCACACACACACATCCATCACAAATGAACAAATAGGTTTTATCTAATACGTTATGTAAGATCTTAGGACATGAGTGTGCTTTTACCTGGCAGCCATGATCCAAGAGCAGCTGCAATATGTCTAGATTCTCATTCTCGATTGAAATGGTGACAGCGTCTCTCCCGAGCACATCTACACAGTTAATGTTCAACTCGCCATGTCGTTTCTCCTCCAAAAGCTTCTTCACCATGTAGTAGTCCCCTTAAAATGCAGTTAGGTTATAATATATTAAAACAATGCCATCGTTATCAGCAAGGGAGGACAGTGGTTTGTGATGGGAAAACAACATAGCCCTTAAAGGAGAGATATCTTTCCCTAAGCCGTTTTAGGATTTCTTTATATGGTAAAAGAGTAGCAACTGACTCTCGTCTGCACAGTGTAACCAGACCAAATTCATTAGTTTTCCAAGCTGTTTCTGGAATGCTTGGAAAGAAACCATGCGCTGCTGCTTAACCAAACACTAAATGGAAGAACCGCTGCTGAGGAGCTCTGAGCAACCAGTCAAACTTTCAAAAACCTGCACCATCTCGAAAACAAATCACTAATTTAGTAGCATTGTATAAATAAATGTGAATTTATTAGTCAACAATTCTACTACATATTAATTTCTGCAATTTCACTGCGATGTCTTCATAAGGTTATTTCATACGTTTATATTTTAACACTTTGAGTCCTAATAGTCATTTTTGAATTCGATAAACTGTTTTCAGGTAATACATATGTGACCCTGGACCACAAAACGAGTCACAAGTGCTAATTTTTAAAATCAGCTTTTCATTGATTCACTATTTGTTATGATTGGACAATATTCAGCCAAAAACAACTATATAAAAATCTGGAATCTGAGGAAACATCTAGCAAGTAGCTTTTAAAGTTGTCCAAATTTAGTTTTTAGAAATGTGTATTACTAATCCAAGAAATAGTTTTGAACTTAATATATATTTACAGTAGAAAATGTACATGTATATACTCACCGGCCACTTTATTAGGTACACCTGTCCAACTGCTCGTTAGCGCAAAATTCTAAAAAGCCAATCACATGATAACATTTCAATGTATATGGGCAATGTATATTGACATGGTCAAGACGATCTGCTGCAGTTCAAACCGAGCATCAAAATGGGGAAGAAAGGGGATTTAAGTGACTTCGAATGTGGCATGGTTGTTGGAGCCAGACTGGCTGGTCTGAGAATTTCAGAAACTGCTGATCTACTGGGATTTTTATGCACAACCATCTCTAGGGTTTACAGAGAATGTTCTGAAAAAGAGAAAATATCCAGTGAGCGGCAGTTCTGTGGGTGCAAATCCCTTGTTGATGCCAGAGGTCAGAGGAGAATGGACATAGAAAGTCAACAGTTAGAAAGGCAACAGTTACTCAACCACTTGTTACAACAGAGGTCTGCAGAAGAACATCTCTGAACACACATCACGTTGAACCTTGGGTGGGCTACAGCAGCAGAAGACCACAGCGAGTGCCACTCCTATCAGCTAAGAACAGAAAACTGAGGCTACAATTCACACAGGCTCACCAAAATTGGACAATAGGAGATTGGAAAAACGTTGCCTGGTCTGATGAGTTTCGATTCCTGCTGCAACATTTGGATGGTAGGGTCAGAATTTGGCATCAACTATATGAAAGTATGGATCCATCCTGCTTTCTATAAACGGTTCAGGCTGCTTGTTGTGGTGTAATGGTGTGGGGGATATTTTCTTTGCACACTTTGGGCCAATTAATACCAATTGTTGTTGACCATGTCCATCCCTTTATGACCACAGTGTACCCATCTTCTAATGGCTACTTCCAGCAGGATAACGCGCCATGTCATGAAGCTCAATCCTCTCAGACTGGTTTCTTGAACATGACAACGAGTTTACTGTACTCAAATGGCCTCCACAAACACCATATCTCAATCCAATAGAGCACTTTTGGGATGTGGTGGAACGGGAGATTCGCATCATGGATGTGCAGACGACAAATCTGCAGCAGTCTGCGTGCAATATGGAGCAAAATCTCTGAGGAATATTTCCAGTAGTTTGTTGAATCTATGCCATGAAGGATTAAAGCAGCTCTGAAGGCAAAAATGGGTCCAACCCAGTACTAGTAAGGTGTACCTAATAAAGTGGCCGGTGATTGTACGTTCATGCAACATGATTTTTACTTAATATTCTAACGATTTCTGGCATAAAAGAAAAAAATATATAATTTTGACCTATACAATTCATTTTTAACTACTGCCAAAAATATACCCGTGCAACTTAAGGCTTAAGTTTTGTGATCCAGGGTCAATATATTAAATCTATAACCAACAAGTTTATTTTACATTTGAAAGATTACAACTAAAGGTTTTGTCTATCTAGTCTCTAAATATATATGTAAAATGCATACGAGAAAATACTATAGGCTATAAATGAGTTTGCATGCAAATATAAGAATCGAAGGAAAGACGTTACATTTTATCATTTGCATTAAAATAAATTTACTGAAGTGATTTGCCATTTTTCACAAAAAATGCATATAAAATGCGAGTAAAGTTTCTAATGCAATTACTTTTCTGAAAACATTGTCAAAATAAGGGTGAAGTAATATTCAATCATAATTCAGTATAACAGATATACTTATAACATATAAATGACCAACTGATTAGTTAACATGTTACGAAAAGGTTGCATTCGTTGTAATATAAACAATGAACATTAGAGTTTTTATTAATCTTGTTAATGAAAATAAAATCATTTGTTAGTTCCTGTTAACTCACAGTGCATTAACTAATGTTGACAAATAAAACATTGTTAAATAAATAATGCATTAGTAAGTAATGAACATTGATTAATATATTAAATGCCGCATGATTGTTCATTCTTAGTGAATGTTACTAAAATACATTAACTAATAAAACTTTAATAAAAGTGTCACCGATTAAAAAATATAATTGTAAAAATAATCAAATAGTTGTCAAATATTGTGGTAATTTTTTTAAATGCAATTAAATTATATATATTTTTAAACATTTATTAGTACTGTGATCCAAATGTTTAATAGTGAAGCGTAATAACTTTGATAACAAGACGATAAGTTCATAAGCATTTCATTTAGTCTAAATCTCCATATACGTAAAAGCAGTCGTGAAGTAATATAGCCAACTGTTATCATAATTGTTTTTAATATATGTATACAATATAAACACACTCTTGTAGTATATTTTTCACACTCTTGAAGATGATAAATGAACTCACCCTTCTCGCAGGCCAGCAGAAAGAGCTTCTCGTCCAGAGTGGTCTCCTCCTTCACCTCTCTGACGTCTTTTAACGCCAGATATTTATCCGGAGAGGACGAGTCCGTGCCCTGATATAGAGCAGCCATTATAACGGAGAGAGAATACGGCAAAGCACTGATGTGCATCCCACTGAGCAGAGCCTTACACCCTTATACACATGAAACCACCGAAATCACCGAAAAAAAACAACAACAGCTCTGATCAATCCAGATGTAAACGATGTTCCGCGTTCTGACGAGGCCCTCACTATACCGAGATTGACTGCTGTTTAGTATACGAATCTCGACTTATACGGTGAAACAAACTCTTATTAACGTTAATAACGTTAATATCAAGGCTTTTCGTGCAAATTCTGCCCGGAATGATAGTAGAGACATGAAGCTTGAGCATCAAGATGGTCTGTTGCGCTGGTGCTGATGATGCTGTAAGTGCGCATGCGCGCTGCTTCGCTGCTGGAGCATCAGTTACATAAGAGATAGATGTCGGCAAGATGCTCTTGATACTGGCAAGGCTTAACTGCATTACGTCTTATGTATATTTATCAGCATACCGTGCTTTCCTGCATTTTAGTGTAAAATACTATTTTAGTTGCCAAATTGATTACGTTTAATTTGATCATCATTTAATTTAGAAAAACATGCAAAAATGTCCAATACACTCGTTATAATTCTTACAAAGGCATTATATAAATGTATCTTACTCACTTACTTACAAAGACAGGTTTCAAAAAGGAGTTTTATTTGTTTGTAATGAAAGAACCACTTTGTTCAACGTTTCAGTAAAGAGATTAACCTTTATGTACTAGGGGATGTTTTCATCCACTCAGGGGTGATTTTGTGTCTTAATTTGCCCACAACTTTCTGTATTTTTCAGCTTGTAGAATGATTTTTGCAAACAAATCTTATTTTGTCTCATAGTTTGAGAAAATGCTTTGATTTTTAGAAAACTCAACAATACACACACATTTTTGTTATGTTCAGGGTTAAAAACATCCACTGGAATAAACTGCTGTAAAAATGCATCAGATAAATAATATTTTTCAATTTCTTTTCTGTTAATTGGTTACTCAACCTCAGTCCTGATTAAAACTACTAAAATGTTTGGAAAATTCCAGGATTTTAACTCTTTAATTGCCAAATTCATAAATGATGTCACTGATTTGGTGAAAAAAAACACACAAAAATGGTGTAGTTTTAATATAAAAAGGTTTTTGGATTTTTTTTTGGAAGTCTTGGACATGTGAAACAACATTGCCTTCGATGCATTGCTTTTAATTCATTTTTTTCTCCCTAATTTACTGTTGGTGGATGTTTTTGCCCCATTGACATCCATTTTTACCACATTTTTTTATTACAAATCCAGGACACCATGCATTTTTGATTATTGGTGGTTTTCCCTGTTGGAAATAGGTAAAAATTGTAAATTTTACTGGTTAACATCAGTTGGCGCCATTAACCATTTAGATATGCCTGTGCAAAAACAACAACAACAAAAAAAGCTGGATTTTATATGGAGTATAACAGCAAATTAAAGTGTGTGTCTGTGAGAGTGTCCTTTACGCATTTACCTTGATGTGTCTGAGAAAATCAAAACATGCATCACAGCATTCAGAAGTAAACAAAAGCAAATACTGTGTATTTATGCACCATCAAATGTGGTTATAATTTAAGTCAATAGGGCAAAAGAAGCCAACAGCAGTACATTTAAAGGGAAAAACAAATCCAACCCACAATTACTTTTTATATTGAAATTTTGTGTTTTTCTTTTTGTTCACCAAATCAGTGACATCACTTGTAAACTTAAGTAAAGAGTAAAAATCCTGTAATTTTCTAAACAATTTATTAGTTTTGATCAGCACTGAGGTAGATTAACATACTCTAAAAATGTTGAGTTGTTTATTTAACCCAATGGTTGAGTTAAACATGTTTGGTGCTTTGTTGTTGTTGTTTTTTTTTAACCTTTATGTTTTAAATTATTATTTATTAACTCAAAGTTGGGTTAAAAACTTGAAATTCAACTGATTTAACTGACACAGAACAGCTGTATTAATATGCATACGTAATGTTGTTTTTGCATTCTAAAGTTTATATAAGCTCTAACGCAGTAATATTGTTTTTTCTTTCAAATCAAATTAACTCTCTGTGTTGTGTTTTTATATCCGTTTCACCAGCACTCTTAATCACATTTATGCAAAAATATTTTTCCAGCAGTTTAATTCAGTGGATGTTTTCATCCCTAACATTATAAAAGGGAGCAAATTTGATCCGTGCACAAGGGTTAAACTAATTTTCTTAGCGTAAAGAGCATTTATTTTCAATTATGAAGAATCTCTTTAGGTTTCAAGGATTTTTAAGGGTTTTCGTTGAACCTTTGACGCTAATGAACAACCTTTATATTTAAAGATTGTAGTCTATATGTTTATGCTCATGGTTTATGCTTGATGTTTATTTTGATTTGTGCTTCCATTTTGTTATATTTGTCCTTGCTTCATTTGTTAGCTAGTATCAGTGTCAGTGGTTTTATCAGTTGAGTGGTTAATTCATATGAATATATATGAGTTTAGTGTTAAAAAAATTATGATTTTTTTTTAAAAAAGAGGCATGGCACCATAAGGGGATGAGCAAATCATACTCAATTGTATAAATGAGATCAAACAAATTGGCCATTAAATCAGGAAGCAACGAACTGCAGTACATGTGATAGCATTGCTGTCTCACAAAAACATACGGTGTGTCTAAAACTGCCAGTGTTGGACAAGCTCAGGGTTGTTTCTAGACTTTTTGTCACCCTATATATATCATACACCATATATAATCACACACAGTTGCTTATTTCTGTTTTCCCAAGTTCCATGGTTTATTAACAAAGCAAAAACAATAATATTTATTAGTCACGAAGGACAAACGTACGACAGCAAAATATCAACTTCATTTTCGACAACCACATAACCTGGGTGAACATCGTCGTGCAGGTAGTGACATGAAGTCATCTGCCAGACATCGAAGTAGATTACGGCATCAATATCTCTGAACATCTCCTGCATCACTGTGTTCAGCTGCATCGCGTACCAGTCACTTTGAAAAATGTCCTGGAACAAATACAGATCAAGCAGACTTAATACTGAATAGAAACACAAGCAGTGGTAAAGCATGCAAATTATATACAGTATATGACAATACAAGTGCAATGGATGTGGTTTAAGTTTAGTTAACTTAAATTGTTTAGTTGCTGTTGTCGATGGGACTTTATAATTCAAGTGTAATGGACAAATTTAGTGAACTTTAATATTGAAGTTGTCTTAACTCTTGTTAACTCTCACATTAATACATTAAAACTCCATGTTACATTTAACCCCATGTTACTTTGTGCCCCGTGCTCCCCTATATGAAAACAACCAAAAAAATCCATTAAAACCAGTATTTTAAAAACACATGAAAATACTATAGTAATTTATAGTAAAGGGAGTTATTTAGGAATAAGCATTATATTATTATATTTACAACTCTTCAATAATGAATTACACTACATAATGTAGTATCATTAGAAACTATCATTAACTAATAGTAATTACCATAGTATACTTTAGACTTTTACTACAGTAAATTAAATATAGTTATATGTAACTCCTCTTCATTCAGTCATTTTCTATCAAGCAAATTGCTCATATTATCCTAATTGGTTAGCGACTTCACCGAGAGGTGGCAGTAACGCACCAAAATGTTTGTTGTCGACCACCGTAAAACAGGGAGAAGAACAAATCGTCATTTTCACCATCATATGGATTTCCTTTATCGGCTAGACACCGGCCTCACAGCTCCGTGAATGTCGGTGCTGTCATTTAATGGTCCGCGTTCTATAAATGTAGCTTGTGCGGACGCTACTGCACTACTGGACTAATAAAATAGCTTCACTACTGAAAAGCTATTCGGTTTATAAATGTAGCTAAGCTAGTAGCGTCACTACTGTTCAATAGTAGCATGCCAAACACTGGTAATACATATGAGTAATTGGCGGTTCAGTGTGCTGTAGAACCCCCTGATAAAGACAAACATAAACTGAAGGAATGTGAGTGACTGGAAATTGCAATATTATCTCATGTCACTGTCAGCATGGGGGTTAGAGTAAAATATACCTTTTGTCCTGCAGTATTTCCAGATTTGATGATGACGAGAGTCTCTGGTGCTCGGCTCAGCAGTGAAACGACAGACTGACGAATTTTGGCCACTTCGTGCACATAGAATGTTAGAGGGTGAAAAACCAGGTGAGCAGCAATTGTAAAGACGATCACTGCATGAGAACCCCCAGCTATTTCATCAATATCATTACTGATGTAATGCAGATCAGTGATCAGCATTTTAGTAAAGCGCAGAGGAACTCCGTGTGGCCCCCAGTGAACTATTATATTGTTTGTCAACTCAACAGCCATCAGGGGTCCTCCTGTAGGAGGAGTGTGGAGGTCCATCCTTTTTATACCTAATAAAATAATAAAAATAAGTAAAATGTACATTAGTCATGTTACTTCATTAATTTATCATATTATTTTACAAAGCTGCTACTGAACACGCATAAAACCACCAAAGTATACAAGCATGTTTATTAATACAAAAATGTACAGTATATACTGTCATAATTTACACAATTTCATGTCATAAACCTGCATGACCTTTTTCCTCTGTTTAAAAGAAATAAATATTGAGGAATCTTTTTAACAATATTTATTCCTGAAATTAAAGTCTTGTGACATTTTATATATGAGCAATTCCATGCAAATGTCAACCTTTCCATAAAAATAATTTAGTTTTCACCAAAATAGAGCAACCGTTTCTACATTTTTTGTGTTAGCAAGTATTTTACAGTACTTTAAAAATACTCATAAATGTATCTGTCAGTATTTCAAACTATTATATTTAATTTGCCAAAATCACACAAGTGGCAATTTCACAGCTGTCGCATCCATAACGGAAAAGTGTCACATCCATAACAACACTTTTTACTCATAAATGCAAAAATGTCAAATAAAATAAAATCAATCATTATAAATCAATAGTGAGCCGACTCATAATTGTTTGATGAGCATTGTTTCTTTTGGGTTGTCCAGTTTAACTGTCAGAATTTCTAAATAATCTGTTGTAGACAGTAAATTCGGTAACTTTTTTTTTGTCACATCCTTAACGCATGTTTATTTTCCTAATTTAAAATATATAACATGTTTACAGATAGTTATTTCTTCTGCTCCCATAACTCAATGGTGAGTTGTTTTGGAAAATATAAACATGTTTCGATATAATGTTAACATATACTTTCTGTGTGAAATTATGTTTTGAGTTTTTACTGCAAATGCCACATCCACAACGCTGGAATTGCTTATATATATATATATATATATATATATATATATATATATATATATATATATATATATATATATATATATATATATATATATATATATATATATACAGTTGAAGTCAGAATTATTTGCCCCCCGTTTATTTTTTCCCCAATTTCTGTTATTTGAGAGAAGGTTTTTTCAACACATTTCTAACCATAATTGTTGTAATAAGTCATTTCTAATAACTGATTTATTATAACTTTGCCATGATGACAGTAAATAATGTTTTATTAGATATTTTTCAAGACACTTCTATACAGCTTAAAGTGACATTTAAAGGCTTAACTAGATTAATTAGGTTAACTAGGCAGGTTAGGGTAATTAGGCAAGTTATTGTATAACGATGGTTTGTTTTGTAGACTATCGAAAAAAATAAGGAAAAGCGGCTAATAATTTTTACCTTAAATGTTTATAAAAAATTAAGAACTGCTTTTATTCTAGCCAAAATAAACAAGTTTTGAATGACGAGGTTTGAGAACTTCTTTTTAAAATATTGATAATTATAACAATATTGATAATTAATAACTTATATTTTATTTACAGTATACAACATTTTGTCTTGCTATAAGGATTTAAATTGTCATTTATATCACTGGATAACTTGCCTGGCACCTTTCTCTCTAAAAACTCAAACCACTGTCTTGTGGTGGAGTCTCCCATCAAATAGACAATCTTGTTTTTAAGGCAATTTCCAGTTTTTGTAGAATTGAACTGTTGGGTTTTGCACACAAAAGACTTCCAGACATCATTCAGATAGAAACCTGCAGGTACTGGTGTCGTCAGACCAGGTCTGCATCTCTCCGTTCTGTCTAAAGCAAAGAAACATTTATCAGAAAAAAACGGTTGTAATTAAACAAATTCTTAATTCTATCATAATTACATATGTTTTTAGATCCTCTTTGTTCTGACATATGAACATACCATTGTCTGTTGTTTTGGGAAGAACGTTGATTAATTGTGTGTCTCCGCTAATACCAACATTTATTAATATGCTGTGAAGAAAAAAAATAACAACACATTGTCTACAATGTTCTGCAATTCTTCTACAATTTGTTTTGAATCCTTTCCCAGCTTACTTTGTGAAAAATTGTTCCTCAAAATGATTTAATGGACTTTCCAGACCTCCTCTTGAGTGATGAACCAATCTGTCACAAGAAAGTTTCTTAGGTCTCTCACAGTGCCACACCGTCCCTGTTTTTATATCCTTATACTCGCAGCAGCAGTTGCCTTTAATCCAGCTCCCATTTCCACCCCACTTAAGGTTACATGGTACTACTTCACTGATCCTGGTTTTGTTGGGTCCTGGTCCTTCAAAGTGTCCGTTATAGTGGCTGCGTGTGAATGACGACTCCCTGTATTTTTTCAGAATCTGCACAACCTCACTGGAGTGCTCTAGACGAACAGAAACTTGTGCCTGACCTTCCCAGGGCAGAAGAAGAGAAGCAGAGTAAGTCCCGTTACGATGATCCACAACCTCCCCATACACACTCGCCTTCAAGAAGAATAGAGAAGATTAAATGTAATGCAGAATACCACTGTCTTCATGGCAAATTTAAATTATAGGTTATTTAAGCATACAATATTTTGTAATTAAAATTAACAGGCAGTTCAAAAAGTGCTGTAGTCGTGACATCAAAACCTAGAAGATTAAAATGGTTTTCTATGGAAGTGCTCTGTGTGCCTGCGATGGAAAAAAAAATCAACTTTGGACCTGATGTCATGCGGTCCAGCACAAAGACCATTAATACAGTGGTTTCCGAGCAGCATAAAAAGCACAGCACACTGCTCTTTTCTAAAGACAGCAAAAAGGCAATGTGGTGCGCCTCACATTTTCAGAACTGCGAAGTGCATTCAGTGTGATTGACATGCCATGGTCATTTATTGTGTAGGTCAGGGGTGTCCAAACTGCAACTCCTGCAGAGTTTTGCCTCAGAACACCTGCCAGGATTTAAAAAGCTAATAAAGGCTAATAAAAGCAGTGTTTTGGAGATTTTTATTTGCCGGCTGGTGATCAAGTGTTCTGCAGGTAAACCTCAAGATGTGATAAAGCGACAGACGTTTATCTGTGGTCTTTGAAGAATTTGTCTACCATGCAGGTATTGCTGGTTTGTACCCTTCTCAGAGCTGCTGAGTGGGTGCTGGACCGGTTGGGTTACATGCAAGCACCTTTTGACAAATATGATGATGTTACACATTATTTCTCCATCTTTCACCGACGTAACATTTTGTTATTGTTATTGACTGCTTTAAAGGATATAACTACATAAGAAAGAGATACAGGAAAACAATTTAATAAAACATTGAAATAGATAAGCTGTGCAGTACGTAGCACGATCACCTAACAGCAAGAAGGTCACTGGTTTGAGCCTCGGCTCGGTTAGTTGGCATTTCTGTGTGGAGTTTGCATGTTCTCCCCGTGTTCACGTGGGTTTCCTCCGGGTGCTCCGGTTTCCCCCACAGTCCAAAGGTAAACTAAATTGGCCGTATTGTATGCGTGTGAATGAGTAACATGATAACAAGATTATTTTACTTATCCCACTGGCAGATTATTTCAAATTAGTCACCTAATTATGACGTATTGGAAAACAAGAGGAAACCCTTTATCTGGCTAGAAAATGAGAAAATGCTCCTTGGTATAATTTATTTTATTTATCATATACGAATTGGATTTGTGTGGATTTACGAATCGTATTTGAATTTATGAATAGTAGTTGTGGATTTACGAATCGTGTTTTGAATTTAAAAATTGGATTTGTGTATTTACAAATTGTATTTGAATTTACAAATTGGAATTGTGAATTTACAAATCGTGTTTTGAATTTTGAATTGGATTTGTGTATTTACGAATTGTGTTTGAATTCATGAATTGGAGTTGTGTATTTACGAATCGTGTTTTAAATTTACAAACAGGGGTTGTGGATTTACGAATCTTATTTGAATTTATGAATTGGATTTGAGTATTTACGAATCGTGTTTGAATTTATGAATTGGTGTTGTGGATTTACAAATCGTGTTTTGAACTTACGAATTAGATTTGTGAATTAACGAATCGTGTTTGAATTTATGAATTGGAGTTGTGTATTTACGAATTGTGTTTTAGATTTACAAACTGGTGTTGTGGATTTACAAATTGTGTTTGAATTTATGAATTGGTGTGATGGATTTACAAATCATGTTTTGAACTTACAAATTAGATTTGTGTATCTACGAATCGTATTTTGAACTTACAAATTGGATTTGTGTATTTACGAATCGTGTTTTGAACTTACAAATTGGATTTGTGTATCTACGAATCGTATTTTGAACTTACAAATTGGATTTGTGTATTTACGAATCGTGTTTGAATTTATGAATTGGAGTTGTGTATTTACGAATTGTGTTTTAGATTTACGAACTGGAGTTGTGGATTTACAAATCGTGTTTGAATTTTCGAATTGGATTTGTGTATTTACGAACCGTAGTTGAATTTATGAATTGGTGTTGTGGATTTACGAATTGTTTTTGAATTTATGAATTGGTGTTGTGGATTTACGAATTGTTTTTGAATTTATGAATTGGTGTTGTGGATTTACAAATCATGTTTTGAACTTACGAATAAAATTTGTGTAGCTACAAATCGTGTTTTGAACTTACAAATTGTATTTTATAAATGTGAATTGTGCTGCTTGTGTAATTATTATACTTTGAAAATCATATTTAATTATAAAAAATAAATAATAAATATTCATTTTATTTAAAAAGATAATTTTTTAAACTGATCTGGCTCCATATCATTCATTCCTCTTCAAAAATTATTTTGTGAGACATCATGGAATAGCGAAGAATTGTGCACTTCAGGATTTCAGCAGAAGTAGCAAGTCATCTGGGTACTTCCTGCATACTGTTTTTCAAAATCTATGAATTTGGACATACTACTCGGCTCACATACTGGTTTTAGTGTGCTATAAAATATAAAAGTATGCAATTTTTGTATGCAGCCCATGTTTTCTTAACCAAACGCGCCTGATTAAGATCATCAGCTCAGAGACTGAAAGACCTGTAATGGGTGTAATAGACAAAGGAGACAACCAAAGCATGCATGTTGGTGGTTGAGAAGAACAGTCTTACTGCATTCCAGCTGCGTAAAAAAAAAAAAAAGCTTTTTTGATCTTTACATCCTCCATACTGTACCATTAAAGCTGTCACTCTGGACAGTAAATCATGTTAAGTTATAAAGCATAGCAATGAGATCTTCTGAATGGAATGCAGTGAATGTTTAGGATGTGCCGCAACACTTTCTCTCCGCAATTGTTTTCATTAGCCACAGGTTCCTTCAAGATTTTTGTTTTATGACAGCATTTTTCAACTGACAATTAATATACATGTACATATAGTTCTAACATGTCAATTACATTCACTCACATAAAAATTTAAGTACTTAATAAATTGACCCTTTTCACATTTACGATTTTCTCAGTAGCGGAAGTCATCATAGTTGCGTAAACTTAGAGCGCAGTGAATGGGAGAATACAACAAATAATTTTTTTTTAATCGTATTAGCTCTGGAACAGCTTCAGCAAAGAAACAGTTAAGCAAATTGAGGTATTAAACCCCACATTGTAGAATTGATATTTCAAGTGATTTAGTGAAGCCATGAGGTCTCGAAACGCTTCTTATATGGCTGATGCTTTGAATTGCTTTAGTCACATGACCTGGGTGTTTCGAAACACTTTTTACACTTAACCTGAGGGTTTCAAATCACCTTAGTCACATGACCTGGTTGTTTTGGATCATCAAAACAAAGTATCAAATGAAGTGTCGAATTGTGAAGTAAGCGATCCCTAGTTATCCCATTTTTGATTCTTGCCCTGTTTCCCCCTTATTGATTTTTAGTTGCCTGTATCGACCTCTTTGCCTGTTTCTGACTATGCACTTTGGATTTCCCTCGTGCTCCAGTTTGTACCCATTTGACCGTTGCCTGCTAATATGTTTTAGTTTTAAAACGCATAGTTTTTGCTATGGTTACACCTTCCGTCCACACTACCACAGAGTTTTAGAGCCTGGTAAATGGACTGTTTTGGATATGCTGAAGAGGCCGGTTTTGTTTATGGATCGGGGAAAATGGAGACATCTGAAAACAGATCTGAAAAAATCTGATTGGGGCTTTTTCTCAATATTAAGTGCACAAAGTTTAGTCTTTCTGCCTTTCCTTGTTAGTTCAGACTTCACAAGATTAATATGGAAAACAAACTCCCGAGGACACGTCGGGTAAATCCTTAAAGGCAACAGTGTACTTTATAACATCATTCACCTAACCTTGGCTATGTTGTTTCAATATCTTAACAATAAAATGAAAACATGATATAAGGAACTGCATATTTTAATTTTGATATTAGAAATTTAATAGACACCAAAATCGAGCCATTGTGTAGTTACATATTTATATAAGCGGCATCTTCACTTGTATGCATATTTAAAACAAAACATAGCCTATAACATAACTGCCGAAAAAATCTGCGACATACCCTGTCTCTTTTGCTGAATATCAGTTTTAATAAATCAATAATGGCCATTATAAAAGTGTAACATACCATAAGTTTATACATGCAAATAAAGGCAAGCAATTAGTCAAATGTGCAGAACCAGTGCTTACATAATATAATTTTTTTAATATAAGCTCAGCCAAAACACACATTACCTGAGAATAAGTAATAGATTCAAAAGACCCAAGTGTTGTTATATAGAGACCAGATGATTTAAATATCACGTTTAACAACTATAGTGTACTTTCCGACAAGCGCCGCTCTCACCTGGGGAGGTGTGCTCAAAGCACCCGCTGACTGCCTGGAACTCAGACTTTGGCATACGCTTCAGATCATGACACAGTGTGTGTGTGTGTGTGTGTGTGGTCACATGATGTGCGTTTTAAGCGGTGTAGTGTGCATGGAGATCTTTTCAGAAGCGCTAGGTGAAACGCCAGTGTGGACGTGAATCATTTTCTTTCTAAAACGTCATTCTAAAACTAAAACATATTTGTGTACACAGGGTCTTAGTTTGTACCACAAAATTCCCAAGTATTTTCAAGTCAAGTTTACCATCTTATTTCACTCATAAACTGAAAAAGTGCTTGATAAAAGCGCTAGGCAATCAGTGGAAAAATAACTTGGACAGAATTTTGACAGAATTATATACAGCAAACATGTTTATATTTATTGTGTAGGTGAAAATAAAACAAACATACCTTTAGCTCTGAATTAAACAGCTTAACTTTGAAAAAATCTCCTCCGTATCTTTTCAGTTTATTGTTGTGGTCTCTGGAAGTGATAGTAACCAGGATCTTTTCTCCCACGCTGTAATTCTGATTGAGTCCCACAATAGTGAATGTTGAGTGGTCTGGACTTGTGCTTTCACTCAGCTCAGTGATTTCTTGATCTGGGCTGGGCCATTCCAGAGCCTTCTGTAGTCTTTCCCACTCTTCTTCACTGATTCCCATGTCGAGTGCGGAAATTGTGTATGAAGAATTAAAATATCTGGAAACTGGTTTGGGCCTGGGGGCTTTAAATAGTATAACTTTGCTCCCACCAATCAATCTCCATAGAAACTAAGAGAACAAAAAAGATAACAGTCACAATAATATGTAATTATTATAATATGTAGATAAAGATACAAATTGACAACTCAAAAAGATTTGTGGATCTCTAGAAGAAGAAAGAGGAATAGGCAGCATATTGTGTTCATCCAATACTGCATTGAGGATGGAGAGTTCAGATTATTATTAAAAAGCTGCGCTACGATTATCCTGCAAAGTATGCAAAGTTTATTTTAGGCAATCGGTGGAATTTTGATACATTGCTTGTGATCCTTTACGCATAACACATTACGTACATAAACAAATCTTAAACAGAGACTGGCAGTATCTATAGACATTATAATAGATGGTGGCCATGAGGCGTCTAGCTTTCTATATTGTGTATGGGCAGTACGTCAAATGTATGGACACACACACATTCAGAGACACACACAAAGCAGCAGCAGGGGAGAGGTGTGCCAGTGACTGAATCCAGCATATAGGTGTTCTCAGCTATGGCAGACATTTTGTTTTTATTTTATGTGTTTGTCATAAAGTTAGCTGTAGCTCAAATGACGGCATTCTGTATTAAGGTTTTTGGTTTTGTACGGTGGCTCTGAACTGTCAAAACACCTCTCAAAGTGCTTTTTTGGATGCAAAACTTATAAAAACCTGGATTGAATTTTTTATGACGGACAAAAGTTTCGAGGAAGTGGCTTTCTCTTTATATGCGTCCTTGTGTTTTCGTGTAACATCATCATCAACTGCCAAAGTTCAGTTCCTATACTCAAGTTCGCAGGAACTGAGGACGCTTGGAAGTTCACAGAGGTTTTCTTGATATTTCGAGGACGCATTAATGCAAACTGGAGTGAAAAAATTGCTCAAGAACTCCTCATAAGATCCTCGAGCCCAGGGCTCCCTCCCGTTTGCAAGGCGAGAGGGGAGTTTGAGCTCAGGTAGATCTCGAGAACTCTCCTGCTGTAGTAGCTAATGAACAGATAATGATTGATTTCAAGAGATAACTACTTACTATGTCTATGGTGCCGATTTGAAATAGTAAGTAAGTAGTAATTAGTAATTATTAACTTAAGTTGATTGTTTTTGGATGGTGGGAGGAAACCGGGGAACCCGGGGGAAACCCACGTGAGCTCGTGGAGAACGTGTAAACTCCACACAGAAATGGCGGCTGGCTTGGTAAGGACTAGAACCAGACGTTCTTGCTGTGAAGCAACAGTGCTAACCAACTGGGCCACCGTGACACCCATCTAAGAAAGGAGGAGTAGGGGTGGAAGGGAGGATTCTTCAAAACGAAGATGGCTGTTATATGAAACTTAGGGTATTTATAGTGGCTTAGAAATCATCTGATTGGTGAATCATAAATTGAATAATGCGGGAGCAGCCGCAAGCAATAATAAGTATGTGATTCTCTGGAAATTAGTATATAAATAAACTTCACTTATTTGCTAAGTCTATATGCATAGTATATATTGTGAAAAGAGGAAAAACTAATTGTTAATTTAGAGAAAATTTCTGAAAATTCTAACTGATTTAACGGAGCCCATAAATTGAAATTAGCTTATTCTGTGGAATTTTATTGTAAACTAACAAAAAAGGTATGTTTGCAATAATTCTTATGGTCTAATGAACACGTGGAAAACATTTTCTATTTGATGATAAAAAAAATGAATAAATAAAATTTAAAAAATCCACCCAGCCCATTAATTTTCCATATTCCCACAGCTTTTGAATGTTTAAATTCCAAACTAACACTGCCCACTCTTTATTGGCTCAGGAGACATAATATCCTGAATCTGACTTAATGTGTTCTCAGTTGGGTTATTACCAGTAAGAGTATATTTAAATGAGAACAGAAAAGTATTTCCTCTAAGAAATGGATCTGTGAAAATAATTAAAATCATTATGCTACATTATCAATTGGTGGTGTCGCTGACTGTTTCCCAATATGCATTCCTCTGTGTTCTTGCGTCCTCGTGTTCCATCATCATCAACCACCAAAGTTCAGTTCCAAAACTACGCAAGAACGGAGGACACGTGAAAGTGATTGCAGCTGAATAAAGAAAGTGAGAAGTGCAGAATTGTCTATAGATTTATTTATTAAAGTTCAGAGATATAACTTAATTTATCTCAGGAGTTTCCCTAAATGAGATGGTGAAAGTAAACATTAGCATGAAAATCAAATAAATAAATGAAAATAGAGGCATTAACACATTTGAGGAGTTTATTTGCTAAAGTTCATATTAAAATCAGTTTTATTTATATTGTGCAACGTAAATCTGTAACGTCTTTATTAATATATATTGTGAAAAGGGGAAAAGCAATAAATCACTGTATGAATGCTGTAATGTTTAAATAATTTCCTGGTAAATGCATAAAGGTCATATGACAATCAGGAAGAATGCAGCATCTCATTTCTCAAGGTAACTTGGCAAGACTGGTCTCCACAAGAAAGCAAGTCCATTCTCTGCGTTCTTGGAATTGAGAAACAGCCAGTGTGTCAATACGATTTACCCAACGTGAGGTCGAATGTATTTTTTAACGAGCAAAAATTACAGACAAAAATTTTGGATTCGGTGTGCAATAACCTTTAGTCCATCCTTAATTAAATCTTAGTAGTTGAGGAAGAGATTGCATTTTAGATTTTAGATAAGACTTTGTGTTTTGCATTTCATAGCCACGTTCAATCATGGACCTGTCATAATCCCCAAATTCTCTAAACTAAATTCAGCACTGCCAAAATATCTAATTATATAGCAAACCCAAAAATAAATTAACTCTCGTCGATATTTGATTGTAATTTCAAACTATGCTATTAAACATTTAAAAAAGAATCAGAGTTGAACTTTTTTTTGTTTCACCGAGTTAAATGCCACCCGATCTTGTTGTTTTGCAACGTTATTATATAAATAAATATTTTTAACTGCCTTTAAAATGTATTCAAATTTTCTTTTGCACTTACCAAATAAGATGAGGTAGATAGAAGACATGCCAGTAGAAACACTTTTAGTCCAATCCTGGAAACTGATAAAGCACAAAAATGACCAATATCTAAAAACACAACCCAAAATAACGCATATAAACTGGGGATTACCTTGTGGATTTGATTTGTTTGTTGAAGGTATGACCATGGCTAAGTCTATTGTTGTCCTATGAGAAGTTCACATCAGCTTAAAACTGAAGTACATGTTCCATAAACTGTCAACAAGCATCCTGGTAAACTCCATTTCAAATTATTTCCACATGAGGCGTGACATTGATTTGAATGTTTATGTTGTTTAGCCAGTTTGGCTTTGCTTGACATAAGATGATGGATGTCTTTCCTGTTATACAAAGTGGTATAAAATGTACTTTTTGATAATGATATTTTCCTGACAGAATTTATTCTTAAGTTACTTGCCTCTAAGATTGAAATGATCTTGGAAATGATAAAATTGCAAGTCATAATCACTGGCCAAACTGGTTTGCTGCAGGAGTGTTTTGTTTTTTTTAAAGGTGCCCTTTAAAAACAATGGAAACACTTTATAATAACTACACTACTAAGAATCATTTGTTAAGCATTAGCAAATAATGAATTCTTTATCTGTTAAGTATTAACTTTACATTAACAGATGTTAGAAAGCAGTTTATAACCAGAGATACATACGCTCTATTCTTCACTTATTAGCACATATATAATGTGCTTAATGGTTGTATTTTCATACTTTAATAATTATTTTTCATTACCTAATTAAATATTGCATTATTTAAGAACCAGTACTTTAAGAGAAGTTGCTGTTTTTTTAAAGATTATTCGGAATGACGGAGTAAATGATTAATAAATAATACAAATTAACATTTATATATCTTATCATTCAGGCATATATTAATAGTTAATTTGTATGTTAATAAATGCTTTATTAACTCATCCAGCTTTATTAACTCCATCCAGTTTTGTGACCTAATCTAAAGTGACGACTATTTATGCTTAATAAATCCCTAATAAATAATAATAAATAGCTCAGTTCTAATCTAAACAGAAGACTTTAATAATTTCTATTCGTTTTAGGATACACAAATGAAACTGTATCAAATGAAAAATAAATCTTTGCAACCTTATCTAAAATAAAATTACCGTACCAGTTAAAACATCCCTAAATAACATTGAAATGTATCATATTATGTTGTTAAAACATTATATTGCTGTCGTTTTATTCAATTTAATGTTGTATTTTGGTCTTATTTGTTTTATTTCGGCTAGAATAAAAGCAGTTTTTAATTTAAAAAAAAAAACATTTTAGGGACAAAATTATTAGCCCCTTTAAGCTAATTTTTTTTCACGATAGTCTACAAAACAAACCATCGTTATACAATAACTTGCCTAATTACCGTAACCTGCCTAGTTAACCTGGTTAAGCCTTTAAATGTCACTTTAAGCTGTATAAGTGTCTTGAAAAAGATCTAGTAAAATATTTGCTGTCATCATGGCAAAGATAAAATAAATCAGTTATTAGAGATGAGTTATTAAAACTATTATGCTTATAATGTGTTAAAAAAAATCTTCTCTTCATTAAACAGAAATTGGGGAAAAAAATAAACAGGGGGGCTAATAATTCTGACTTCAACTGTATGTGGTAGATGTACTGCAAGGGTTTAGTTTAGTTCCAACCCTGCTTCCACACACGTACCTGGGTTTAAAACAAGCACGAAGAACTCAATCAGTTTGATCACGTGTAATTAAGGTTAAAGCTAAACTGTGCAGAAATGCGGCCCTCCAGGAATTGAGTTTGACAGCTATGATGTAGTGTATGTAATGATGGGGATGTAGTGACCAGCTACACCTCTTGTCAAGTGTATTTAGCCAGCGCATACATATATCTTTTATAATAACCATAATAACAGTCTGAGCAAACTCACAGTTGGAACTGTTGTATAATTGTAATTTGGAACAATTTTTTATTCAATATAAATTCAATATATTTTCAATGACAAACAAAAGGAATGTATAATAATTTATTTGAAAGCTACAGTATGTAATATGAAATGGGCAGTAAAAAGGAAATAGAAAGTCTTATTTCATGTACAACCTTTTATAAGTCGTAAATTTTTAAAGTACAACATACAGACAAGAGTTGTAAATCAGCTTAATGCTCACTTGGCCTTCAATAGCACAATCTGACTGTATTTCTGCAGTCAGGCAGGACAAACAAATGACAGGAACATATCAACTTCATTAGCCACGATGACAGGGCCTGGGTGGATATTTTCTCGAAGGTAGTGACATGAAGTCATCTGCCAGACATCGAAGTAGATTACGCCATCAATATCTCTGAACATCTCCTGCATCACTGTGTTCAGCTGCATGGCGTACCAGTCACTTTGAAAAATGTCCTGGAACAAACACAGATCCATTAGACTAAACAATATCATTTGTAAAGCAAGCATATTATTTTTATTGCCTGTAATCTTTCATACACTGAGTACTAATTTAACTGTCTAATACCTTATATTAAATTACTTTAACCCTTAGCCTAAATAAAGAAACAGTTCAGACAAAACCTGTTTTTATTATAACATTAAAGATGCCATAAAAAAATGTACATGCATTCACACTCTGATATCAATGAAGTCATCGTTTCCCTTGATGCTGAAAAAGCGTTTGATCGAGTTGAGTGGGAATATCTTTTCTTTACTCTCAAAAAATTTGGCTTCCCTGAAAATTTGATTTCCTGGATCAGGCTCTTGTATTCTGCCCCAATAGCCTCAGTCTGCACAAATAATATCTATTCAGAATATTTCCCTTTGTATAGAGGTACAAGGCAGGGTTGCCCCCTTTCACCTTTGCTGTTTGCCATTTCGATTGAGCCCTTGGCCATATTACTTCGTCAATCTACTATTTTTACAGGAATCACTCGGAATGACAAAGAACATAAAATCTCCTTATATGCAGATGACGTTCTTTTATATGTCTCAAATCCAACTCATTCAATACCTCACATACTATCAGTCTTAAAAGATTTTGGAAAAATTTCAGGCTATAAAATAAATATGCACAAGACAGAGTATTTTGAGATTGATGCCCCTCTAGATAGATCTTCTTACACAATACCATTTAAAGTGGTTCAGGATAAGTTTAAATACTTAGGCATATCAGTTACTCGCTCCTTTAATGGCTTGTTTAAAGCCAACTTTTATCCATTACTAAAACGTTGTAAACAAGATTTCAAGAAATGGTCCACTCTACCTCTTTCACTGTCTGGACGTATTAATCTAATTAAAATGACAGTTCTCCCACGGTTTTTATACCTTTTTTCAAATATACCCATATTCATAAGAAAACAGTTTTTCTGTAACATAGATAAATTGATAAGCCATTTTATATGGGGAGGTAAATCACCTCGTATTAGAAAATCATTCCTCCAGAGGAATAAATCCCAAGGAGGCATGGCACTGCCAAATTTTTTGTTTTACTACTGGGCAAGCAACATTCAAAAAATGTTGTACTGGGTATCTTCTTGGGACCCAGAGTCAATTCCACTGTGGGTACAGGGTGAAAGAGCTTGTTCCAGAGCTTCTCTTAAATCTTTGTTATGTGCATCACTTCCAATTTCAGAAAAGAATTATATGACTTCTTTTAATCCAATAGTTGTACATACATTAAAAATTTGGTCACAGTTAAGAAAGCATTTTGGCTTTCAGGCTCTCTCAATTGCAGGTCCCATTGCCTCTAATTGCTTATTTGCCCCATCTTGTACAGACTCTGCATTCCGAGTGTGGGAGGAGAAGGGGATTAAATGCCTGAAAGATTTATTTATTAATAATATTTTTTGCTCCTTCGAAGAGCTTGCTCATAATTTTTCTCTGCCCAAAAACAATTTTTTTAGATTTCTACAAATACGAAGCTTTGTTAAGTCAAAATTTAAATCTTTTCCTGAATTACCTGCTGCCTCAGTAATTGATGCATTATTAGACTTAAAACCCGAAAGTAAAGGACTAATTTCTCATATATACTCTTTAATTTGTACAATTGATCCTCAAAGTCTAGAACATATTAAAACCTCCTGGCAGCTCGACTTGAGCAGAGACTTCACAGACTTAGAATGGGATGGTATTTTAAATAAAGTACATTCATCATCACACTGTACCAGACATGCCCTTATTCAATTTAAAATACTTCACAGGTTACATTTTACAAATTTAAAATTGTCTAAGATCTATCCTACTGTTAGTCCAGCATGCAGTAGATGCTCAATTTCACCAGCTGCCCACATGTTTTGGTTCTGCCCAAATCTAGGGAGGTTTTGGAAAGATATTTTTCAATCATTTAGTGATATGTATGGTTTTCCTATTGAACCTGAACCCCTGTTGGCAATTTTTGGAACCAGTCCAGAAAATATTGTGCTTAAAGAAGAAATATGTAGAGTAATTGCTTTTACCACGCTACTGGCAAGGCGTTTAATTCTTCTGTATTGGAAAAAAACTGAGGCCCCAACACATAGTAGATGGATTAAAGACGTTATGTATTTTATTCAGCTTGAAAAAAATCAAATTTACTCTAAGAGGTTCAAAAAATACTTTTTTAAAAACCTGGTCTCCCTTTCTTACATACGTTGACCATTTACAATTTTTGGAGCAGGAGGATATATAAAATCTCTCATAATCCCAAAAGAACCCCCCCCCCCCTTTTTTTTTTTTTTTCCCATATTTTCCTATTCCTCTTTCATGTCACTGTAACCTTGTAATGCCTTTCACAATGGCAGTGCTTGTAATAAAGGTATACAGAACCTTTCTTTTATTACACACTGAACTGTTTACTTTTTATGTGTATCGTATATCTTGAGGACTTTATGTTTGCAGACTGTTAGCTATGTATATCTTCTGTTAAAGCCACAAAAGGGAAAGTAGTGTTGGGGATATTTGTTTATATATTTTGTTTTGTTGTTGTTGATTGTTTGTCTTTTTTTTTTTTTTTTTTTTGTGCAAATGTAAAAATAAAAAATCCTTATAAATAAAGTATTAAAAAAAAAAAAAGATGCCATAAAATAAAAATCTGGATATATGGATATATATGTATGTATGTATGTATGTATGTATGCATGCATGCATGTATGTATGTATATATGTAAACATATATATACACACACAATATTGTATCTGCAGGTTTTAAAAAGGTACATTTTGGTTTTCCATGGTACAAATCATGTCCTTAAAGGTACAAATTTGTTTCTTTGTCTTAAGGTACAATTCTGTTCTATAAAAAGGTACTGCCCGCCCCAGTGACCAGGGTTTGTTTCTTCTTTGGTACAACATTGTACCATTTCCTATGAGAGTGTCAAAAAAAAAAACGCGGTAAAGCATAATTTGGAAAATATTTAAAAAAGGAAAAAAAAAAAAAGGGGGGGGGGGGGCGCTAATAATTCTGAATTCAACTGTGTGCGTGTATATATATATTTTTTTTTTTTCTTTCTTTTCTTTGCATAGATTTTTACATGGAGAACGTTTACATGGACACCAATACCCGGATTTTAATACGATTAAGACAATAAGAGTCTACCAATGCCATGTAAACGGCGATTTATTAATTCATTTTTTTGATTCCCCTAATCTGACTAAAGTCATAGTGGAACTATACAGAAATAAAATAGCATTTCGATTTCAATCGCATTATTAAATTGCAGTACAGAAATGTAAACACCTTAATCAAACGATTACTGTTTTGTTAGCCACACATGACAGTTGTCAGGCATATGAGCACAATCAACTGAAAATGGCTTTAAGCAAGAGAGCACATTTTTGTTGCGAGCAGGAAACGATGACTATGTTGATAATTCTTCCTCCAGTATATTAACTGCATACTTTCATCCACTACCTCAGAGTTTGTTGCAGGGCATGAATGACAAGTTACTGAAAGAAATGACATTTAGGAATTTGTATCCACCGTAATCCGTTTACATGCACTTTGACTTTAGCCACAATGTTTTTAAAAATGTTTTTTTTATCCAAAAGTATATTTTTTAGAATTAATCTTAATCCATGTTATAAATTCAACACATAGTGCTTTTCTGTGAACTCAAAGCACTTTACAGATTTATGTTGGAATCTCCTCAACCACCACTATTGTATAGCATCACCCTGGGTGACAGGACGGCAGCCATTTTGCGCCACATGCTAGCTTATTGGGGAGAGAAGACACAGGGATGAAGCCAATTATTATATGGTAAGGAAGCAATGATGGACAGAGGCCAGTGGGCAAGTTGTTCCAGAATGCTGGGAATAGACTATACTGGGGAACTAGATCCCACACCCAGGGAGAAACAATATATTGGATTTCCACATACAAAAATAAAGAGACCGACAGACCGAGATATTTATTGCTTGTGCCAATGTTCAGTTTTGTTCCAGACACTGTATAAATAGATCTAAAACTTTATGGTAGTGCTTTAGTTTGCCCCTGATACTGTAGGTAATTCTTCTCAGTGCAATGTAAATCTTTTAAAAAGTGGTCAAAAGGTAGACTTATTATTATTCTTCCAATAGAGTGCTAAACCCAGGGCAAGCACCTCCCTTTGCCTCACTAGCACCTCTTCCAGAAGGAACCTATCTCATGTGGTTTCCCATCCCGGTACTAACCAGGCACAACCCTGTCTAGCTTCATTTGGTGACTATGTGAAAGACGTTGCTTTAAACTTCTGAGTGGTATTTCTGCTCAATTGTTTTTTGACTTTAAAAAAACATTCAACTAGGCCTGCACAATATATTGTTTCAGCATCGATATCCTAATGTGCAACGCTGAGTCTGAATTATAGTTGACCAGGAGCTACAGAAATGTATTTAATTACTGTATACTAATACTATATTTATATGATTTGTCCTAAAAAAATAAATAAAATGCGTACTTAGAATTTTTGTCTTGTTTCTAGTCTAAATAGCAAAATTTTAAAGCAAAAACTAATTATTTTACCTCCACTGGCAGATAATTTTGCTTGTTTTTCAGGAAAAACTCAATTTACTTACTAGTCAAAACTTAATTTTGACTTTAAAGTTGACAACAAAACAATATTTTTACTTGATCTATGAATGTTTCGATATTTAGACTAAAAACGAGACAAAGCAAAGTAAGAATTTTTTTTTTTGCATTTTAATTATTCAATTTCTGCACCTGAATACTGTTGGATGGCCCAGAAAATTGTCAAATAGTGCTATTTAAAGTATCTTGCGAAACTGTTTTCATATCACAATATTTATTGCAGAAAAATAAAATATCTTAATATCCAACAACGTACCCCTGTATAGATTTCTGAAGAGCGCTAACTATTGCTACATTTCGTCTTTACAACAAAAACTATGGGTTGGTATGACTCCGCCGAAGGCTTCTTGTCCTTCATTCATTCATTCATTCATTCATTCATTCATTCATTCATTCATTCATTCATTCATTCAGTTGACAGCGGCCTCTGGTGGATTTATGCGAGAAGAGCAGGTGTAAATGGCACTTGTAATGCTGCGTTCACACCAGACGCGGAACGCGTGTCAAGCGTGAGTGATTCACATGTTTAGTCAAGATACACGCAAATGGTGCGGCGCGAATGACGCAGCGCGAATTGAGCGTTTTGAGCGTTTTAGCTTTATAAAACAAGGATTGAAATTGAGAATAAAACCCATACCTTATATCCGGCAGTGTTTCCAGATTTGATGATGATGATAGTGTCTGGTGCTCGGCTCAGCAGCGAAACGACAGACTGACGGATTTTGGCCACTTCGTGCACATAGAATGTTAGAGGGTGAAAAACCAGGTGAGCAAAGAGTGTGAAGACGATCACTGCATGAGAACCCCCAGCTATTTCATTAATATCATTACTGATGTAGTGCAGGTCAGTGATCGGCATTTTTGTAAAGCGCAGAGGAACTCCGTGTGGCCCCCAGTGAACTATTATATTGTTTGTCAACTCAACAGCCATCAGGGGTCCTCCTGTAGGAGGAGTGTGGAGGTCCATCCTTTTTATACCTAATAAAGGAAAAAAAAAAGTAAATTGCACATTAGTCACACTGCTTTATTAATTATGTTGGCTTGAGAAAGACCAACTGTTATCCAACTTAAACAATGTTATTATTCTGTCTTCTGAGGCCAATTCTATCTCCTCCTAGTGCTTTAATGCTACAAGCCCCAGGTTTGGGCAAAAGCTGTGTTCTGCATAAGGTTTTGTGGCTATATCTTTTCAGGTTTATCTGACTTATAGTTTTTCAATAAGTCATTTTTTAAGCATTATATTTGTAAAAATATAAAAAGTCCACATTGTGACTGATATGGCTAGCCATTCTTACATAAATTCCATTTTTTGTTTTTTTACGGATATGGCAAGTCATTTTTGCATGTTCTTATTAAGCGTTATATTTTCAATAAAATATGGCAAGACATTTTTATATGATGTCCAAGTCCAGATTTTGACTGTTATAGAAACTAGCGTAGAGACATCAAGGCTGATTTATATCACGCATATTGGCAACACCCTGCAAAAAAATCCAGCTTAAACCAGCCTAGGCGGGTTGGCTGGTTTTAGCTGGTTGACCAGCCTGGTTTTAAAGGGGTTTTGGCCATTTCCAGGCTGGGAGATGACCAGCTAAAACCAGCTTGACCAGCCTTGCCGGCCTGGGAGCCCAGCCCCAGTAGGGTAAGCTTTGATGTATAATCACTAGGCTGTCAATTGTCCTCATAGCAACAAAGCAGACCAACTTAGCAACCATTTAAAAACAGCAATATCTCTACATCAAAAAAATCGTAGGGACCTGGGACCTAGCATGAGTCAAACCTTGGCTGGTTTGACTCATGCTAGCTAGCAAAATAGGACTTCCTGTGTCTTATGCATGGCAACAATGATTAGCCAAATGCTAAAATGATTAGTTATATGCTTTTCATGATTATCTAAGTGCAATAACATATGCTAGGAATTCTTACTAAGTATTAGGATTTGATCAAACATGTAAATGAAGGTTACCATTTAGCAACCCATTTTACATTAGCATCTGCTTAGCAATCACCTAGCAATGCCAAAAACATTTTAGCAACGTTAGCAATTTTATCAACCTCTGTGCTTGGCTTTCTCAAGCCAACATCAAAGTTCATCAACAAACTTTAGGTTCAAGTTTATCATATGGTTTTACAAAGCTTCTATTGCACACATACAAAACTACCAAAACTATTCTGCCATTTAATTCAGTTCAATTAATCTGTATCTTCTATAGCACTTTTACAATGTAGATTGTGTCAAAGCAGCTTAACATAGAAGAGGTTTTACATTTTCTAGATGAACTTAGTTTGTTAATGTTACACCTAAGGGGTTTATTAATACATTTTTAATACACCTTTTTTTTCCGTCCTAATAGAAATTAGTTATTGTTGATGAAATTAAAGCCACTTTACCCCCCTAAAAAAAGACATTTTAAATATGAATATACATTATTTTTTCTGCAGGTTCCACCAATTCAAATTTAAGCCTTTTAAAGACCTTTTTAAGACCATGAAGAATTAAATTTCTGACGAATATATGGCTAAACACCAAAGATATTTATTTAAAGGCTCAGCTGAAATTTTTTACTTGCCCTATCCAAAAAATAATTCTAATAAGTAATATCTTAGCCATTTATATTTTTAATAAAGTGTCAAAACAAGCAGACCCTAAATATATACATACTTTTTTCCCACATAACCTTAAAAAATCTTTAATAACTAAATGCATGAACAACAGACTGCTTAATATTAGTTAGAAATATATAGTTTTGCTAAAAGTATTTATTGTTGGCGATTGAATATGTGTAGTATCGATTGGGTAGCTTTTAAAGCCCCCTTTAAAATTATTTAAGACCTACAAGACAATATTTCAGTGCATTTTAGGCCTACAATTTTGATTTTGAAATGTAAGATTTTTTAAGATCCCACCGACACCCTGCAGAAGTTTGTAACACCATGAAGTTTATATTTTATTTACACTATACTGTATTCCATGCTTTAAGGGCTGTCATTTATATCACTGTATAACTTGCCTGGCACCTTTCTCTCTAAGTTCTCGAACCACTGTCTTGTGGTGGAGTCTCCCATCAAATAGACAATCTTGTTTTTAAGGCAATTTCCAGTTTGTGCAGAATTGAACTGTTGGGTTTTGCATACAAAAGACTTCCACACATCATTCAGATAGAAACCTGCAGGAACTGGTGTTGTCAGACCAGGTCTGCATCTCTCCGGTTTGCCTAAAGCAAAGAAACCAGGAAAGAGTTATGCATAGATATGCAAATTCTTCATTTTATCATAAGCACATTTGTTTTTAATTTCATTTTGTACTGACATATGAACATACCGTTGTTTGTTTTGGGAAGGACGTTAATTAATTGTGTGTCTCCATTAATTAAAACATTTGTTAATTTTCTGTGGAGAAAAAAATGATTAATATTCAATAATTCCCTGCAACTCTTCTAGAATTTGCTTTGAATCCTTTCCCAGCTTACTTTGAGAAAATTTGCTTCTCAAAAGCATTTAATGGGTTTTCCAGATCTCCTCTTGAGTGATAAACCAGTTTGTCACAAGAAAGTTTCTTAGGTCTCTCACAGTGCCACACCGTCCCCGTTTTAACATCCTTATACTCGCAGCAGCAGTTGCCTTTAATCCAGTTCCCATCTGCACCCCACTTAAGGTTACACGGTACATCTTCACTGATCCTGTTTTTTTTGGGTCCTGGTCCTTCAAAGTGTCCGTTATAGTGGCTGCGTGTGAATGACGACTCCCTGTATTTTTTCAGAATCTGCACAACCTCACTGGAGTGCTCCAGACGAACAGAGACTTGTGCCTGACCTTCCCAGGGCAGAAGAAGAGAAGCAGAGTAAGTCCCGTTACGATGATCCACAACCTCTCCATACACACTCGCCTTCAAGAAGAATAGAGAAGACTATATGTTATGAAGAAAGCTAATCTCTTACAACTTTCAGGCTAACCAACAGAGTGTCAAAATCCAAACAAATCTAATTTGCCACTAGTTTATTACTCGCAATTCTAGTGCTGGGCTGTGGCTGGAAGGGCATCTGCCCCATTAAACATATGTCAGAGTAAATGATAGTTCCTGTTCCAATCTGTAAATGCATTAAGAAGACCCCCTTCAAAAAAGGTGTTACCAAGTCATGTTTACAACAGACTGAAAAGGAGAAAGTAATCAATTATCTGCCAGTTTATCGTACATTTATGGCAAATGTCTATATATTTATTCATTTGTACATTTATTTATGAAAAATATTTGAAGCATACACACCTTCAGCTCTGAATTAAACAGCTTAACTTGGAAAAAATCTCCTCCGTATCTTTTTAGTTTATTCTTGTGGTCTCTGGCAGTGATAGTAACCAGGATCTTTTCTCCCACGCTGTAATTCTGATTGAGTCCCACAATAGAGAACTTTGAGTGGACTGGACTTGTGCTCTCACTCAGCTCAGTGATTTCTTGATCTGGACTGGGCCATTCCAGGGCCTTCTGCAGTCTTTCCCACTCTTCCTCACTGATTCCCATGTCATGTGTGGAAATTGTGGATGAAGAATTAGTTTTTATGAATTTTCTAGCATCACGTCTTGGAATAGGGGGCTGGAATGGATTTGTCGGATGAACATTCTCTGTTAATCTCCACAAGGCCTGAAAGACAATGAATTAAATGTTTAGCATTATCAAAAAAAAAAAAAAAAGTATGATCACAAAAAAACTACTTTTAATTTCTACTCCTAAACAAACCAGTGTGTCTCAACCAGTCCTTATCTTTGTCATGACAAAGCAAGACATTGGCAAGACATTACCACAAGGCTTTATAATTGGCTCATGAACATTTTTCTGTTCATGTTTTTAGTGCAACAAACTAAAATTGTCATTGATATGTCACATTAAAAATGTTATTACCCTCTCAAACAAGTTTTTGATTACTATTTAATGACCAATCCAGCTTGTACCAATGTAGTTGAGGTAAAAAAGTTTTATGACACTGTTATAAAACTCATGACACTTTTATAATGGCTTCATCACTATCATATCTATGACAAGTTTTGTTGTCTTGATAATGTCAAGTTCTATAACAAACAGTGGTGGAAAGAGTACTGAAAAATCATACTCAAGTAAAAGTACCATTACTAGCCTAAAAATGTAGTGTAAGTAGAGTAAAAGTATTTGTTGTAAACATTACTCAAAGTATGAGTAAAAAGTAGCCCTTTCTAAAGTACTCAAGAGTAGTGAGTATTGAGTATTACACTTTTAAAAGTTGAACCATTTACATGTGTGTAAATGTAACATTCGATTAGTGCATCTAGTTATTAACCAGCAGGCACACAACTTCATAAGATGTTAATGTTAGGTTCGTTTTAGGTTGTGATGTCAGGTGACCAAAATTCAATGTCTAGCTAGTGTCTAAGGACAACGCTATTTTAATGTCCAATAACGATATCAAATGGCGTTGATTTTTGGTTGATTTTAGGTCACATTGACATCAAATACTGTCATTTATTTGTCAGGTATGGCAACCAAATCCAACGTTTGATAGACGTCATAGTGGTAACATGCACACAATAGCAAGCTGTAACATCATTAGATTGGTTAACATCATTAATATTTGGTTGGTTTTAGGTTGGATGTTGGACATTGACCTGAAGTTGAGTTCTGACGTTAACCCGATTTTCCTTTCCAAACAAAATGCAACGTACCCATGACCTGGAGGTACAATGTCTATCTGACATTATGTTAACGTCTTCTGCATTCTGGGTGTTTAAGGCCATTTCAATCATCATACAGTAAACATCTGTCATTTTCTTATCAGTGACATGCATCTGAACAGTCTCTGGGTCAATGCGTGTAAAGATTTTAGACATTTTCTTTAATGCTTCCAAACAGTTTACTGCAATTATAAATGGCCCATGTCTTGAGGTAGTTCATTATTATGCGATTTACCTTCTGTGTATGATTTGATCGGACAGGAATCACAGGACGGATTTTTAAAATCCCCAAAGACAAGTAAAATTAAAGTCGTGACAGCAGGTTGAAGGAAAGTAGTGGAGTAAAGAACCAATACTGCACTAAAGAAGTACTCAAGTAAAAGTAAAAGTACTCATTTTTAAAAATACTTAGTAAATTACAATTCCTGAGAAAAACTACGCAATTTCAGTAATTTGAGTATTTGTAATTAGTTACTTTACTCCACTGATAACAAACAATGTCATCTCTGCATTTAAAATGACACTTCATGACAGTTGTTAAAAGCTTCCATGAAATCTCACATTCATAACATAACTGAATGGGTTGTGGCTGGAAGGGCATCCACTGTGTAAAACACATACAGTACTAGAATAGTTGGCCGTTCATTTCGCTGTGGCTACCCATGATAAATAAGCCAAAGGAAAACGAATAAATGAATATTTGTCATTTATTTACAACCTTGTGCCATCAAACTCTTGTATAAAGACATTTTTACAATCAGTATGTATTATTAAATTTCACATTTATCAATCACAATTAGACAACTCTTTCACACTCTTTATTTTTATTGAAATTCATATTTTATTAACTTTTGGTAGCGTGTTAATTGTTTATGTTGCTAAAGCTGGATCTAAGGGTATTGTGCAGTGAATTACAGAACTATCCAGTCAAGTGGTCAATCTTTAAAAACAACTAACAGGCATGGCTATTAATCAGTCAGCATCACATCAGGGTCCAGAATTATTTTCTTTTTTTTTCATAAAAAACTGCATGACATGAAACATTAAGTGATCTACTGCTTGTGTAATTTGGAGTGGTCAATTGGGTCATTTTTGCCATTGAGATCACCCTATGCATTCACTCTGACTATTTCACATGTATTTTGTAAATTAAGAAAAATAAAATTAATTTAGAAACTAAAGTAGTGCCATTGAAATAGAGCAAGCCCCTGAAACTTAAAATTACAGTAGTCTATATCTGCTTTGTGGCTAACAGTTAATGCTAAAGATTTTAGATTAAATATTAACTGTTAATATTCAATCTAAAATCTTTAAAGACAATTTTAGTTCTAATAGCGGTGTATTTTCTGCGTTTGGCCTTAGTAGGGCAGTGTTGTGCAGCTTATACTCATTTGTTTTTCATGAACTCACCATACAGCTGATCGTCAATAAACAAACACAAAGATAGGTCGTCCTGTGAACTAAAAGGAAACCGTAATGAGTTCCAATTTACAGATGTCACATTAATGATTAATAATTGATTTGGCCACGCTATCATTAATTTTAAAAGTAAACATCAATCAATCAATATGTATATATTTTTTCTAATCATATTAATCAATCACTGTAAGCTCTTGATGAATTATTTACCTGAAAGAGCAGCTGTGGGTTGAATGCACATGTTCGCATTCAACACTGTTCAACTTTGAAATATCAAGTACGAGTCAGGTTTGACCTAATCTTCCGTGTTGTTAACATCAGCTGTTTCCCCTTTCAATCAGCGCTGGCCCGCATACAATACTCACCTGTTTCCATTCAAGTCTATTTGTTTCTCCAAATATACCTGCCCCTTCTTGTTACTCTTTGTCGGATTATTGTGTTAGTTAAAGCCTATGGACCTACTCTCGCTCTCTAGTGAACTCTGCATTTATCAAATCTAGTCAGTCCGGTAACTTTGATTAACTTCTTATCGCTTTTGCTTACCTGTGATCTGCGCAGTCTCCTCGCTGCTGATTCCCAGCTCCTCACCTGGGCTCGCCAGCGACAGCCCTCGCTCCGCTCTGAGGGAGCCGAGGCGGATCATTAGTTGCTCTCACTCCAGTCTGCGTTCTCCCACGGGTGGTCGGGGATAGGCAGCCGCCTTACTTTATCCTTTATGCAAATAAAACTCTTGATTTTGAACTAAACTCTCTCTATTTTCTGTCCGAGCCTGACAGTGACAAGCATCATTTTTGTTTTTATAAGGTTGGGGTGTTTCTGCCTGCTATAAGTGTACAATAATACTTTTATTTATTTATTTTTCATAAGTAAGTGTATATAAAACAAAACAAAGCCTGACTGTTATTGTCATTCTTTTAAAATCTGATGCTTCATGACAGTGATATCTTTCCTTTTCATGCAATCATTGCAGTAAAAAAAGTTAAATGTTATTGTGACATGCAATGGGGAAAAAATGCAGATCAGAACAGATTTCATTTATATGTAATCATTTGGCAGACACTCTTATCCAAAAAGACTCCCAGGTACGAATCGAAATTGTCCAGTATTGCTGGGTTGGTTGGTAATCTGGAGGATTTAGGCAAACACAGCAGCACGGCGACGTGTCTAAATGTGAACAAACTTCTGATAAAAGACAACGTCTGACATTCTCGACTACTCGTACTGCTCTCCCGACAAAAATCATTGCTGCACATAAATGGCTTTGCTGTATCGGCCCTGACAGCATCGTGGAGAAAAACATGCAACAAACCTTGTGGATCATCGAAACAAATACATACAACCATTCATCCATGGCTAAATACTGCGTGCTGTGGGTCCGTGGACGCGGTTTCACCCAGTCATCAAGGTAGGATCTTACAGCTTGGCACTGGCAGGTCTGCCTTGCCTTTGGAAAGCTAGCACAGTCATGAATAATTAAGAAGCCGGATCTTCTTATAGGATAAGTAAACATAGCCATGAATAATAATGATAATAATCATAATAAATTATAATCAGCTTTGCACTTGCAGTTCTACACTACCTCGACGATTTTGATTCCGCCCCAAAAATAGTTTTAAACCCGGAAGCTGAAATTAGCTTACAAAAGCTCAAAATTATCCTGTTTTTCCCACAATTAAAGTTAACAGCTGCTAACATTGTCTTAACTCAACACACACAAATCTGTTAACATTTCAAAAAAGTACTCAAGGGTTTTATGAACCTTTAATTGTCATTTAGAAGGGATTTATGAAGCATGAATAGTCCTAACTTTAGACTAGGTTACAAAACTGGGTGAAGAGTGTTAAGGATTCAGCGTAAAATGAATGAATCACTGATGTTGAGTTTGAAAGCTGTAAAAGGTTCTCTCTTGTACTGCATTAAAAAAATATTTGTGGTAGATGTACTGCAGGGGTTTAGTTTAGTTCCAACTCTGCTTCCACACACGTACCTGGGTTTACAACAAGCACCAAGAACTCAATCAGTTTGATCACGTGCGTTTAATTAAGGTTAAAGCTAAACTGTGCAGAAATGCGGCCCTCCAGGAATTGAGTTTGACGGCTGTGATGTAGTGTATGTAATGATGGGGATGTAGTGACCAACTACGTGACCAGCTACACCTCTTGTCAAGTGTATTTAGCCAGCGCATACACATCTTTTATAATAACCATAATAACAGTCTGAGCAAACTCACAGTTGAAACTGTTGTATATTTGTAAACTATAACCTTTTATTGTGTTGAAAAATTTTATAGTACAACATACAGACAGGAGTTGTAAGTCAGCTTAATGCTCACTTGGCCTTAAATAGCATAATCTGACTGTATTTCTGCAGTCAGGCAGGACAAACATATGACAGGAACATATCAACTTCATTAGCCACGATGACAGCAGCTGGGTGTATATCTTCTGGTAGGTAGTGACATGAAGTCATCTGCCAGACATCAAAGTAGATTACGCCATCAATATCTCTGAACATCTCCTGCATCACTGTGTTCAGCTGCATGGCGTACCAGTCACTTTGAAAAATATCCTGGAACAAACACAGATCCATTATTCTAAACAATGTCATTTGTAAAGCAAGCTTAGACTTAAAGCAAGCTTAGCTTAAATAATGAGCATGGGTTGGCAATATCAGATTTTTCCCAATATCATGCAGCCCTAAATTCAACTATATAATTATAAAACAGACAGAAAGCTTTTAAAAACAAAGTAGTATTAAAATTGAGAATAAAACCCATACCTTTTGTCCTGCAGTGTTTCCAGACTTGATGATGACGAGAGTCTCTGGTGCTCGGCTCAGCAGCGAAACGACAGACTGACGGATTTTGGCCACTTCATGCACATAGAATGTTAGAGGGTGAAAAACCAGGTGAGCAAAGAGTGTGAAGACAATCACTGCATGAGAACCCCCAGCTATTCCATCAATATCATTACTGATGTAGTGCAGGTCAGTGATCGGCATTTTTGTAAAGCGCAGAGGAACTCCGTGTGGCCTCCAGTGAACTATTATATTGTTGGCCAACTCAACAGCCATCAGGGGTCCACCTGTAGGAGGAGTGTAGAGGTCCATCCTTTTTATACCTAATAAAAGCAAAGAAAATAAATAAGTAAAAATGTACATTAGTCACACTGCTTTAATAATTTAGTTCGCTTGAGAAAGCCAACAAACTGTTACCCAACTTAAACATATTATTATTATTCTGTCTTAGACCAATTCTATCTCCTCCTAGTGCTTTAATGCTACAAGCCCCAGGTTTGGGCAAAAGCTGTGTTCTGCATTAGGTTTTGTGGCTATATCTTTTCAGGTTTATTTGACTTAAGTTTTTCAAGAAGTAATTTTTAAGCATTATATTAGTAAAAATATGGCAAGCCATTTGTTTACTTTAAGCCCACATTTTTAATGATATGGCTAGCCATTCTTACATAAAGTCCACTTTTTTTTTTTTTTTACGGATATGGCAAGTGATTTTTGCATGTACTTCTTAAGCATTATATTTTCAATAAAATATGGCAAGACATTTTTACATGATGTCCAAGTCATACCTGTCAACCCTCCCGTTTTTCCCGGGATTCTCCCGTATTTTACAGTTCTATCCTGCTATGATCCCGTAAAAGTATTTCTCCAGTATTTTCAGCCTTTCTCTGATGAGTGGCAAATAAACAATAAAGAGTCGAGCCTTCCTATATGCAACCCATACCAACGAACCACCAGGGGCCGCCCCTCGCTCTTAAATGCGAGTCTGTTCTGTGCTTTCGCTTTGTTTAGGCACGAAAACATGTTGAAATAAACATAAAAACGGAGCGATTCCCTTCCTTTTCATTACAAGTGTCGTCTCCGGTTCATATGAAATATTCAAAACAGTCATATAGGAAGTGCATGACTGTCAGCTGACGCGCTCCAATTTGATAAACAGACGCTGAACCGTCTGGTGGTGCACGTTTAAACAGATATACACATAATTAGTGATTTCGTCCTAAATGAGCATAAACAGTTAGGAAAGCATTCGAATGCTTTCATTTCAATGTAAGATGTGTGCCCTTTTAAAGCAACACCTCTTATTTAATGTAATCAAACGATAAAAAAAATAAAAAAATCGAATTAAATCATTAATTCGTTGCTCTTTACTCAGAATGTGTACGTTATACAGTGAAGAAACGGCTATTGAGATTTGATTCTATTTTATTATAATAGCTATTTATTTTAATAAGCTGAACTGTTTGCCAATTTATTTGCTGCTGATGTATACTATTTTTTTTCTTTTGTAAATAACAATAACTATAAAACACATTACTGACCATTTAACTGTTTATTTACAATGAAACAGGTCCAAATGAGCATATTTATTAATTTGGGGATTTTTTTTAAAGGGGGTTGGGGGAATTCCTTATTATGGTGGGTATATCCCTTATTTTCACATCCCAATGTTGACAGGTATGGTCCGAGTCCAGATTTTGTCAGAGACTTTCGTAGAGACATCAGGGTTGATTTACATCACTCATATTGGCAACAAGCTTTGATGTATCATCACTAAGCTGTCAATTCTCCTCATAGCAACAAAGCAGACTAACTTAGCAATCATTTAAAAACAGCAATATCTCTACATCAGAACACCGTAGGAACCTGTATATTGGCTGGTTTGACTCATGCTAGCTAGCAAAATGGGACTTCCTGTGTCTTATACAAGGTAACAATGATTAGTCAAACGCTAAAATTATTAGCTATAAGCTATTCATGATTGTCTAAGTGCAATAACATATGCTAGAAATGCTTAGCAACCACCTAGCAATGCCAAAAACATTTTAGCAACTTTAGCAATTTTATCAACCTCTGTGCTTGGTTCTCAAGCCAACAAAGTTCATCAACAAACTTTAGGTTCTAGTTTATAATCTAGTTTTACAAAGCTGCTATTGCACACATACAAAACTACTAAAATTTTTCTGCCACTTAATTCAGTTCAAATAATCTGTATTTCTATAGCATTTTTACACTGTAGATTGTGTCAAAGCAGCTTAACATAGAAGAGGTTTTAAATGTTCTAGATGAACTTAATTTGTTAATGTTACACCTAAGGGGTTTATTAATAATTTTTAATACACTCTTTTCCTTCCTAATAGAAATTAGTCATTGTGAATGAAATGAAAGTCACTTTAAGTGACATTTAAGCCTTTTAAAGACATTTTTAAGGCCCCAAAGAATTAAATTTCAGACGTATATATGGCTAAACACTAAAGATATTTTTAAAAGGCTCAGCTGAATTTTTTTTTACTTGCCCCATCCAAAAACGAATTCTAATAATACGGAGTTTCTTAGCCGTATATTTTTAATAAAGTGTCAAAACAAGCAGACCCTAAATATATACATACATTTTTTTCCACTTAATCTTAAAAATCTTTAATAACTAAATGCATGAACAACAGACTGCTTAATATTAGTTAGAAATATATAGTTTTGCTGAAAGTATTTATTGTTGGTGATTGAATGCGTGCTGTATCGATTGGGTAGCTTTTAAAGCCTCGTTTAAAATGATTTAAGACCTACAAGACAATATTTCAGTGCATTTTAGGCCTACAATTTTGTTTTTGAAATGTAAGATTTGTTAAGATCCCACCGACACTCTGTAGAAGTTTGTTATGCCATGAGGTTTATAATTTATTTACACTATACTGTATTCCATGCTTTAAGGGCTGTCATTTATATCACTGAATAACTTGCCTGGCACCTTTCTCTCTAAATTCTCGAACCACTGTCTTGTGGTGGAGTCTCCCATCAAATAGACAATCTTGCTTTTAAGGCAATTTCCAGTTTGTGCAGAATTGAAGTGTTGGGTTTTGCACACAAAAGACTTCCAGACATCATTCAGATAGAAACCTGCAGGTACTGGTGTTGTCAGACCAGGTCTGCATCTCTCCAATGTGCCTAAAGCAAAGAAACCATGAAAGAGTTATGCAAATTCTTCATTTTATCATAAGCACATTTGTTTTTAATTTCATTTTGCACTGACATATGAACATACCGTTGTTTGTTTTGGGATGGACGTTAATTAATTGTGTGTCTCCATTAATTAAAACATTTGTTAATTTTCTGTGGAGAAAAAAATAAAACATATTTTCTAATTTCCTGCAACTCTTCTAGAATTTGTTTTGAATCCTTTCCCAGCTTACTTTGTGAAAAGTTGTTCCTCAAAATGATTTAATGGACTTTCCAGACCTCCTCTTGAGTGATAAACCAGTTTGTCACAAGAAAGTTTCTTAGGTCTCTCACAGTGCCACACCGTCCCTGTTTTTAAATCCTTATACTCGCAGCAGCAGTTGCCTTTAATCCAGCTCCCATCTGCGCCCCACTTAAGGTTACATGCTACATCTTCACTGATCCTGGTTTTTTTGGGTCCTGGTCCTTCAAAGTGTCCGTTATAGTGGCTGCGTGTGAATGACGACTCCCTGTATTTTTTCAGAATCTGCACAACCTCACTGGAGTGCTCCAGACGAACAGAAACTTGTGCTTGACCTTCCCAGGGCAGAAGAAGAGAAGCAGAGTAAGTCCCGTTACGATGATCCACAACCTCTCCATACACACTCGCCTTCAAGAAGAATAGAGAAGATTAAATGTTATGAAGAAAGCTAATCTCTTACAATTCAGGGGCTAGCCAACAGAGCGTCAAAATCCAAACAAATCTAGAGGACTAATTTGCCACTAGTTTTACTCGCATTTCTAGTGCTGGGTTGTGGCTGGAAGGGCATCTGCCCCATTAAACATATACCAGAGTAAATTTTAGTTACGGTTCCAATCTGTAAATGCATTAAGAAGACCCCCTTCAAGAAAGGTGTTACCAAGTCATGTTTACAACAGACTGAAAAGGAGAAAGTAATCAATTATCTGCCAGTTTACTGTATATTTACGGCAAATGTCTTTATATTTATTAATTTGTACATTTATTATGGAAAAATATATGAAACATACACACCTTCAGCTTTGAATTGAACAGCTTAACTTTGAAAAAATCTCCTCCGTATCTTTTTAGGCTATTCTTCTGGTCTCTGGCAGTGATAGTAACCAGGATCTTTTCTCCCACGCTGTAATTCTGATTGAGTCCCACAATAGAGAACTTTGAGTGGACTGGACTTGTGCTTTCACTAAGCTCAGTGATTTCTTGATCTGGACTGGGCCATTCCAGGGCCTTCTGCAGTCTTTCCCACTCTTCCTCACTGATTCCCATGTCATGTGCGGAAATTGTGTATGAAGAATTACTTTGTTTGGGTTTTCTAGCATCATGTCTTGGAATGGGGGGCTGGAATACTGTTGTCCGAGGATGATTCTCTGTTAATCTCCACAAGGACTGAAAGACAAATGAATTAAATGTTTAGTTTAAAGTATGATCACAAAAAAACTACTTTCAGTTTCTACTCCTAAACATCAGAACCAGTCTTCATCTTTGTCATGACTAACTGACATGAGCAAGACATTACCACGAGGCTTTATAAATGTGTCATTAACATTTTTCTGTTCATGTTTTCAGTGCAACAAACTAAAATTGTTATTAAAATGTCTCATTAAACATGTCATTACCCTGTCACACAAGTTTTTGTTTACTATTTAATAACAAATCCAGCTTTTACCACTGTAGTTGAGGTAAAAAAAAAGTTTTATGACACTGTTATAAAACTCATGACACATTTATAATGGCTTCATGACAATCATATCTATGACAAATGTTTTGATGTATAGTTGTATAACAAATAATGACATCTCTGCATTTAAAATGACACTTGTTACAAGCCTCCTTAAAATCTCACATTCATAACTCATGATTATAAATCTCTATAAGTCTTATGAAAACCCCTTCAAGTCAATTGTTACCCTTTTTAAACTGGTTTTTAGATTTGAAAATTGACACCTTGCGTTTTTGTTTGTTTAGCCAATTCATGAGTTAAAGGATGTCATCAGCTTACATCTCGACCCTAGTTAAACACTGCAACATCACATAACTTCAACAACAACACTTTCACATATCCGAAGTATCTGTCATTTCCCCAACTGAAGTACTGTTTGTATACAGCACAGAGATCCTCTTCTCCATGTTGAGAGTGTGTTACAGTGCCACTTACTGGTCAGGTATGTATATTACATCATTTGGACTCTGATTTATGGTTTCATGTGTATTTGCATATTGTAGATCGTCAATTTCTTTTTGACATGACACTAGTTTTTAGATTTTTTTTGTGACGAAGATATAAAGATTAAACAGGGCAGTGGTTCTCAAACTTTTTTCACCAAGTACCACCTCAGAAAAATATCGTCCCTCCAAGTACCACCATAATGACCAGTATTAAAATACAGTAGCGTAGTAGCCCTAGTAAAGCAGCTACAACTTTGCAGTTTAAAATTGTGACAGATACTCTTAAGAATATATATTATTATCAGCCACTTTAAACATTATAAATAGTTTGAACATTAACACTGAACTGTACTTACAGTATATGTAAAACAAACAAACAAAAATGTGAACGTGTAAATTAAACTTGCTTTTAAAAGATCATTAAAAATGGTAGGCTACTGTTCTTTAAAAGCAAAAAAAAAAAAAAAAAACTCCTGTATTTAAATGTAAAGTCTTAACCTATTCATCAAAACCTGGAAATGTTGCTTGGACCTCATAAATTTAGAATATATGTTATCATATTCATATTTATGAACCATTTTTGATAACTTTTGAAATATGTTGCATGTACATATGACATTGATATTGGATTCCTCTGTGTACCACTAGAAGGAAGCCTGCATAGCACTAGTATCCCAGTTTGAGAACCACTGGGATAGGGGAAGTTCTGGCTTCTTGTTGATTAAGGGCTCTATTTTGACGGTCCATGCGCAGAGTGCAAAACACAGGGCGCAAACACTTTCAGGGCGTGTCAGGACGCGTTTTTGCTAATTTAAGGACGGGAAATCTGCCTTGCGCCGTGGCGCATGGTCTAAAAGGGTTGAGTTTATTTTCTTAATGAGTTATAGATGTGTTTTGAGAATAAACCCATTAGATTCTCATCTCCCATTCCCTTTAAGAGTCAGCTGCGTCGCGCCAAGAGCACATCCGCTATTTACAGGACGCAAAGTAAGTCTAAGTGGAAAAAATGAGCATTTCACTAGCAAACAGTTAACAGTTAACAGTTTTTTTTAACAGAAAACTGTTAAACAGAGCATCTACTGAGTGAGAATGAGAGATAATGGATCACTTTTACTTTCGCTCTTGGATAGGGAAACCTTTACGCACAGACATCAATTAGTCTATAAATAAATACTTTTGTTTATTAAGTGCAAATATTCGTTTCAAAACTATTTCTAAATTCAGTTCTAATTTTCAGCTACCGAATAAATGAATAATAATAACAAAATGTGCTCAAAAACCTGAGTTATATCCTAAAACACATGCTGTGCCCCATACGGTCTAAAACCTGACAGGTGGGCAAATCTAAGCTTGTTTTTAATAAAACAAATATTAATATGGATATAATAAATAATACTGCTAATAATAATAATAACATTATACAAAAGCAAATTGTTATGAATGAGGTGAAAAAGCCTCCCGAGATGAAGACATAAAAGCAGTGATTTTTCATATTTATGTAGGCTAGAAAATAATGTGTTTTGTAATATTTTAATCCTTTATATTTATATTCTCTCTCTATATATATATAACTCTCTCTTGTGCGTATTAAGCAGTGTGTGAGCGAGGCGCAACTCTGCGCTGGAGTTTAGACCGGGTTAGTTTTGGTCTAATGAAAAATCTATTTTAGTTTCTCAAAATAGCAACGCACCAGCAATGCACCTCAGAACGCCTTCCTTTTTAGACCAGAACGCCTATGGGGGCACAAATGAGCGCTAATGCATTTGCTATTTAAACAGCGTAGCACAACGCCTCAAAACGACTCTTGCGCCAAGCTGAAACTACCAAAAGACTATTGCGCCGCTTATGATAGGGCCCATAGTGTTAGTTGATCTATCTCTCTGTCTCTCATAGCCTACTGCTATATTGTTCCAAATACAATGCGCTTTAACCTTCAGTGAAGTAACGTCTTTAATGAACATTTCTTCACAAGGTCTACAGTTTACAAATTAGCAATGGAGACTTAAGTTCAGGGGCGACATGGTGTCGCAGCAGGTAGTACAATACCCTCACAGCAAGAAGGTCACTGGTTCAAGTCCTTGCTAGGCCAGTTAGCATTTGTGGAGTTTGCATTTTCTTTCCTTTGTTGGCGTGGGTTTCCTCTGCGTGCTCCTGTTTCCTCCACAGCCCAAAGATATGCGCTATAGGTGATTTGGATGAACTAAATTGGCTGTAGTGTGTGTGAACGCATGAATATTTCCCGGTTCTGGGTTGTGGCTGGAAGGGCATCCACTGTGTAAAACACATACTAGAATAGTTGGCGGTTCATTCCGCTGTGGGTACCCATGATGAATAATGGACTAAGCCAAAGGAAAATTAATTAATTAATATTTGTAATTTATTTACAACCTTGTGCCATCAAACTCTTGTATAAAGATATTTTCAGAATAATTATGCATTATGCACATTTATCAATCACAATTAGACAACTCTTACACACTCTTTATTTTTATTGAAATGCATATTTTATGATGTTTTGGCATGTTAATTGTTTATGTTGCTAAAGCTGGAGCTAAGGGTATTGTGCAGTGAATTACAGAACTATCCAGTAAAGTGGTCAATCTTTAAAAACAACTAACAGACATGACTATTAATCAGTCAGCATCACATCAGGGTCCAGAACTATTTTTGTTTTTCATAAAAAACTGCATGACATGTAACATTAAGTGATCTACTGCTTGTGTAATTTGGAGTGGTCAATTGGGTCATTTTTGCCATTAAGATCACCCTATGCATTCACACTATGGACTATTTCACATGTATTTTGGAAATTAAGAAAAATAAAATTAATTTAGAAACTAAAGTAGTGCCATTGAAGTAGAGCGAGCCCCTGAAACTTAAAATTACAGTAGTCTATCTGCTTTGTGGCTATCAGCTGATGCTATCCTAACTGTTAATATTAAATGTAAAATCTTTAAAGACAATTTTAGTTCTAATAGCGGTGTATTTTCTGCGTTTGGCCTTAGTAGAGCAGTGTTGTGCAGCTTATTATACTCATTTGTTTTTCATGAACTCACCATACAGCTGATCGCCAATAAACAAACACAAAAATAGGTCATCCTGTAAATTAAAAGGAAACCGTAATGAGTTCCAATTTACAGATGTCACATTAATGATTAATAATTGATTTGGCCACGCTATCATTCATTTTAAAAGTAAACGTCAATCAATCAATATGTATATATTTTTTCTAATCATATTAATCTGTAAGCTCTTGATAAATTATTTACCTGAAAGTGCAGCTGTGGGTTGAATGCACATGCCCACATTCAACACTGTTCAACTTTGAAATATCAAGTAACGAGTCAGGTTTGACCTAATCTTCCGTGTTATTAACTTCAGCTGTTTCCCCTTTCAAGCAGCGCTGGCGCGCATGCATTACTCACCTGTTTCCATTTGAGTCTATTTCTCTCCATACCTGCCCCTTCGTGTTACTGTTTGTCGGATTACTGTGTTAATTAAAACCTATGGACCTACTCTCGCTCTCTAGTGAACTCTTCATGTATCAAGTCAAGTCAGTCGATCAACTACTTATCGCTTTTGCTTACCTGTGATCTGCGCCGTCTCCTCGCGACTGATTCCCAGCTCTTCACCTGCGCTCGTCACCGACAGCCCTCGCTCCGCTCTGAGGAAGCCGAGGCGGATCATCAGTTGCTCTCACTTCAGTCTGCGTTCTCCCGCGGGTGGTCGGGGATCGCCAGCTTATTTTATCCTTTTTGCAAATAAAACTCCTGATTTTGAACTGAACTCTCTCTATTTTCTGCCCGAGCCTGACAAGCATCATTTTTTGTTTTTATGAGGTTGGGGTGTTTCTGGAACGCCAAGCCTGTAAGTGTACATTAATAATTTTATTTATTTATTGTTCATGAGTAAGTGTATTAAACAAAACAAAGTCTGACTGTTATTGTCATTCTTTTCAAATCTGATGCGTTCATGACAGTAATACATCTTTCCTTTTCATGCTATCATTGCAGTAAAAAAAGTTAAATGTTATTGTAACATGCAATGAGAAAAATGCAACTCAGGACAGATTTCATTAAATGTAATCATTTGGCAGACACTCTTATCCAAAAAGACTCCCAGGTACGAATCTAAGTTGTCCAATATTGCTGGTTTGGTTGGTAATCTGGAGGATTTAGGCAAACACAGCAGCACAGCGACGTGTCTAAATGTGAAGGAACTCTTGATAAAAGACAACGTCCGCCATTCTCGACTTCTCGTACTGCTCTCCCGACAAAAATCCTTGCTGCACACAAACAGCTTTGCTGTATCGACCCTGACAGCATCGCGGAGAAAAACATGCTACAAACCTTGTGGATCATCGAAACAAACACATATATAAACTGTGTTATTTCCTGTGAAAATTGTTAAATACACACTAAATAACTTGCGTCTCACACAGAATTTCACTCGCTTCCCCTCAAAGACAGCGCAAAGAAAATGGCGGTTTCTCACGTTGACGTCCCTGCATGTTGACGTGACATGCGTGCTCTTTTTCACGTCCGTGTTCCCAACCCAGCACTGCTGGGTTCTAGATAAAGACCGATTTTCAACCCAAATTGGCTTGAATCAACCAAATTTTGTTACCCAGCAGTCTCAACCCAGCGTTTGGGTTAAAAAAACCAACCCAGCGTTTTTTAGAGTGTACGACCCTTCATACACGGCTAAATATTGCATGCTGTGGGACCGTGGATGCGGTTTCACCCAGTCATCAAGGTAGGATCTCACAGCTTGGCACTTGCAGGTCTGTCTTTCTTTCGGAAAGCAAGCACAGTCATGAATAATTAAGAAGTCGGCTCTTCTCATCGGATAAGAAAACTCAGCTATAAATAATTATCAGAAATCGATGTGTAAACTTTGTACTTGCAGTTCTGCGCAACGTTGCCAATTTTAATCTCGCCCCAAAAATAATTTTAAACCCGGAAGCTGAAATTAGCAGACAAAAGCTCAAAACTAGAGAGGGGTCTGGCTGAAGACCTGGTGCAGTGCAATCTGGGCTGCATCCAATGCTTTTCATGGGCTCACCTATAGAGCCCATTAAAGAGTTTAGTTTAGTTCCAACCCTGCTTCCACACACGTACCTGGGTTTAAAACAAGCACCAAGAACTCAATCAGTTTGATCACGCGCATTTAATTAAGGTTAAAGCTAAACTGTGCAGAAATGCGACCCTCCAGGAATTGAGTTTGACGGCTGTGATGTAGTGTATGTAATGATGGGGATGTAGTGACCAACTACGTGACCAGCTACACCTCTTGTCAAGTGTATTTAGCCAGCGCATACACATATTTTATAATAACCATAATAACAGTCTGAGCAAACTCAGTTGGAACTGTTGGAACAATTTTTTATTCAATATAAATTCAATGACAAACAAAAGGAATGTATGATAATTTATTTGAAAGCTACAGTATGTAATATGAAATGGGCAGTATAAAGGAAATATTAAGTCTTATTTCATGTCTAACCTTTAATGTGTTGTAAATTTTTAAAGTACGACATACAGACAAGATTTGCAGATCAGCTTAATGCTTGCAATGATTGTATTTCTGCAGTCAGGCAGGACAAACATATGACAGCAACATATCAATTTCATTAGCCACGATAACAGCACCTGGGTGAATATTTTCTCGAAGGTAGTGACATGAAGTCATCTGCCAGACATCGAAGTAGATTACGCCATCAATATGTCTGAACATCTCCTGCATCACCGTGTTCAGCTGCATGGCGTACCAGTCACTTTGAAAAATATCCTGGAACAAACACGGATCCATTAGACTAAACAATGTCATTTGTAAAGCAAGCTTATAATTTTTATTGCCAGTAATCTTTCATACACTGAATACTATTATAATTGTCTAATACCTCATATTAAATTACTTTAACCCTTAGCCTATCACTGAAAAAAGTGTTGCATGCAGAACTGTTGCAAACAATTTATTTGTTTAATTTAAACAAACACATTAAGATTGATAATGTTCAACAGAATTTTCTTGTTTAAATTCAGCCCAAATAAATTGTTTACAACCATTTAACATAAAAAAAAAGAGTAAATCCAAGGAATCATCTTTTAATATTTTTTCTCAGTGTAAATAAAGAAATCAGTTCAGACGAAACCTGTTTTTATTATAACATTTAAGATGCCATAGAGTAAAAATCTGGATATGAAAATATATATATATTTATATGAAATTATACCCACATACAGTTGAAGTCAGATTTATTAGCCCCCCTGAATTATTAGCCCCCCTGTTTTTCCCCCAATTTCTGTTTAACGAAGAGATGACGAAGAACACATTTCTAAACATAATAATTTTAATAACTCATTTCTAATAACTAATTTATTTTATCTTCAATGAACCTAAACGAGCACATGTCACTCCGCTGCTAGTCCGTTTGCACTGGCTGCCAGTTGCTGCTCGCATCAAATTCAAAACTCTGATGTTTGCCTACAAAGTGACTTCTGGCCTAGCACCTTCTTATCTGCACTCACTTCTGCAGATCTATGTGCCCTCCAGAAACTTGCGTTCTGTGAATGAACGTCGCCTCGTGGTTCCATCCCAAAGAGGGAAAAATCACTTTCGCGAACGCTCACGCTCAATCTGCCCAGTTGGTGGAATGAACTCCCTAACTGCATCAGAACAGCAGAGTCACTCGCTATTTTCAAGAAACGACTAAAAACTCAACTATTTAGTCTCCACTTCACTTCCTAATCTGCAATTGCCTCTTTGAATATCACACTAACTGTACAAAAAAAAAAAAAAAAAAAAACAACAAAAAACTACTAACACTTCCCTTCTTAGACTTTACAGACCTGAAACTTGCCTTTAGTACTTATTCATTGTTGCTCTTAGTTGTGTAAATTGCTTCCTTGTCCTCATTTGTAAGTCGCTTTGGATAAAAGCGTCTGCTAAATGACTAAATGTAAATGTAAATGTAAATCTTTCCCATGATAACAATAAATAAAATTTGACTAGATATTTTTCACGACACTTCTATACAGCTTAAGGTGACATTTAAAAGCTTAACTAGGTTAATTAAGTTAACTAGGCAGGTTAGGGTAATTAGGCAAGTTATTCTATAACAATGGTTTGGTCTGTAGACTATCGAAAGCAAAAATAGCTTAAAGGGGCTAATAGTTTTGTCCTTAAAATGGTGTTTAAAAAATTAAAAACTGCTTTTATTCTAGCTGAAATAAAACAAATTAGACTTTCTCCAGAAGAAAAAATATTATCAGACATACTGGAGGAAATTTCCTTGCTCTGTTAAAAATCATTTGGGAAATATTTAATAAAGGAAAAAATTCAAAGGGGGCTAATTATTTTGACTTCAACTATATATATATATATATATATATATATATATATATATATATATATATATATATATATATATATATATATATATATTTTTTTTTTTTTTTTTTTTTTTTGCATAGCTTTTCACATTGAGTACGTTTACATAGACACCAATATCCCGATTTTAATACTATCAAGACAATTTTAATACTACCAAAGACTAGTGGATTTACGCGAGAACAGCAGATGTGAATGGCACTCGCAATAGAGATTTGAGATCTGAAAAAGTGTACATAGCGGCCTCTGGTGGATTCACGAAAACAAAAACTGGAAAAAATTGTCAAAAAAAATTGCGCTGTCCAGAAATGTATACAGGGGTACGTATCAATAATGAGCCTGGGTTGGCAATATCAAATTTTTTCCAATATCATGCAACCCTAAATTAAGCTTTTAAAAACAAAGTACGATTGGAATTGAGAATAAAACCCATACCTTTTGTCCTGCAGTGTTTCCAGACTTGATGATGATGAGAGTGTCTGGTGCTCGGCTCAGCAGCGAAACGACAGACTGACGGATTTTGGCCACTTCGTGCACATAGAATGTTAGAGGGTGAAAAACCAGGTGAGCAAAGAGTGTGAAGACGATCACTGCATGAGGACCCCCAGCTATTTCATCAATATCATTACTGATGTAGTGCAGGTCAGTGATCAGCATTTTTGTAAAGCGCAGAGGAACTCCGTGTGGCCCCCAGTGAACTATTATATTGTTTGTCAACTCAACAGCCATCAGGGGTCCACCTTTAGGAGGAGTGTGGAGGTCCATCCTTTTTATGCCTAATAAAGTAATAAAAATAAATAAAATGTACATTAGTCACACTGCTTTAATAATTATGTTGGCTTGAGAAAGACCAACATACTGCTATCTTACTTAAACATTATTTTTATTAATCTACTGAGACCAACTCTTGTCTCCTCTTCAGCTTTAATGCTACAAGCCCCAGATTTGGCCAAAAGCTGTGTTCTGCATTTGATTTTGTTGCTGTATATTTTCAGGTTTATCAGACTTATAGTTTTCCAATAAATATTTTTAAGCATTTGTAAAAAAAAAAAAAGCCACAATTTACTTAAAGTCCACATTTTATATTGATATGGAAAGCCATTCATAAGGTCCAGTTTTCTTTACTGATATGGCAAGTTATTTCTGCATGTACCCTTTCACACTTCTTAGGCATTATATTTTCAATAAAATGTGGCAAGCCATTTTTACACAATGTTAAAGTCCAGATTTTGACTGTCATAGAGACATCACGGTTTATTTATATCACTCATATTGGCAAGAAGCTTTGATGTATCGTCACTAAGCTGTTAATTTTCCAACTAGCAGCAAAACAGACTAACCTAGTAACCATTTAAAAACAGCAATATTAATATCTCTACATCAGAACATCAAAGGGGCCCGGGTATTGTTTCATTTACCTCATGCTAGCTAGCAAAATGGGACTTCCTGTGTCTTATGCGTGGTAACAATAATTAGCCACATGCTAAAACGATATGCTATTAATGATTATCTAAGTGCAAGAACATGCTAGAAATGCAGACTAAGTATTAGGATTTGATCTAACATGTAAATGATGGTTAGCATTTAGCAATCCAGTATGCATTAGCAACTGCTTAGCAACCAGCAATGCCACAAACATTTTAGCAACTGTCTAGCAACCACTTATCAACCTCTGTGCTTGGCTTTCTCAAGACAACATCAGTTCGTCAACAAACTTTAGGTTCTAGTTTATCATCTAGTTTTGCAAAGCTGCTATTGCACACATACAAAACTACCAAAACTATTCTGCCACTTAATTCAGTTCAATTAATCTGTATCTTCTATAGCACTTTTACAATGTAGATTGTGTCAAAGCAGCTTAACATAGAAGAGGTTTTAAATTTTCTAGATGAACTTAATTTGTTAATGTTACACCTAAGGGGTTTATTAATAATTTTTTAATACACTCTTTTTCTTCCTAATAGAAATTAGTCATTGTGGATGAAATGAAAGCCACTTTACCCCCCTAAAAAATACATTTTAAATATAAATATACATTATTTTTTCTGCAGGTTCCACCAAGTCAAATTTAAGCCTTTTAAAGACCTTTTTAAGACTACGAAGAATTACATTTCAGACGTATATATGGCTAAACACTAAAGATATTTTTTAAAGGCTCAGCAGAAAAAAATGTACATGCACCATCCAAAACAAGCAGACCCTAAATATATACATACTTTTTTTCCACAAACCTGAAAAAAATCTTTAATAACTAAATGCATGAACAACAGACTTCTTAATATTAGTTATAAATATATAGTTTTGCTGAAAGTATTTAATGTTGGCAATTGAATGCATGTTGTATCGATTGGGTAGCTTTTAAAGCCTCGTTTAAAATGATTTAAGACCTACAAGACAATATTTCAGTGCATTTAAGGCCTACAATTTTGTTTTTGAAATATAAGACTTTTTAAAATCCCACTGACACTCTGTAGAAGTTTGTAACACCATGAGGTTTATATTTTATTTACAGTATACTGTATTCCATGCTTTAAAGTCCTAAATAGTGTCATTTATATCACATAATAACTTGCCTGGCACCTTTCTCTCTAAACTCTCGAACCACTGTCTTGTGGTGGAGTCTCCCATCAAATAGACAATCTTGTTTTTAAGGCAATTTCCAGTTTGTGTAGAATTGAACTGTTGGGTTTTGCACACAAAAGACTTCCAGACATCATTCAGATAGAAACCTGCAGGTACTGGTGTCGTCAGACCAGGTCTGCATCTCTCCGTTCTGTCTAAAGCAAAGAAAACAGGAAAGAGTTATGCAAATTTCCTTTTTTTATCATAAGCACATTTGTTTTTAGTTAATTTCTGTCCTGATAAATGAACATACCATTGTTTTTTGTGTTGGGAAGGACATTTATGATTTGTGTGTCTCCGTTAATGCCAACATTTGTTAGTTTTCTGTGGAAAAAAAATATGTAAAACACATTCTATACTATTCTACAATTCTTTTACAAATTTGTTTTGAATCCTTTCCCAGCTTACTTTGTGAAAATTTGCTTCTCAAAAGCATCTAATGGGTTTTCCAGACCTCCTCTTGAGTGATAAACCAGTTTGTCACAAGAAAGTTTCTTAGGTCTCTCACAGTGCCACACTGTCCCCGTTTTTATATCCTTATACTCGCAGCAGCAGTTGCCTTTAATCCAGCTCCCATTTCCACCCCACTTAAGGTTACACTGTACTACTTCACTGATCCTGGCTTTATTGGGTCCTGGTCCTTCAAAGTGTCCGTTATAGTGACTGCGTGTGAATGAGGACTCCCTGTATTTTTTCAGAATCTGCACAACCTCACTGGAGTGCTCTAGACGAACAGAGACTTGTGCCTGACCTTCCCAGGGCAGAAGAAGAGAAGCAGAGTAAGTCCCGTTACGATGATCCACAACCTCTCCATACACACTCGCCTTCAAGAAGAATAGAGAGGATTAAATGTAATGAAGAAAGCTAATCTCTTACAATTCAGGGGCTAACCAACAGAGCGTCAAAATCCAAACAAATCTAGAGGACTAATTGAAATCAGAGTTAATTTTGAACTCTGATATGTGACCCAACATGTTTGAAGATTAGTCACCACGCTGGTCAAATTAAAACACTAAATTTGCCAGTGTTCAGTTTCATTGTCCAACCCCTGTTTGTAAAGGTTTCATAAACGTATTAAGAAGACTCCCCTCAACAAAGTCATGTTAACTACAGTACAATAATCTTGTCAATTTGTCTTGACTTCATACATTTATGGCAAATGTCTTTATATTTATTCATTTGTACATTTATTATGGGAAAATATTTGAAGCATACACACCTTCAGCTTTGAATTGAACAGCTTAACTTTGAAAAAATCTCCTCCGTATCTTTTTAGTTTATTCTTGTGGTCTCTGGCAGTGATAGTAAGCAGGATCTTTTCTCCCACGCTGTAATTCTGATTGAGTCGCACAATAGAGAACTTTGAGTGGACTGGACTTGTGCTCACACTCAGCTCAGTGATTTCTTGATCTGGACTGGGCCATTCCAGGGCCTTCTGCAGTCTTTCCCACTCTTCCTCACTGATTCCCATATCGTGTGCGGAAATTGTGGATGAAGAATTCGTTTTTATGAATTTTCTAGCATCACGTCTTGGAATGGGGGGCTGGAATGGTTTTGTCTGATGATCATTCTCTATTAATCTCCACAATGCCTGAAAGACAATGAATTAAATGTTTAGCTTTATCAAAAAAAAAAAAAAGTATGATCACAAAAAACTACGTTAAATGTCTACTCCTAATCAAACAAATACATATCAACCAGTCCTCATCTTTGTCATGACTAACTGACATTAGCAAGACTTTATCACGAGGCTTTATAAATGTGTCATGAACATTTTTCTGTTCATGTCTTCAGTGCAACAAACTATAATTGTCATTAAAATGTCTCATTAAACATGTCATTACCCTGTCAAACAAGTTTTTGTTTACTATTTAATGACAAATCCAGCTTGTACCACTGTAGTTGAGGTGACCCCTAATTAATAAGCGACTAAGCAGAAAGAAAATTAATTAATAAATGTTTGTTATTTATGTGCCATCACACACTTTTCTTATGTATTATTGAACTGCTCATTTATCAATCACAATTAGACAATTCTTTCACACTCTTTATTTATTTTTATTGAAATGCATATTTTATGATGTTGTGGCAGTGTACTCATTGTTTATGTTGGATTTAAAGCCATTGTGCAGCGATACACGGAACTGTCCAGTCAAGTGGTCATTCTTTAATAACAACTAACAGACATGGCTATTAAGCAGTCAGCAACAGGGTCCAGAACTATTTTCTTTTATAAGAAAACTGTATGACATGTAACATTCAGTGATTATGTAGTTTAGAGTGTTAGGGGTGAATTCAGGTTCAGGTCAAAGTAGTTTCTCATGTATTTTGTAAATAAAATCTCATCAATTTCATTTTAAATCTGAAGTAGCGCACTTAAAGTAGATTGAGCCCCTGAAACGTAAAATGCCTCTGTTTATTATCTGCTGTGTGGAAGTTAGACTATCTTAACTATTAATGTTCAATGCAAAATCTTTAAAGAAATATTTTGTTTCTGATAGCAGTGCTAGTGTATTTTCTGTGTTTGGCCTTTATATGGCAGTGTTGTGCAACTAATACTCATTTGCAGCAGGGATGTTTGCTGTGATGTAGACTCTGTGCCTGCACTTTCATTAACAATGGAGATGCATGTGAAACATCTGATATGACATCACACAGATCATCTGATTCTCACATGTGATTCGTAATGCAAACAAAACCAAGAACTTTCTTGATTAGAAAAAAATGAATATAACTGGACACTTTAACGCAGTACAATGTTTAGTGGCTAAAAGTGATGCCTGGAGGAAACTTTTAATGACTCCAAAGGTTCTCACTTGCTTTCCTTTGGCTTAGTCCTTGCTTTATTATGGGTTGCCTCAGCGTAATGAACCTCCGATTACTCTGGCGCATGTATTTTATACAGTATAAAATACTTATTATATGTATTTTGACCACACCCACCCCTAAACCTAATCCTGGGAAACCTGTGGCAAACCAAAAGCCCTTAATACTGTAAGTATTATTTCTTGGGCAGAAGGCATGTACTTGTAAACCACCATAGTGTGTGTGTGTGTTATATGTTAAATAATATTTATTGGTAAAGAGAAAACTTAAACTTGCCAATGGTATCAGAAATAAATATAAAAAAAACATAACTTGTAATGGAAGATGAGGGTTATTTTACTGTAAAGAAATACAGATACTGTATAAAAAGCAAAGACTTTTTAATTTGCCATTTATCCCTAAAGAAATCTATACACTCACCGGCCACTTTATTAGGTACAATGGGGAAGAAAGGTGATTTAAGTGACTTTGAACATGGCATGGTTGGTGCCAGATGAGCTGGTCTGAGTTTTTCAGAAACTGCTGATCTACTGGGATTTTCACGCACAACCATCTCTAGGGTTTACAGTCAGAGAATGGTCCGAAAAAGAGAAAATATCCAATGAGCGGCAGTTCTGTGGGCGCAAATGCCTTGTTGATGCCAGAGGTCAGAGGAGAATGGCCAGACTGGTTGGAGCTGATAGAAAGGCAACAGTAACTCAAATAACCACTCGTTACAACCAAGGTATGCAAAAGAGCATCTGTGAACGCACAACATGTCCAACCTTGAGGCGGATGGGCTACAGCAGCAGAAGACCACACCGGGTGCCACTCCTTCAGCTAAGAAAAGCAAACTGAGGCTACAATTCGCACAGGCTCAACAAAATTGGACAATAGAAGATTGGAAAACCGTTGCCTGGTCTGATGAGTCTCCATTTCTGCTGCAACATTCGAATGGCTGGGTCAGAATTTAGCATCAACTACATGAAAGCACGGCACTAGCGAGAGAAATTTGAGATCTCCAAAAGAGTACACAGATTGGCCTCTGGTGGATTCGTGAAAACAAAAACTGCAAAAAATTGTATCTCTTGGGAGGTTTTTGGCACTCTCCAGAAATGTATATAGGGGTACATAATCAGAATGAGCCTGAGTTGCAACATACAGTCATTACAGGCATACAAAGTAGCAATTTGATGTATGTTTTTCATGAACTCACCATACAGCTGATCGTCAATAAACAAATACAAAGATAGGTCAACCTGTGAACTAAAAGGAAACCATGATGAGTTCCAATTTACAGATGTCACATTAATGATTAATAATTGATTTGGATATGCTATCATTAATTTTAAAAGTAAACATCTATCAATCAATCAATCAATCAATCAACCAATCAATCAATCAATCAATCAATCTTTATATTTTTTTCTAATCATATTAATCAATCACTGTAAACTCCTGATAAATTATTTACCTGAAAGAGCAGCTGTGGGTTGAATGCACATGTTCACATTTAACACTGTTCGACTTATTATGAAATATCAAGTAACAAGCATCATTTTTGTTTTATGAGGTTGGGGTGTTTCTGGAACGCCAAGCCTGCTGTAAGTGAAGTGTATACATTAATAATTTTCTTCATTTTTCATGAGATGGTGTATATAAAAACAAAACAAAGTCTGTTATTGTCATTCTTTCAAAATCTGATGCGTATATGACAGTAATGCACCTTTCCTTTTCATCTAATCATTGCAGTAAAAAAAAAAAAAAAGTTAAATGTCATTGTAAGGACAGATTTCATTTATATGTAATCATTTAGCAGACACTCTTATCCAAAACGACTCCCAGATATGAATCAAAGTCGTCTAATAATGCAGTATACAGTTATAGCTCACACTTTACAGTCATTCATTCATTCATTCATTAATTTTCCTTCTGCTTAGTCTCTTTATTAGTCTTGGAATTAACCACCAACTTATTCAGCATATGTTTTACACAGCGGATGCCCTTCCAGCCATAACCCAGTATTGGGAAACACCTACACATTCTCATTCACAAACATACACTATTGCCAGTTTAGCTTATTCAAATCACCTATACCACATGTCTTTGGACTGTGGGGAAGAACGGAGCACCCGGAGGAAACCCACGTGAACACGGGGAGAACATGCAAACTAACCACTAAGCCACCATGCAATACAGTATTATTTGCAGTATCTACATGTATTCATCTTTGTTGTTATTTTGATAATACAGTGGTTAGTTCTTAATAACTCATGGTCATTAACTAATAATAATAAGAACAACTTGTATTTTAATAAGACGTTAGTATATGTTGAATCATGATTATTAATAAATGCTGTACAAGTCAGTAGCTCATTCTTAGTTCATGTTAGTAAATACAATAACTAGCATTAACTGACAGAGCCTTATTGTAAAGTGTGACCACGTTGCAAATATTTAAAGTAGACACAATAGCAAGTAGGAAGTGTTAGTGTAAGAGGGTATCTTTATATATCCCAGAAAACTGTCAATATTAATAAGTTAATTAATTTTAAGAGAAATAATAAAAAAAAACGTAATTGAGAAGTGATTGTTGATGTTAGAACTAGTTGATAGATAGACAGACAGACAGACAGACAGACAGACAGATAGATTTATAGGGTTATTAGTAATATATAGTAACCTTTGTAAAGAGATACACTGCGCTCATATGTGGATTTTTTGCTTGTACAAAAATGACCAAGCCACTTTTACTAAATCCTTGTAGACCAGTCATCATTGTCACGCTGATCTTGTCAGTTTCTTTTCTATCCTTTTTAGCATTGAGCAATTTTAAATCTACAGTCAGAGAACAGTATACACAAAATATTAAGTTTAAGTTAATATCACTATCAATGTATTTACTTAACTCATAGTTGTTAAAATTTATTTCTAAAAGAATAATTTAACTTTGGTTCAAACTTTAAAGTTTAATTTAAGCAACATCTAAATATTTATTGTGGAAGAGTATATATATATATTCATATATATATATATATATATATATATATATATATATATATATATATATATATATATATATATATATTTACACAAAGTAAAATATTGTTTACTATATAGACCATTCATTACTGTTATTATTTTATTTTACTTTGCTATAGATTTTTATTTTGGATTTATATAGTTTATATAGTTTAAATCAGAATTATTAACCCCCCGTTTTAAATATTTCCCAAATGATGTTCAACAGAGCAATGACATTTTCACAGTATGTCTGGTAATATTTTTTCTTTTGGAGAAAGTCTTTTTTTTTTAATTTCGGCTAGAATAAAAGCAGTTTAGAATAAACTGCTTTTAGAACAAACACCTTAGAACAAACCATCGTTATACAATAACTTGCCTAATTACTCTAACCTGCTTAGTTAACCTAATTAACCTAGTTAAGCCTTTAAATGTCACCTTAAGCTATATAGAAGTGTCTTGAAAAATATCTAGTCAAATATTATTCACTGTCATCATGGCAAAAAATAAAATAAATCAGTTATTAGAAATGAGTTATTACAGTTACTGTATATATACAAAGTATAGTTAGAAAATATAGCAAAAAAAAAAGCCCACATTCACTCCACGTACACTCAGAAGTAAAATATTGTTTTTATAGTCTTCTCTATTAGACTTTTTTGAGTAGACAATTAAGCATTGGCAGGCAGCGCATTACACTGTTTCAGCTGTCTCGTAAATGTATTAATCCACCTCTTCAAACCATGATATTGACACCACACCAATAGAAGCCATAAATATTACAGAGAAATGCAGTCTAACAAGGTATTGCATCACAGGCAAGTATCTCATGTAATAAGAACGAATACTATTACTAAAGCAAGAAACAGACTGTCATAATATCAAATGTCATTGCTTTATATGCCAGCAAATACCTCCTGTAGCATGTGTGTTGAAATTTTTCTTTAGCTGAATGATTAAAAGATTTATTTATTTATTTATTTATTTATTTATTTATCTATCTATCTATTTATTCTTTCACAGTCAGTCATAGAGAAAACATTTTCCATTAAAAACATTTAGGTTTTGTTATAATGAGACAGTAAGGTACAAAACAACAACACTAATATTAATAATAATGATAATGCTAATAAAAAATAATAATATAACAACAACAATACAATTCCTTTTGGATGCTTGTAGATGAAAAAGTTGTGCCTTAATTAGCTGTAATATGTCTCCCTGATGCTAAAATGAACTGTTATTTTTAGGCTGTTGTGCAATTTTGGCGTATGCCATATGACGGCATTTGGTGTATTGAGCATCTCAACTGTTTTGTTGTTCACTGACATGATGAGGAGAGGGAGTTTGAGTTGGAGAAAGCGCCGGTGTATTTCCACTGGCTGCGTTGAAGGGGAGGGTCTTCATTACCCCCTGACCGAGACTGAACGCTTCCAGTACAGTAGAGCCGGAGACAGACGCCACATCGGCCAAAAACAGACGCGCATCATCACCACACGCGACAGGAAAACAGAACGCCGGCGGATGCTTGGGGAGTAATGAAGGCATCCCGAGCGCATTCATAACGCGACGCGGATATGAGGTACTACTAATGTCTTATTCTCCATCCCCGCTGGAACAACATTATATGCAAATAATGCAATAAGGATGCATCAGTCGATATTGATGTGCGTACGGACGGACGGACATGTTATTGTGAACATCTGAGGTGTTTATTTCTGAGGACTGAGGGGAGATTCTGCGCACTGCAGTAACGCTACATTCAGCCATGCACGCGATTGGACTGTGGATGTGATGGATATTGAATATTTGCTGGCAAACGAGGAGATCACATTTGTGTTTTCAGTGAGAGCAAAGTTTGCTTGCACGAAGACATAATTTGGTGTTTGTGTGCTCGTTCATCGTGCTCGAGTGGATCAAAACCACTCTATTTTTTTCCAACAGATGAGAAGCAACCAGTTCTTACAACTTCAGTTGCCTGCTTTGGGGGAAAAGAATGGTGTTTATGACAGAAATCTCAAAACCTATCGCAATCATTCCACTAAGATAATCACCCAGCCTGGAATCGTAATGAAAGTGCTGCGGAGGAAAAGAATCATATTGTTTATAGCCTATTTTCTGCTGCTAGTTCTCACAATGCTCAACTTGGCTAACTATAGGTGGACTAAAGAGCCTCAACAGTGTAACGTCCAGATGAGAAGCACTCCTTATCAGGGCAGATCAGACATGCGGTTCCTTTACAGGCCATCGCTTGCTAAGAAGAGACAGCTTGTGTATGTTTTGACCACATGGAGGTCCGGCTCATCGTTTTTCGGAGAGTTATTTAATCAGCACCCTGAGGTATTCTTTCTGTATGAACCGATGTGGCACATCTGGCAGAAACTATACCCGGGTGATGCTGTGTCCTTACAGGGAGCAGCGAGGGACATGCTGAGCTCGCTGTACCGCTGTGATCTTTCAGTCTTTCAGCTGTACAACAGCCCTGGGGGAAAAAACTTCACCTCGCTTGGACTTTTTGGTGCCACTCTTAATAAAGTCATCTGCTCGTACCCTCTTTGTTCTGCTTACAGAAAAGACGTGGTCGGCATGGTGGATGACAAAGTGTGCAAAAAGTGTCCTCCGCAAAGCCTTAGGCTTTTAGAGGAAGAATGCCTTAAGTACAACACTATAGTCATTAAAGGCGTGCGGGTTCTGGACGTCAACGTTTTGGCGCCACTGATGGAGGATCCATCTCTGGATCTGAAGGTGATTCACCTCGTGCGAGATCCCAGAGCCGTCGCCAACTCCAGGATCAAATCAAGGCACGGGTTGATCCGTGAGAACTTACAGGTGGTCCGAAGCAGGGATCCCAAACTCCGTAGGATACACTTTGTAGATCCCGGCCACAAAATCAGCAAGAAAGACGGTGCAGATTATCATTCAGTTGGAGCCATGGAGGTGATTTGTGACCGGACGTACAGGAGCCTGAGAACTGCCTTAAATCCGCCAGCCTGGCTGAAAGGGAAATACCTAGCAGTGCGCTATGAGGATCTGGTGGACAACCCAGTCAAAACACTCCGGAATGTTTATCAATTTGCTAATATCAGTGCCAATCTTGACATTGAGTCCTTCGCTCTTAACATGACGAACGGCACAAGTTCTTCCTCAAAGCCATTTATTGTTTCAGCCAGGAATGCGACTCAGGCGGCCAGTGCGTGGAGAACAGTGTTGAGTATTCAGCAGATCAAACAAGTAGAGGAGTACTGCCATCATGCCATGGCCATCCTGGGATATGAACATGTTAGAACAGCCGGAGAAGCAAAAGACTTGAGTAAATCTTTATTGACTGCCTCCAAACTGTGACAGAGTTTTATTTTCACTCATTCAAATGTTCACTTGAATCCAGTTGTGCAACCGCGGAGTTGTGCTTTTGAATGATTGCACAATCTCATTATGGAAGCTTTTTTTGTGGTCATTCAACAGCACTGTTGCTTTTCCAAATAGACCTGTAGATATTTGATACAGCAGCATCTGTGAACCACAACTGGTGTGTGCATACCAAACGTTGCGTTGCTCTTTATTTGTTCTTTCGAAATGGATGC